CCGAGGAGGATCACTTTGATCTTCTTTGATTTGCGTACTACCCAGTGGTGTGGGTAGTTGGGTTTTTTCAGCCTTTAATTTACAGACACCCTTGCACATGCACACACACACACCCTCTCAGTCCTGGGGCGTGCACTAGCACAATTTGCAGTTCTGTTTTATTTATCAGATCTTCGTCGGACCCACCGGTGGCCCAGCCTGTTCTCGCAAGGTTGTCTGGACTGCACGAAATTAAATGTATGTTTAATATTTTTGGTCAAAATCTTTAACAGCAGAATGCAGTTGTATCCATCAGACTGCCTTTGTTGGCAAGCCGCCTAACCTACCAAATGCGCAAAGCTGGATCTCTTGATTTCCTCAACACAGCGGCAGGTAAACTCTGCTTACTTATGAGTGAATAAGTCCACCCCCTTTAATTTCCAAGGTCTCAGATTTCCACTACACCGAAGGAAGGAAGCATAAGCCATACTGTTCAATGTTAACGATTCTGTAGCATAACTTTTGGTTATAAATGCTAGTATAAATGAGGTTAACTTTAATGGGAGTTTTTGACTGGTGCCTACCCTTAAAACCTATTTATTTGGGAAAGGTAAATGCCTTCAAATGAAGTTCCCCTTGGTCTAATTTTGGCAACCTCTGGCCCAAATGCCCAAATCTATGACAGGTAAATGTGTACGTCTGACATACACTGCCGCTGATGGGGCTCCACAGCAGCATTAAATGTGAATGTAAACATGAAATGCATTTTACTTAGAAGTAAGCTCCTTTGAATTCACCAAAAATTGTTTTTGTAAGTAACATCTTTACAATGTAATGCTTTAAGCTGACCAAGGGCATGTCAGAAGGGGTTTGCAATTGAGGCTTGAAATGCTCATTTCTGGCGCATTTTTCATCACCTTGCGCGGAGGTGGGTGGAGGGTACAAAACCCTCCTTCAACAAGGCGCTATGTGAAATGCAGTTTGAGAGTAGCTGTTTAAACCTACGCCCTCACCCTCGCCTAATGTAACAATGTTGTAGTGGCAGAACCATGCCAATTCAACAAATCCCTGCTAATTCTGATATAGACAACGAAGGTGAAAGTACAATCATGCGCATTTAAGATTGGTTACGTTGTACTTGTAGCAATGCGCTCTTCTATGAACATTCACGGTGTCACTTTACACGGCTCAGGGGCATGCCTCAAGGTCACTTGTTTCAGAGAATATGACAATGCAGCATAAATTAGGCAATTACGACTAACAAAAGTCCTTCGCGTTTCAGTAAAATTCAAGTGTGCAACAAATGTAAGATGTGTTTATTTAAATGCGCCTTTTAGGCTAGAGGTGACTAGTAAATATGAACCTGGCAAAGGATCGGACGTTATGGGCCTTCAAGAAAGATAAGCACTCTAAACACACCTAAATTGTGACACCTGTACCCTATAAATCATCTCTTTATCTAACTTGTCCATTTTTTTAATGGGTATGAAGGTTGAGGTGGACGAGGAAAGCGCCGAGCTTATTACACGGTGAGCCGTTATTTATTCATTGGTCTTGATGATTTACTAACTGAACATTGTATGGAATGTTGGTTGTGGTTGCTGTTTTTCATTCCTTCTACTTAGGTCAAAAAAACAAGATGACTTTGATTCCCATGACTGCGTGAGTCTTTGGATTCCATTACAGCGCTGGTGCGTTACAGGACATGCCTCAAAATCTTATCCTTTGCACTACGATAAAAATGAAACCGGAAATAACCGCATCGCCCCAATACTTCTCTGAAGGCAAAAAGAGAAATAATACTCGGGTAGAATATGTATTGTTGCCATATAGACGATCCGGGAGGGGGTCTACTGACATGGCCCGGAGGCAAGGCCACCTATTGGCTGAGGCCCTCAGTGGTGCCTAATACAATAATTTTTTCAAACGGCAAAGCCTGCCTTTTGAACTCTATCTGGGATCGCAGAAGCAAAAAAAATTACAATATAAATTAGTAGAAAGATTGGAAAGTTCTTCGGCAAAACGTGAGTTTTTTTTGGGCTTGAATTTATTGCCACTTTCAGTTCCGATGCGGCGACTCCGAATTCGACAGACGACGGAGGGCTTGGCATTTTCGTCCCTCAGACATTAATCACTGTAATTGTAGTCTCGTATTCTTTTTTTCGCCTTTAAACAGGTGTTTTGTGACAGGCAAAAAAGGAGCTCCTTGCTTCCACTATTTCCTGTGTAGAGTGTGAAAAGAAAATCCTCAACTCTCAGAAACCATGAGAAACTTAGTTTGCCAAGCGAGTATGTGACATCACCTACAAAAGTGCAGTTTGGCTCAGCATTTCAGAGTGTGCGAATTTATGGAGTACAAATTTTATATTGCGAAGGAGCAGTTCATATCCGATCAAAAGTGAAAGGATCGGCTGGTCATTTAATGGCCTAAGCCATCATTCCGGAAGTAAATAAGTGTCATGTGAATTCTAAAGGGCAATACGAGAGAGGGGCAAGATGGCTCCTCACCAGTTCCACTAGAACATGCCATGTGATCCCTAAGATGAAGTCGAAAGTCCTCAAGCAACACCATTGGAAAAGATGCTTGAGAGGGGCAGTAGCCATTTGAACCTTTTTTAGATTGCATTAGCCAGGAATGAACAGCCAGAGATTCTAATAAACTTACCATTTCTAGCGTTTAATCAATCAAATCTTCTGCACTTAAGCAATTTGTTTTTAATTAGTTGAAATCTTTTAACATTCTGTCAAATTGCGCACCAAAGCTCTCATGGTGGTTACTACAGAGGATGTTATGATCGGCAATGAATGCGGACCACCTTGAAAACACATGTGGTCGAGGGGGTAAGTGAAGTTTCTATGAGAGGCAACATATTTTTACAGCTAAAATCCAAGGGATTCGGTTTAAGCTTACCTTCACTGCCGAGTTCACACAGATTAATCACTTTCACACCCTTTGGCTTATTCGGTTTGTTCATTTATTCACGAAGAGGAATAGATCCGCGTGATTTATATGTCTGCATTAATGGATTGAAAGGCCTTTTTTAGGCAACAATAAAATGTTTGTTTAGTTACTTTTTTTAAAGATGAGCCAGAATGGGACGTCTTAACCTCTTTAATGAATTTCTTTTTCCAGTTTTGATTTTACCCTTGGAAAGAGGAGTGTGTAGAGGAGGACATCCTTTCTTTAAGCAGTAATGTGGTGTTTAAGTGTCACCAAGTTGTAAAGGCGATCAGAGCTCGCGTTACCTGACCTTTATTCCCCAAAAAGGTGTTTTCTACAAATTATTCTCAAGTTTTTGGTTAAATTATATACATACTTTTATATTCCCCTACTTCTCTTTGTGCACTCTTTCTCCTACAGATTTAAGTAAGTAGGCACATGTCACACATTTAGAATAATTTAGTGTTTACATTGCTGAAAATTCACGTACAAACTGTGCGGGGGCGTTAGTGGGAGCTAAAAATAGCTTGCTCCCAAAGCTAAGCTTGCCCATGACTATTTTTAGCCCGCAGTATCCGCACGAACGCAAGCCAAACGGACAGGTTAAACACTGCTTCATACCTTCTGATGGACAGCTTGCGTTCGTTATCAAGCTTAAAAGCCTCCCTTGTACTAATTTATAGTCTAGTCAGGGTGTAGCCAAGTCAATGTTGGGAGCTAGATTTTAGTCTAGCATACTATTACATAATAACGCAAGTGTTTTAGTCCGTAAAAATTCACAAGCACTCGCAAAATCTTTGGAACTATAAGGCGCACCACCAATCATTAAAATAAGTAGCATGTCCTATTGAATTTTGAAGTAGGCTTCACCCTGAGAACAGCATTCCTTTAAAGCATACTTTCTGCTATACTACTACTTAAGAAACATAAGTAGCTTAATTATTAAAGGCAACTGAATTTCTTAAATGGGTCATGAATTTCCCGTAGGACGGATGGACACTCACTTTGGCCAGTATACATTGCTTGAGGTAAATAAAATAAGAACTGAATTTGAGTAATTATAAACTATGTGAGCACAAGAAGTCGCCTTGAACTCATCAGTATGAAAAAGGCGGATGAGGAGTAGGTTCCTGTAAGGTAATAGAAATCGTGGGTTGATTATTTCGTGAAAATATACCTACAATGACAGTATATATACGCATTTATAAAAAAAATAAGGGTAAAGTAGCCACTGTCAGTCCTTACATCGTTTATCATTGCCTTACTCAATTCAAAAGAAAAGTGAGCAAATAACTCTTAGCATGGACCTGTGAAAGCAAAGAAAACCGGCAGCAGTGAGCCAATTTACCTCCAAAGCGAGTCTATTTTTTCTGATTGAAGAATGATATTCAACCACAAGAGCACACAATTACGCGCCCTCTTCGCCCGCAGTCCCACCCAGAAAAAGCGAAAGCGGTTTACGAAGAGGAACGATTACAAATTTACACATTATGGCGCATTTCATCGCACCCATAGCAAATTTCAGAGAAAATTTTCTCTTCTCATACTAAAATTTAGGTTCAGCGTACGGCCTATTGGATTTACAAGTGCACCAAAGGCTGACTTTACCGCCGTGTCCTAATCAGGTTAACCTTTTATGAGGATTTACAGGGCCACATACTTGTAATGCAGTGATTGTTTAGGTCTCGGTGTTGGTAAGGGGACCACCTGGGCGCTTCGCCATTATATCTCATCCCTTTTTACGTCAACAATACATACGCTACCCTGGGTATCGTCATCTTGCCTCTTTAGAGAAGTCTCAGGTCGCTACAAACACTAACATCGTTAGTGATGTTGTGGTAATAATACGGTCCCGATGGCTCTCCCCCGCCCGCTTCGAAGATTTCGTTCACCGCAAAACGCGACAGCAAAAAACTATCTTTTCTGTTTACTGTAAGCCATGGCGCTAACCATGTTCAAGGGTCGAGAGAGCGGGAAACATCCAGTCTGAGTAACCGAGAGAAAAATCCACCGAGATAAACTCTTCCCGAGATCAAAAAGAATAAAAAACCAAGAGTTTTTACTAAACAATCTACGATCGTCATTGGAAATATAGTGTTTGTTTGGAATACGCACGATTAGTGAACGTCTTGACGGGATCTCTCAGCGACATCCTGAAAAGCAAAAACATCTGCATAACTCATGAATAAATTAGAAGCATCTTTTGCCCCAAAATAACTTCCCCTCTCAGCATGAAAACAAGCTACTTTGAAGCGGAAGATTGAAGGGCTAACCCTACCCGATTCGCGGCAATTACGTCATCCCATTCTTCCGTTTTGAGAAGCTTGATGGCTTCGATAATGGTATTCTTGACAGTTTCTGCACTCTTCTTAAAATTTTCCATCACAACTTCCACATTTACCTGAAAGGAAGCGGAAACACTGCAACTCAAAACCAGCATCTAGTAAGATCCTGTCTTGTGACAATACTACTAAAGTGCCCAATTTAAGTCAGTGTTCAAACTACTTTAATGTTTGCTTTTCATCAGTTCAACACAGAGAGTTATTCTAGAAAATTGAGGTCGAATATTATAGAAGTATATTGAATAGACAGGAAAGAAGAGCATTACCCATATTCGTCTTCGACTAATAACGTCGCAAAATTCAAAGTTCCAGAAAGAGAACTACCAAACCTGAGATATAAAGAAAGCGCAATCCCGTGTCATTTTCAAAGTAAAAACTCGAAAAGGAAGAAAAATACACTGAAATAGTAGCACTTAAAGCCATTCGCGCAGATGAGTGCAAGTTGAATCTCTTGTTGAAGGGATCGAATTGAAAAAATTGCGACAACCTAAGCGGGTAAACACGCTTCTAACGGCTTTACAGCGGACCAAATTGTTTATCGCTTTGCAAAACCTCATATAACCAAATTAAACTCGAAACAGACATTCATAGGGAATCGCGATTACTACCTAAAAAGATAAGTGGAATTGGCACGGAATGGGTGTTTTTACTCAACTTTGGCCAAACAAGTCTAGCATCAATGTGCTACCAGCTCATAGGCTACGATTTTTTATTACCTTAGCGCCTTTGTATTACCACAAGACTAGGCTTGCTTCTCTCTGTTGATACAGATTGAGAGTATGAAAAGGGTGGTGTAGAGCACTTACGGCATCATGTGAGTCGTGCCAAGCACAGTAGTCAGTAACAACGGCCAGTGTGGCGTATGAGAGGCCAGCCTCCCTGGCAAGAATCACCTCGGGCACGTTGGTCATGCTGATGACATCGAAACCCAAGCTATGGAAGAGTTTGGACTCACAACGACTCGAAAATCGCGGCCCTTCAATTGTCACGCAACTGCCCTTCAGATGTAGGCGTGGAACGTCATGCTCCGGTCGTGCCTCGCCCGGAATGTACGTGTTCGGCATGAACTTCTGCGCCGCCCTGATTAGCACCTGCAAGCCATATTAGGCCCCATTATTACGCGGATTAAAGGACGCCTGATATGGTCGGCTACGGTTCAAACTGTCGGCATTACTCCCAACGATCTCCTAGGCCAATGACTACATCATAAGAAATGGAGCCACCCAGGAAAGAGCGGAAGTTCCACTTACAGATAAACGATTTTAATGATAAACAATACCACTCCTAGTCAACGAAGGCTTTGGAGTAAACAAATGTCTTGAAAACAGATCTCAATAAGAACAAATAAAATACCCTCTTTCTGAAGTAAACCCACAGCAAAAGACTTCAGCAAAGAAGAGGGAACGAGTCAGTTACCTGACGAGTTCTTTCACAGTAAACAGTAGAGGCAGGGAGATGAACGACTCCCACAGGATGGTCAGGCTCGCCATCGTAGAAGGTCTGCTTGCGGTTTTGGGTGCGATCAAAGAAGTCGTCGAGAACAACGAGGTCACCCGGTTGAGTGTATTCCTGAAGACCACCACAGGCATTCGAAGCCAGCACGTGCGTACAGCCCGCCTCCTTAAGAGCCCAAATGTTGGCACGGAAATTCACATTCCCCGGCATTATGCTGTGCTTACGACCATGTCTAAAAGATGAGGTTGGACATGGTTCAATTCCCATAATAGCTGCCTTTACTGGAGGAAAATGGAATGACCTCTGAGGAAGTCACTGAAGGTTGGGGTAATATCTTTCTGAAGCAAAAAAAACAGTAGCTTTCCAAGGAACTTGAATATATAGGTACAGATAGGATAAGTAGACAAAGAATGAGGCAGTGCACGGGATGACCACCTTGAAAGGAGGACACAGGGCACACCAGCGATGGTGCCTTCGAGTAGCGCATCCGAGGGTTCGCCAAAAGGAGTTGTAACACGAACCTCATGCTGGTTTTCAAAGATTTCGGGGTCGTCTAGTCCAGAACCACCGATGATTCCAACCTGTAGGAAGAATAAAATTCTTTGGTTGGCTAAGTTTTACGGAAGAAAGGCAAGCAAGTGAAGCCTCCCTACCTTTATTTTCGAAGGCATGATTCGTCTAAAGACACAAACAAACATGAATTAAGTACTGTCAACCAAGAGTTGCAAGCTTTGCTTAAGAATGGTGGCACAAAAAATATGCTGCAAATAAAAATTTGCTGATTTAAAGCTACATGTCCAAATAATTATCGACATAAGTTATGACATGACAAGTCCAGTTCGATTCCCAACCACAGTAACCGGTGCATTAGGTTAAGCCCGATAAATAAGCGGGTACTTGACCATAGTGGACTTCCATACACGAACAAATTACTACCAGGACAAAGGACAAACCACCAGCAAGCAAAGCAGCGCCTTTATGCGACTCTCGTCGATGATTGCACGAACTGTGGACGATATAAACAAAGCAATTTTAAATACCCAACTTTCACTGAAATATTTAAAATGTCTTTAATCAATTAATACGTTGTTACTTATCAGAAAAAAATAAAGGTAGTGCAATAGTCATGACCTAATAGTTGTAGAAAGCCCCGACTTGGACAATAACTGCTGTGTATTTAAAAAATGCGCTTTAACACGCGCTTTTTCTGGCATTTATAAAGGATATTAAACATTTAATGCTCCGATTGTTAGGGCATAGTTTATCAGACCACACAGTTATTGCAATGAATGGTTTGCTGTATTGTAGCGCCACGAGTCGTTGCTGAAGTCGTATAAGTAAAGCAACTCAAAATTGTTAAAACGTTTAGCGTATAGAGAAGTTAGGAAACTAGTGGCATAACCTAAATGTCATGCCGCAGACCGGAACCACATCCTGTGGAGAATCATTTGTCTGCGCAACCAAGATATCAAGTGACTACATATCCCTCTCCTTCTTTTAAGCGATTTCCTTGACATTTACCTTGATCAAACTCCCACATTAACCAACACAACGTAGTCAACGCTTGAAAGACCCACCGCAAACTGGGAGCACCACCTACCAGATTTTTCGGATGCAAGAAGGTATCTGATTTCAATGCCGTTGATAAACCTCAATAATTCCACTGAAGTAGATTTTTTGCCCTGTTTATGGACTGCATTAGGGAAAATTTAATGCGCTGGCTTCGTACAGCTTACGATCGGCCGTTGCTCTGCAACGAGGGCACATCCTGCGCTAATCGCCACTTGTAAGAAAACTGGCCTAAAGTCAGGGACGTTTGATGCTGGTCAAGAACTACGATAATTTTACCCGACTAATATTTGGTATATAAGCCTACTCATCACTTTTTTCCAATATCATAATCATCCACCCTTCTACGTCGATGCCATTAAGTCAGGGGAGAAGTGGAAGAAGTCTTGCCTGTGCATGCACTCGACATCTTTAGGTAGGTATAGTCGACTTAACCAAATTGACCTCAATAAATAGATCAAGGGAACTCAAACAAACCACGCGCTTGTGCCGCGCAGTGTCAGATTTTTGGGAAGGAAGTCTTTGTGTCATTGGGCGGAGCTAACATAGACGACGGTGTCCATTTGAACACGTAAAAAACGCAGATCACACCGTAACTCATGAACACGTGTAGCGTCCCGAAACTACTCCACATTCCTGAAGAATCGGTAGTATGGCGGAAAGTAGTGACGCAAAGAAGAGCTGAAGGACCGCTGGCCTAGCCCGTAGACCATACCGCCGAGCGAGAGTGGAACTTATGGAGACTTAAGTGACCGCGTAACCAAACGCAGTCAAAAAGAATTAGCAACCGTTGCATGTAAATGCTACTTTGAAAGAAAAATTCAGAAAGTGATTCAGAGTATGATAGTCGCACCACTGGCCCAGCAGCTACGTTCAGAATGCTTCACCCGACAAGCAACTCGTAGGTATGATCACGGGACCGACGGCATCCGAAAAAACAAAGCGAATAGTCGGAAAGAAACAGCCAAAGATCCCAACTAGCCCTCAGACTAGAAATGCAGAAGGCACGCATTACTTCTTGACCTGCCGCCGAACGCGTAAAAACCCACGCAGTTTTTTGCTGCTTGCCCAAAGACGGTGGGGTTCTGCCATCCAAATGCACTCACAAAGAAAGAGATCCAGCACCCAACTCCTGAATCCAGAGAAAGGGCAAGACGTAATTGGCTCAAGCTCTCGCGGTAGCATTTCCAAGCAGAAGAACCACCTGGTAGGAGAAAACTAAGCACATCTGAGGTACAAAGTGGAGAGCAACCTGGGACTCTGATGAATGGCTATATAACTTCGTAAATCAACCCACCTTCCGAAACATAGGCAGCACCGTTAACCACTCCCCTACCGTCCAAGAGGTGATGGGAGCTAATGCAAGCTATCACGTAAACACAAAAACCAATTTACGTAGGACTTTAAGATGGCAAACCCACATGATGTAAGATTGGTACACGGATAAACAACACAGGTAACTAGTGGTAACTAGCATTTTGCTGGATACCCGTTAGACTGCAAATGCCTTACCACGGACAACTCGTCAGAAGGCAGAGCTCACAAGTGGACTGTTTCCCACGCTACTTGATAATTTATTTAATCAAAGAGACTGAAGCCCATATCACCTTCGGACTCTGATTCTTCCTTCTCCGATTCCGGAGCCTTCGTTTCGGTAGGCGCTGCGCCTTTGTCGTCAGCATTGGCTTCTGCAGATGCAACCGGGGCATTGGTGACAGTGCTGGCAAATTTGCTTGGATCAGCCAAGTATTCCTTAATCTATCAAATACACACATGAGGCAGGAAATAAAACCCTAATTACCTGCTCCGATTCCTTAAAGGTGTAGTCGGTAGCAACCGATATGGACAAAAGATCCCTGAATCCATTAACAACAATGTATCCAATATTGGCGAACGTCGGATATCCAAGGCCCAAGCCCAACGACGTTACATTCGTGACAGTACGACTAAATTTTTCAATGATTTGTTCGGGCGTGATATCCAAGACTTCGGGTCCGTAAACCGAGCCTTGGTCGAAGACCTATAGAGCGGTTACGTTTGTGTAAGATTACCTGACGGATCTGGAGACCATAATCAAAAGGGTTGATCTTCAACATTTTTAGAAGAACAGCCTCGCTTTGACCGACCTTTTGACCTTTCTTGATTAGAGGAACGTCGCTGAGGATTTCAATAGTACCACGAGTGATTTTAGTTTGAATGTTCAGTGCCTGGAAAAAGCTGGTCTTCTCGGGACCGAGGCCAGTGTTCAAAGCAGGAACTGTGACATCACAGGGAGCAACGGTACCAGCTTTGGCTGGTGCTTCAAGGCGGTTGCTCTCAAGAGCTTTACGAACCTCGCCAAGATCGCGAATGGTGAAGACGAGACCAACATTCTCTTTCAGAAGAGGCAGTAACTTTTCCAAACGAGAATCTCGCATCAACTGGTTATTGATGACTTTCTTCATCTGAGTATTCTTCCCAAAAACGATTTCAGCCGAACCCCGAAGGGCAGCACGTATCTGCTGCATCTGCTTGGAGCGGACATTATCCGCACACACGACGAAGCAACGATCATAGTTGTGGAGAATCTTTGAGAACTTCTTAAAATATTGCTCCTTGCGCTCGCGTCGTGTTAGCTGGACCATTTTTACTTTAAAACACCGTGAAACGACGAAACACCCAAAACACGCAAGGCGAAGAACAATAGAGCAACTTGGCCAGAACACCAATTTAAACAAAGCCTCCCTCCATGACATTTTCTGCATCAAAGGACAAATTACAGACACAAACCTCATGACTAAAAATTAACAACACAATAAAGAATTAGTCGCTTTTCCATAAATCGTAATTAATATGGCAGTAATTGTGGCGCGAATCTGAGAATTGTGCATCCTTACTTGTAAACATAATCGTTGAGAAAAATGAAACGCATATGTCTTCCCAGTGTATTTCCTACTTACATTACATCTTAGCTTTCAACTTTATTAGCTTATTCATTTTAAATACGTGATAGTAATCAAAGCACTTTATTCGCTTATTGATAATATCGGGGTTGTGGAATAATTAGTTCCGAAAGGTCCCATTGCCTTTTTTCCCAATATTTCACTTAGTTTTATGGAATGGTCTATATACATGATGCTATTTGGTGATCCGAATCTTCCCTGAAGTCGCAGTTGCAGTTCATACTACTAACGCTCAGAATAGGAGTCCTTAAAGATGCAGAACAGTGTAGACCGAACGAACAGAATCCACTCTTTTCTCCCTTTCCAAGCTCACCGGAAAACAAGCATTGGAATAAAAGAAAATTTGCACCACATTTGCAGAGAATTCTTTCGAATAGTAAGCATCCTTACTGTTTTCCTTCTCAACAGGATGTTGGAGCGATTCGTTGTATTAAGCCGGAGAGATTAATTGACTCCGTAAAAACCTAGTATCTTATCTCGGTGTCATTCAAGGATTATGGGTTAATGAACAATCCTAACAATAAAGCGGCCTAATTTTACAAACAGAATGGTCTTTTTCAGGAACTGTTAATATACTTGAACTGTTAATATACTTTAATATACTTGAACATTAGAAATTGAAGAGAGCATTGTGATTAATGAATGTCTGTCAGCTATGCTTAAGCCTTCCAAAGATCCAGATGCTTCTAAGTGCTTGATAATCAGACATTCTACCTGACTATGCGAGTGTGGCTGAAGATAACAATAAGACTTCTATTTGCAATGTAGAGAAATGGGACTTACTGCAACCGCATGATTCAAATTGTCAGCAAAAAATAGACCCATTTCTCATATTCCGTGGTAAAGTGGTGGTTTTTATTATTAATAAACATTTTCTTAAGAATATGACCACACGAGTGTTAGTAAACACGAAGCTCACTCGGCCTTGTTAGAACAAATATATTCGAACAGGACATCAAGGATTGATGACAAATTAATGCACAGCTAGAGTACTTGTTACCATCCACCGTCTTATAAATCTTTTCTGTCACACACACTCACACAACGATCACCGCTGTCTCTACAACAACGCACGACTGACAACAAAAACCGGTGAATTTAAAATAACATCGAAATGCCATCTCAGTGCTTTTAGGTATCCCGAAGGCCCACGAGCTCGGAGCGTTTCACACATCCGATGAATTGGTCGGCTACCTCATTAAATTCCGCGATGATTTTTTCGCACTCCTGCTCTTCATCATCTTTATACAACTGCTCAGTGAGGCTGAGAGAGTAGGCGTCGAGGTAGCTTTTGGTCCACTTGAATCTGTCCAAGCCCGACCAGAGGATAAAGCTCGCTATCATAAATTGGACCATCTCGTGGTCGTGCGACTGCAGAGTGGGATCTCTGCGTACCACTTCGAAGCTATCTGTCAAAATGGCCACGAACATGCTCAACATAATGAAGATAATGAAGAGGGAGAAGGTCGCAAACACCATAGGACCGAGAACGGGCTCCCTTTCATACATTCCCTTGACATCGAACTTTCCCAAGACGATCTGAAAACTCGTCTCCATGGAGGAGATCATTGTGCTGTAAGCAGTCATGGTATCGAAGAAGAGCAGGTAGAAGGTGACCACGAAGGAAAAGAAGATTATGGCAAAGACGATAAAGAAATACTTCATGTCGCGATTGGCGTATCTCAAAACGGAGCCCAATAGACCAATGTTCTTATCGAAGCGGAGGATGTGCATTAGCATGAGGATAGCCACAAAGGTGACGAGAGCCACCAAGTAGGAGAGAGTCTCATTCCAATTGGCTACCATCTGGAAGTTGGCATAACCGTTCCCGTTGGATCGGTAGAACTCCAGTGTCAATTTTTTAACCTCTGTTATGATGTAAGCATAAATGGCAATTGCACCGAAGGAACAGAAAATGATGAACATCTGAGCCCAGGCTTGAAAGGTGGAGAAGTAGTGAAGACGCTGAAGAAATAGATTACGAATCTCCTTTATCAACATTACGAGCAACGCGATCACGAAGAGAATCTGTGAAAGACGAAAGACGTTCAGCATTAGTTGCAATAGATGCAACATGGTTGCATCCAAAATATGTCGGTGGAAAATCTGTGAAAGAGAATAGTCATTGGTAATCATTGAAATCTTAAATAGTTAATACCATCACATGCAATCATTTGTCGGCAAACTGAGAAAAAGTTTGAAATGTAAGCATAATGCTAAATAACAGTGGCTATAATTCATAGAGGTAGAGCAAATACCTGACAGGCAAGCTCAAAAGCCTTGACATTGCTGATAGAGAAGGAGAGCAGGTTAGCCGGTTCAATTCGGAACGAAGGGATTACGCCACCCGTGCCGGGCAGTTCAAACTTGATGACGATAATTCCAAAGAGATGACTTCCTGGATTGAAGGTGGCCATCTCCACAATGACCGCACGGGTCCGGTGGTCAATCCAGCCCTGCTTATGCAGGTTCTGTATCTCATTTAGGAGCTGACTCGAACTACCGCGCAGCTCATGCACATAGCCGCCACCGGAGTAGAAGCCCAACTGGCCTTTTGTGAAGAAGCCGTCGCGTTCCACAGCTCTTGTGTAGCGGTACTGCAGAGGCAAGTCGTTGTGTGCCAGCTGGGTAGGAATCCATCCAGGCAAGTAGTCCCTCTCATCCTGATCCCACAAGTGGTACTGACTGAAACACTCGTTGAAAAGAGGCTTCATCTCCTTCGTCACAGTGCATGAGTCTGAAGGTAAAGTTAAACGAAGTGAACCGTTCAAAGGCTGAATGGCGTCAATGGCAAAAGAATTTATTGACGCATAGTCTTGAAGGCGGTCTACGTCTTCACACCGTTAGCAAGAAGCAATTTCCAAACAAATACACCCAAACAGTGTCCAAAAATAATTGCGAGGTGACATAACCTTCGTTTCCACAGGAATGTGAGCTTCCATTAGCATTAGCCGGTCCGTTAACAAAAAGATTTTGCTTTGAAGCACAGTTTCTCACAAGAGTAATGGTTTATTAGTGCATTGCCAAAGAGAGTCGCTTAATAAGGTTTTATTTCCATGAATTTTATGAGACTCTTAGGGCTAAATTCGTTTAATCCCGGCTCCGTTACCACGCCTTTAGGTCAAATGGTTAAAAATACTCATATTTTGAGTTATATCAACATCACCGACTTCGAGGTATCACTTTAAAAAGGGATAATGAAGAAGTAATACGTTGGTTATTTGATCCTTGATTTTGGTAAAGGGACTACTTTGAATCTTCACAATTGTACCTTCGTTGGAAGGAGAGAGGCATTGACCTTCGGGTTATGTCAGTAGCCCCATGCCCTTCTCCTTTCATTCGTCTCCAGAAAAGTCTCTAATCGCTGCATTTGTAGCAGCGGAAAGCAAACCCTCTCTTGAAGGATGCCTATCCTGACTTATACGGCTGGGTGACAAACCTTAGCGGGGCAGAAGAAGTGCATATGCTATGGATGGGAGATTTGCTGGCGATCCATAAGAGAAAGGCTGAAAATGACGTGTATCTCCGACCTCTATCCCAGTCCCATGTTCAATAGGAGTGCTATCAACAGCCGAAGCGACACTAGCTGCGAACCACGGAAAAAAAAGTTTCTTTACAAAGCCACTGACAGTACCTGTATGAAGATATGAATTATGTGATCTCACGATACCTCCTCCACTTCTCCACTAGCTGGATAATACCCGGATAGATATGACTGGGCAGCTTTGAAGCAAGAGCAAGATGCCAAGGAATAACAGAAGCTAAGCTCTACCCCCAAGGTGCTGTTAAATCCAGTCCTTTGTTGTTTTCCTCTGCTTTTAAGCCAATGCTCCCGTGACTAGCTATGACACAAGTGATGGCTAGCATATTCCCTGCTTCCCAATTACATTTCTTAAACAGGACGAAACTCTAGATCCGGTAGGATTGCCAAGAGGGATTAGTGGCGTCGAGGTCAAATATCTCCCCAATTGCACATTTGGCTTGTGGGCGTTTTCTTACACCACCAACTATGTTGCTGCGGTCGACGCGGGAGGTTGGCCAAGCGGACCCGCAAGAACGTAGCTCGAAAGCGGAGGGGGGCTATGTAACTTGTTAATGGATTGTTTAACTTTCAGTTTCAGCAACGAGCCATTTGGGTGCTTCGCCATTGTATCTTTACCGGGTGGGCTGGCCTCCAAGTTATGATAGTAGCCCCACGCCCTACTGTTCTGTCTGAGTATTTTGTCTTATTTCTTCCTTAGATAAGTCTCAGGTGCTACAGTAAGAACAACTACAGATAAGCCTAGAAATGGCTTTTAAAGTTCCCTTATTCTCATTTAATTGAGCTATTTGTGTTAACATTTTGGTGCATTAAAATTAACCTATTTAGGCACATACGAAAGTGAGCTTTTGTGCGCCCTCTAAAAACATCACTTTTATTATAAAAAGGGCCTTATTTAAGAAGAAAATTCAGTGAGACAGTAGGAAAGCACCAGTAAAGATTTGGTGTTCCAAAAATTGGCCCAACTCTACCTTTGTCTTTTACTTGCCTGGGCTAATGTCACAGAGTTCGGTGGGACAATAGCCTATTAATGCCCTATATTAGTGTTGGCATAAAAGTAAACTTGCACATAAATCAGTTTAGGATGGCGAGAATTAAGTTTTGCATCCTTTTTGAGCCAAGAAATCGTCAAAAGAAGAGGGGGAACTTGCCTTCCTTAATACGAACTTGTCGTATAGTTGCGTAGCCCATGATTCGGTTCTTGCGGTCGCCAATAAAGCCCCGCTGTCCCAAAGGCGGAGCGCCGTTGTACCATCTTGAGGCTCGCAAGTTCGGCAGCAAAGTCGACTCAAACCATTCCCATATCCTGTCGACTGAGTTGATCTATGCATTTGTTGATATAATTGGTTATCAACATAAAACTTTATTTTCCTAATGACGCCAGAATTTGTTTTCATTTACACTAAAAGCACGCTGTACTATGATTTCAAGCAAAATCCTATTCATTTGCCCTTAAATTCGTTTGGCATAATTTCAAGGTAGATGTCCAGCCATTAATATAGAGTATGTTTGAAGAAAGGTATACCAGCTTAGATATTCCCATTGGCGGAGACCCACCTCTTCAAAGTCGTCGCCACTGAAGAAGAGGGAGGCGAGACTCTCCCGCAGACGCATAGCCATAGGGTCGCGGAAGCCGTTGGAGACGATGACGAGGAGGGTGAAGAAGATGAAGAAGAAGAGCAACTCACGCAGGATATCATACATCTGTCGCTGTTTCTGTCTGTATGCCCGTGCCCTCTCCAACGCCTCCTGATCGGGCGGACGTATTACGTAGCTCTCGATTTTCCCTCGCACTAAACACAGACAGAGTTACACAGTAGGATGAAAAACAATGCGAATGGGAAATGGGAAAGTTGAGGTAATTGGAGACAGCAGCTTGATTTGCAGAACAGTCACTTTTGCGTTCATTATGTGAAAATTATTGCAATAGAGGACAAATATATATGCAGATAACATGGCTCATAAAACCTGTAAAGCATGGTCTGCTATAAAGAAGGACCTATCATGGAGCCAGCTTAAATGGCTTACAAATTTCCTCATGCAGGTATTCTTCGCCAAAGTTTAACCTATATCGGCGACCAAGAGTATTCATCAGAGCATCGTCTTCCTCAACAAAGTCAAAATCTGACGTGTCCGCCTTTGATTTACAGATTACGGCAAAGAAGATTGCAAAAAAGATTACCTAAAAGTAGACGTAAAATTAGGCAAAGTAACAATCAGCTCCAGGGGAAGGGAGGCCAACCTTGACTGGTTGTGTTAGACAGAGGTCCATGAAAAATGAGACAAACAATGAGGAGAGCCACTGTTTGCAGGCAGCGTCACCGAAGCTGATTCCGTAAAAGGTGGTGAAGCCTACAGAAGCCGCAATTGCACCGATGAGGAGGAACCATGCTAAAATGCGCGTTTGCCAGGGTAGAGAGAACTTCTCCGATTTCCTGATGTTTAACTTCTTCTCCTTCGACTTCTTTTCAATGGGTTCAGGGCTTTCCGAATATGGTGGGGGTTGATTGTCTTTCGTACTGAAAAGGGATCACGCGTTGCCGTGACAACAATGACAAGGGCATTGAAACGAGAGACAATTGATGACCGGAAGTTCATTTTTAACAAAAGTAGAAACAAAACGAATGATGCAATCTCTAGGGATTGAAGTTGATTGTTTCCTAAAAAAAATATTTAACTAGAATTTACCACTGTGATTATTAAAATCCCGATTCTGATCAAAAGTTGGCATGGAAAAGGTCGGTCTAGCATATTTTTGATGCAGTTCTCCATGTTTTGGAAACACTTACCCTTCAAGAGAAGAATAATGAGGCAGCACTCTGTCGAGATAGGGTTGAGCATGACCTTCCACGATTTCACATGTGTCGTAGTCCAACTCCTCATCCAAGTGGTCCTCCACCACACCTCGAAGTAGCGCCGAATGACTGGCGCGTAGCTTTGAGTTACGAAACAGCATTATAACCAACGTGACCGGAACGAATGTAATGAGGCAAGTCACGGCTCCCGTGTAAGCCTAGAAATAGGATTTCAAGTCTTTGAAAATCTACCATCATAAAACATTTGCGCCGGAGATAAATAAAAGTCTGCCTTTACTTCGAGCGCATATAATGGTCCGATCCCACTTGAGCAGACTTGTCCACATAAGCCAAATTTTCAAAGAAGATAAAACCGGCAGTCGGTTATAAGCAGACCCTCTAATTTTGACTTTTACCCTTTTATAACTCGATAAAAGGAGTAATTTAATCAAAGTCTGCCTCTAAACTCTAGCAAGATTTTGCAAATTTCGAGAAGAGAGACTCTTAAGAGCGATATCCTTAATGAGTGGTTAGGATGGAAATGATGACCCATAGGTAGGAAAACTGTAGTTAAGGTGGGGTAACAGAGAACACAGTTTTCCTTCCAACTCAATGCGGCAGATTATTTGATACATACTAGTAGCTTGACCCACCAAAGGGCTAACACTTTGGTCTTTGGAATAGTTAGAACTGTCACACCATGGAACAAAGAAACAATATGAATTCAAAAGAGAAGGAAGTAAATGCTTGCGCCTACCACATAGGGGGTGAGGGCAAAGGGACCAATGGCAAACTCAAAGTCAACCACGGCGGGACCCTCGTTCTTGTAGAACATACAGGAGGAGACCATGGTGAGAAAAAGGGCAAGGAGACAGCAGGCCACCCGCTCCACCCGGGTGAAGCGGGAGTGAGCGGGCCGCGTGAACACGGAGGCCCAGAGGTGCTTGTCGCTCGCGTCACTCTTCACCTTGTGCGAGAACACGTAGTAGAGACGCAGACGGTCCAGCGCACCTGCCACAGGAATCACTCTGTCGACCTACACGAACACACGCATAAATCTAAGTCGAATACATCAATCACTTATGTGACGTAAGTATGTGGTTATGTTGTTTGTAAATTTAATGTGATTAAGAATTGCGTGTTGTCATTTCGTCATCCATGATTTCGGAATATTTATCAATTGAATGCTTTTATTATTTTGACTGTGGGATACACAGTGGAATACGTTGATTGTTTAATTCTCGGTTTCGGTAACGGGTCACTTAGGAGCTCCGCTAATGTACAATTTACCGGGCAGCTTAACTTCCGGGCCATACCAGCAGACTCCAGCTCTTCTGTACCTCGACAGTACATACTATTCCTAAGTATTGTTTTTTCCTCTTCTGGAAAGTTGTGATCGCTGCAACAGTTCGGGTTGGTATTTTAATTACGGGATAGTATTTCGCATAACAGTGCACCAGCACAGCCCTCCAAAATCATAAATCATAGGCAAAGATAAAGAGACTCACTAGACCATCGCCCTCCTCGACGGCTAACCACTTTTCAACAATAAAGTTGTACTTCACTTTGGTCTGCAAATCGACAATAGCGACGAAGTCGCAGTACCACGACGCGCCGTCCCCCTTCCCAGCGTTGTCATGCCAAAGTCGCAGAAATTTCAATTCTCCTAAAGGTCTGAAGCACATTTAAGGGGGTCAAGAAATCCAAAGATTTACTATTTGTGTCTGTATATATTGTCCAGGAACCGCCCATTGATTTATAACTCGTATAATCTGGCAATGAAATTTATTTGGCAAACTGAACAGTTTTCGTCGTTCTTGCGGTGCTGGTTGTGGCTGTCTCAGTGGTGGCAACCGTTCTCGTTGTCGTGATAACACTCTCACTTTCACTCTCTGTCGATGTCTCGGTTTCTGTCACAGAGTTTGTAGTTGATGATGTCTGAAACCTATTACGCACACTGTAGCTGACTCGAGGTTCAGATTGAGATCGTCTCCTTTCCTCCATTCTTCCCCCCGTTCCTGGAAGTATCGCCGGTAGCTTCGGTGAAAGATAATCTTGTTGGCTAAAAGAGGTCATATCCCCAACAGTAGTCGTCTCCTGCCCCTGCTGAACTGATTTTGCCTTAACTCTCAGTCTTTCCAGAGTCGCCTCATTCATACTTACTAAAGCTGTATGTTCCGAGATGGAATTAAGTAGTATTTCAATCTTTATTTTCAGCAGTTCTTGCTCTTTTTTGAGTTGAGAATTCATCTTGCGAAGGATGAGTATGTCATTGGAGCTAAAAAGGTGGTTTTCATCCTCGCAAATTTCCGAGTCCAAGGCAACAAGGCGCCAGCCAATGTCACCACCCTCCCATTCAACTTGAACATCACTCAGTCGACAGGAGGGCTTCGGCAACTCCATCACCCTCGTTGACGCGGGTCTTGGACAGAAAGCAGTGTCGTAAGTAGAAGTGCTGGTGAGTGTTTCAGTGTTTGAGATGGTCCGCGATGTCTCGCTAGTGACTTCCTCCACAGTGGAAGTGATTGGTGTGCTTTCACTGCTGCGTTCACGACGTTGTTGAAGTCTCTGCAACCTGTTCTGAGTGGCGGTCAAGACGTTGACCGCCTTATGCAGTGTCGAGGTTGCAGCTCTCATCACGCATTTCGGTGGCTTAAAAATTTCCGTGTGCTTGTGTAAGTCGAGGTTCATCATCCCGCCGCTCTTCTCTCCGTGGAAAGGCGATTTGCTGAGTTCAGCACGCACAATCGATTATTTGTCGATAAAATCGATTTCAATTAGCCACCATTAATGCGGTATCAGATTCTGTTTCACTCACAACTGCCTTGGCGCGAAGTAAGTTGATCTTGAATTCTTTTTAGAAATTACCTCTTTTCAATTGTTTTTATTATCATAATTGCGATTTTACAAAATGATTTTGTTTGATATAACTGCCATACATTGCCTAACTCTCGGCATTGGTAAGGGCGCTAATTCGGGCCTCCGCGGCTGTGCCTTCATGGGAAGGGGTGGTGTACGGACCATGTCATTTGCCACCACGTCCTTCTCTACGTCAACAATATATGTTCTGCTCGAGTATATCTCTTCTGTCGTCTTCAGATATGACTCGGGTAGCTACCTTGGTGGCAACAGTAAGTGAACCCAAGCTTAAAGACAGCTATCCTGATTTTTACCACTGGATGTTGAATTTTAACGTAGCGAAAGAAGGACATATGCCGTTGATGAGAAAATCGGTGACGACTCATGACAGAAGGGCTGAAAATGGTGTCCACCTGCAAAAGTACCCCAAGCCCGTGGTCTGGAGTAACACTAGATAAAGTCGTGAGCGCTGTGGAAAAGTTCGTTACGGAGATGTCTACTGTACTTGCATGAAGATGTCAATCAAGAGGACACGTGATACCTCCTCCACCTGTTTAGCTACTGGATAGAACCCAGATAGATATGGCTGGACAGCTCTGAAGTGAAAACAATATGGCAAGGTGGAATAGGCGCAAAGTCCTACGTGCAAGGAATTATGTTAACTCTCGTCTTTGTTATTTAACCATGCTCTTGGGTCAGTGCTCCTACGACTAGCTGTGGACACGTGTGATAGCCAGCACATTTTCGCGTCCCCAAATTTGGTTCCTTTACAGGACAAAACTCCAGATTCAGTAGAATTGTCAAGAGGGAACAGTAGTGTTGCGGTCAGGTAGCTCCTTAGTTGCATGGAAATTCGATGACTGGTGCAGTTGGCTGATGGATGTTCCCTTACAGCACCGATTACCTTGTAGTGGCTGGTGTTGGGGGTTGACCAAGGGGAACACCAAAGGCGACGCGCAAAAGAGGAGAAGGGCTAGGCAATGCGTTAGTTGTTTTTTAAACCTTCCGTTTTTGTAAAGGGGTCACTTTGGTCCTTCACCATTGTATCTTTGCCGAGTGGGCTGACCTTTGGCCAATGACAGTAGATCTAAGCACAATCATTACGCCTTCTTTCATCCTCAAGGAAGTCTTGGGAAACTCTATAACTTTATTTACTAAGGAGAGTCCAGCTTTAAATTAACGACCCTTACGCATCAGATGAAACACTACGGCATAAACCATGACCAGCTAGAATTTGAAGAGCAGGCAAACTAACCTAGCGGCAGCAAGAAGGAAGCGGTTGACATTGCCTCGTTGGAGCACCTTTCGATGGGGGTCGCGGAGCGTGAAGGGCGCGGTGCCACCTCTTTCTCCGTTCACCTGTATGCAAACGGTAGAGGTGGTGCCAGCACCTCTCCTCATCCCTGTGCACACAATCACCTCGTAAAGATATTCATCCGCCGGATTGTTCTCCGCCAGTGGAGTTACCCCCAACTACAAAATTACATCCCCGTTGTTTAGCATGCATGTTTACTTCTTCGGGGTCTAGAGAGCAAGTATGGTAAACCAACTTTCTGCAGGTCCTTATTATCCATCCGCCGAGCCCATATAAGCAGAAGGAGGAAGATGATAGCAATTATAATTTCCGTTGCGTAGAGAGTGGCATTCTTCTCAAACTGGATGTTTTTGAAGACGTAGTTGAGGTCAATCCTGTTGGGTGGAACCAACCACCCGGCACCAAAGGTAGTCAGATGATCACAGACACAAACTGTGGTGCGTGATGTTGACCTGCGGTCGACCTTTTGTAAAGCAGGGAGTCATTAACTTCTGTGTAAAGTTGCCTCAAAGGACGTGGAAATCGGCAACTTCCAAACTAATTTTTTATTTAATTTTATCCTCCAGAATGAATGCAGACTTTAAACACAGCAATTTCTTCTTAGCTGTTTTTTATTTTAAGATTCTTTGTAAAGTTGGTTTTAAATGGGGTTATGAACGTGCTCTCAGTGAGTGAACGATTACTACTTTGTTACTCTATTACTCAATGCTAAAATGATGTACCACACAGCCTTTGGTGCTCCACTCCATCAAATTCTTCTCCAGAAAGTCGCAGGTGGTTGTAAAGCCTCGATATTTGATTGTTGTGTTGATTTGATCAAAGAATGGGTAAGGCATTGGAAGTGCCTTCCAGTCAAGATTCATTTCCTCTGTACTGAGTTGCCTGAAACCAACCCACAAGGTCTTAAGCATGGAGTCGCCTATCGTTTGCCCTTCAGTCATATCCAGAGCCTCCTTTTTATACGTGGCAAAGTCAACGTTGTTAATAAAGAAGGTGAAACTGGCCTCCCTTTCCTCGGCAGTAATTGGCTGTTGATCTAAAATAGGATCAGATGGGGCAATAGGTTCATTATAACCTTGCAGCTCAATTAACACTCTTTTTGCAACGAATGGAGGAGGACACACCGTATGTAGTAGGTGATGGCGGGACAAGGGCCCAAATAAGACCCCAGTTGGCCTCGACCTTTGTCAGATCAGGAGGAACGACAAATCTGCAATTAAATTAAGTAAGGCTCTAACTTTAGTATACTATCTCCAGTAGTCTACTGCAATTTTACACAAAAAATTTTCCACTGCTATTTTGCTCCCATTTTTCTTAGAAACTATGGATTTGGCTTTTCAACGATCAAATTAGAACCCCAACTGGATATAAGATAAACACTAATGAAAGCTTTGGGAAGTATCAGCAATGCGACAGATGGGAAGGAATCAGCAAGAAAAGGTAAACAGAAAAGTGATCGAATTTCGCTTATTGTCTCACCTCGCAACAACGAGGTATTGCGGTTTACTGACGAGATCATAAGGCTCGATTTGGAAGCTAAAACTCACGTCCTCTTTGCCAATTTCGAAGCCGACCATCACCAGTTGTTGTCGGATAATCGTTTCATCAACTGCAACAATGGGATCGGGCAGTTTCAATGGACGTCCATCAGGGGTTCCTGATGTAAAAGGGGGTAAGCTATCTCCTGGTTTCTAAAATGGACAGCGTAATTCACTAATTAATTACTTTCTTGCTAGAACACTCAGTCTTTATTTGCGTATTTGACTGAAATACTGACGACCCAATAGAGAGATTGGTCCATCTGACTTGAGAAGAAACTCGCTCACCATAGCGATTCTCACGGTGACGGAACCAGGCATTTCCTTGACGGAGAGCTCTTCACCATTCTTGTAGAATGTCAGCCCTACAACCTCCGAATGGGCTGCAACTGAATTATGCGCAACATCGGCAAACCCAAAAAGACTCCCGTTTGCAACCATTGCCTAAAGGCAAAATATTCAAATTCAGGTTTGCAAAAATAAAGTGTGTTGGATCACAGGGTTTAAAGTTACAACGACCATCTGCTATCACCACTTACCCACATTTGCACAGTCTTGAATGCGGTCATATAGCTATTTACGCTCGATGATGAAAGCGATTTAATATTGGTGTAGTAAGATGGGTTTATTCTGCAGCTAACACACCCCTCTCTACTTCCCTTCTACTTTTCCCTTTCATGAAGCTAACCTGAATAAGAATATCGTCCGTATCGTTAAACAAGCCACCCAGTTCTGTAAAGGTTATGGAGGAGGACGAGGCGTCATTGTAAAATCTGGACAACCACGAATCCGCCTTTGACTTTGGTACTTTGCGCAGGGAGATCTTCCCAAGGTGTGTCGAGGAGACGATACCCTCATCGCTCGCGAGAAGTGAACTTAGGCTCTTTGTTACCTCTTCTTGCAAAGTCACTAGCTGGCGGTAGAGGTTCGCACTCTAAATAAAAGTGAAGTGTTGGCAGTAAGTGGGACTAGTTTGAATCCCACAAATAGCATAGGCTTACTGATAATTTGCCTGGTTATCAAGCAAATAGATGTAAAATCATGGTGACAATTACAGTAACGTTTGGTTGTGAAACATGACAGAAGTGGAATTGAGCGATGTTTGCATAAAATCGGAATTCATATAAAAGGTCAAACAAAAAGATGGTTCACTTAGGCCTACAGTCATCCTAGTAAATAGTCTGTAGTAACGCGTCATCAATTCCTATCACACCTCACTCGTGATTCCTATGTACTACCTAGCTTCCGTGACACCAATACCGAGTACATATATGCTCAGCCTAATTCAACTACTTTATCAGTTTTGCGTAAAACACACAGGAAGGTCAACCAAGCTAACCATAGACTCTTGGTTCCTTTGAGCATTGGTAGCTGCCAATGAACGGTACTGCTCCGTTGCCGTATCGCCATCAGGGTCTGAAAAGGAACAATTGTGAACCGTTATTCCGTGGAGATAACTACACAAGCTTTGAATTATGTTAACTGAAGAACATATACTTTAATTAAAAAAGAGTATACTATGACCAAATTTTAGATTGCTTCCTAGGATTTACTTTGCCTACTCCAAAATGACCCATTTTTCATTTTCTTCTAGTCAGCGTTAGACTCGTAAGATTGCTCATAATTAGTAAAGTCAGGTACTCTTAAATAATAACGTAATATATATAATTAATGCCAATATTCGTCATAGGGTTTGGTGGTCAAATACTATGTTATCTAAGGTTTGCCATGCCATTGTTTCAGTGCTTAAAACGCCAACTTTAAGGTTACTGGAAGGGCGTGGTATTGGTTCGAAATTTCCTGGGTTGCCGACTTTGCTGGGAAACAATGAATGCAAGAAACTGGAACACTCATTAGTCCTACTTTTGACAAATTTCGATGCAGTGCCTTATGAATGTCCCTTTAGTATATCCCATCCTTAAGTCTTACTCTAATCACCCGTCTTGACAACACCAAACAGGCCAGTAACTGCTTGACAAGACATTGAAAACGTTAGAATGGTCCAGCTTGTATCTATCAAAGTCTGTTATTAAAAAGAAAACCAAAGGTTCTAGTTGGTCAATGTGGCACAAATTTGGTAGGTGGAAATGTTGGTCTGTTTAAATATGGATTTATTTCTGGCTTTCCCTTTGTTTTGGCATGGCTTTTATGTGCAGTTTATTGACTTGAAAAGAATTTTACCTAGCAGTATCTAAGAGTTCTGACCTTTCTTGTAGTTTTTTTGTTGGATAGTTACGAGGTAAAGTAGGAAATGTCACTGAAGTGGAAGACATTTATGCAAAACTGTGCTAGTAATCGAATGTAATGGCAATGATCACAATTATTATTATTGATAAATGCAGAAAAGCGGTTTTTTGATTGCTTAAGCGTTTCTTTAGCAAGGCAAGGTGATGGTTGCATGAATCTATTCTATCACAGTAGTAGGTATTGGAATTGGCCAAAAAGATTTTGTAGCTTGATTTAGAGACATTTTGGCGATAAACTACAGTCATAAAGAAGAATGACTTCAATTATTTTCAGTTTGACATACCAGAATTTTTGATATCTATATCGTAACCCCTTTCCGAAAGTTCGGTCAGGGCATTTTTGTGACGTGGCGAGTTGAGCTGTGCTTGGGCACCCTGAATACGAAGAAGCAAATTCAAATGGGGATTGCTTAGCTGGACATTTTACACAGGCGCTCCTCTGGCTGACTTACAGCAAGCATATCTAAGAATGTGGAGAGAACCATAGCTCCGATGGCAACTGATTCCTCCTTCGAGGAGGTCTGTAAAGCACTGTGAAAATTTTGGATCGCATTCTGAATTACGGTAGAGAGTTTGAGCTGTGCTGAATAGGGCATGTCACTTGAAGTTGTTTCAACCGCACTCAAGGTGGAGACGGCCATTTTCAACGCATTTGTGTTCTTCACCTTGAGTTTGTTCGCGGCCGCCACAGACTGGGTGACGATCTTGTCAACATATATATGGAAAATGAGGTCGTTGCTAAAGTACCGTCGACGAATTTATTATCTGCTCTCTTGAAAGACAGGAATTTAATATTTTATCAGTGTTAGCCACATGATGCTGACCTGCTTTTCTGTGATTTGGTATTTAGGACTAGTTAAAAATTTTATAGGCACTAAAAATAATCGAAATAGGAGCTAAGCTAACTCGCTATGAACTTGAAAACCAATATATGCTCATACAGTCTTTAAGTGGTACACGACCTTCATGCAAAAATGCAAGGACGACTAAATGCCAAAAAACTTACACCAGTTCTCATGCTTGCCGCCTCAATGGAGTGGGTAAGATTATCCTGAAGTAAATGAAAACAGAGCATCAGTGACACCTCAATAGCTTGTTATTTTTGAATAACACTAGCTTTTTCTACTTACCAAATACCCTGAAGGGAGTTAAAGGCAGAAAAGAGAGAAGAAAATTATGTTAGAATCAGCGTTGATCATGGTGGTGCTTGTTTTTTATCCCTTAGGGGTATGCGAGATGCAGGTACGGTGAAAGTATACATTTTAGCACGAATGAACAGTTCTAGAAATCGCAATATACTGCATAAAACCCAAAAATGTACGAAATTTCTCAATTATATAGTCTATTAAAGAGAACAAACTGAACGCTCCTCTACCATGGCACAATAGCATTTATGAGTTGAGCCCATAGTTTTAGGATGATCTTATGGAGCCTTTATTTATAATTCCGCACATTATATTAGATATAGGACCTTTAGAAAAGTAAATACCTCCTTTTACCATTCTAGAGGGACTTTGCACCGTTACAGGGACTTCGTCCAGATTAGAAGTGTTTAATGAATAGGGGATTTCGTGATAGGTTCCCCTTAAAATCCCTTCCAATTTAGCGTAAACATCATCAGAAGTTTCCGTTTTGAACTACAAATAAACCAGAAGGTGTAAAGTAGTGTGGTAATTGTGGTATAGATAGTGGGGAGGATACAAAGAGTTACAAAGCAGCGCTCATCCATCGAGTCCATGTTGCCAGGTACATCCACACACCACCTGAAATTGTCGTTCACGTGGGGCGCTGTCCCGCAGTACTTGGGTTCTATGGAGGTTGCGAAGGTGAAGTGCTGTTTGTTGACCTTTTCTAAAATGACGCAAAAAGGTCATTTATTTTAAAAGCGTGTTATAATCGACTTTACATTGCATGAAGGGGAGGTAGCTTCTGCCTTCAAATACTGAAAGTCTGCATCAATAGGCACTTACGCTGTCCAGAATGCAAGTTCGGTGTTTCGATGCAGTCAAAATCGTTTGCTATAACATAAAACAAACAAAAAGTGCCACAAAGCGAGTCAATTGGTGTCATTTTAAGCAACTGCCAGCTCATTTTAGCAAAATCTCTTTATTTTTTTAAATTTACCAAAAAGTTGATGAACTGCTCGTAGTTTTGTCTGGTGCTATATTCTGCCTTCGCATTTCCCCACTTCTTTGCCACTATCGCTGTGATCCACTGGTACCTTCACACTTGCCCATCTTCTATTTTTGATTCCGCTAACCATTTACTTAAGGGCAATAATATCAATCCTCATAATAACCATTTCTTCCAACGCCAAAATCATTAATATATTGATGGTTGCCACCTATCCCTTTGCAAGCCTACTTGAAAAATTGAAATTTTGACTGATCTGTTGTCCCCAGGTCACTTTTCCAGCACATCTATCTTTTGTCCCAGCACTAAGATTGCAGTTGAAATGGCTGTCATTTCGGACGTGTTTTGGACACTCGAACAACACCTTCGCCGGTAGTCGGATGGAAGTCGTAGCCATCTGCAGCACAGGAGTGGAATTGGGGTAAAATAAGGCATTCTTGACCACCATACAAATTAAAATGTGAAACTTGCCTTCTCATCTCCATATTTTGCATCCAACTGAATGTCTTGAGTGAGAGGCGTATTTGAGGCGAAATTGACGAAGGGTGAAGGTAAGCTTCCCGTCGATTCCCACCTGCTCTCCGGTGAAATTCCCATCTTCAACTCCACATTGGAAGTGGGCACAGATGCGTACTCCTGACAAGCTGGGTAGGATAGATTTATCTTCTGCATTCCTTGCATCAACCTCGGGAATGCAGAGTCAAGAGAGGCCTGACAAAAGTAAGTGCGTAATACATCATTGACTGGTTCTTATTTGTCCATGAAAAACCAATCAGTCTTATTTATGGAGATGAGGAACAAAGAACCGAGAATTGTCAGGAGTAGAGGGAACCTCGGACAATGCAGCAGCTAGGTTTATTTTTGTGGAAGAGTCAAGTGTACCGATTTTCCGTTCAAGACGTGGGATTGGCTGCACTATCTGTTGTCGGGTTTTCAATAACTGCTTCTTCAAATTTTGTGCTCGCATTGAACGTTTATATTTAAAACTGAGATATTCACCTTTATAGTAACGAAGTAAGGAGTTAGGATAGTGTCATTTCCACTCAACTTACAAAGCGCTTCCTCTGTTTTACTACGCAGTTTAAACAGGTGCGCATATCGAGGACCAGTCCAGCCACTGTTAACCATGATGATGGACAACGGTGGTGTGTAAAACCCAACCCACCAGGCATCATCTCGCATAGACATCTTTAAACGCAGCTTGTTTAATAATGAGGTGCTTAGCCTCACAATTGTAGGATATTTTAGTGGCGTCGGTGTTTCAAAGGCAACCGTCCGTTTGCACATGAGCGGCGATTTCTCCTCAGCGCCCAGCATGTGGAACAATGTATGGTGCGTTTGTCGTAAATTTGAACAAGGGCCTTATCCTTCTGTGCGGACGGTAAAAGTTATGCTGACACATCTTTAAATGCCGAAACCTTTTAGGCAGTACATAAGCAGTAAAACGAGTACATGAACATAGCAGCAAACTAAAAAGGATTTTCACTCTCCAAGATGTGTTTTTTTCTGTTAGCGTAGACTCAAGTGTCCAAATTTGTAGAATAACCGCAGTGTCGAGCAAAGCGTGGGATGGCCTTTGGTGTGCTCTGCGCGTAGAGCGCGTGAGGGGCCATGGAGAGGGTGAAAGAGGAGATGGTGAGGCGTCTGCATCAGGAATTAACAAAGCACCGGTGGACAAGATGCAGTTTTTCATCGCAGTTGCCGCATCAGTGGGCCACTCACCGCTCATGCAGAGGTCAGCACCGATGGTCACCAAGCGGGTGAAAGCCATCCACTGACACTGCGTGTTGCATGTTTCCACGTCGAACTTGTAAAAATCGAAGGCGCTAGCTACGAGAATTACAAATACGCGGCCTGGAATGGCAAATGCATAGCCTATGCTTCTTATCCCCTAATAATGGAATTCACACCAAATCATGTCACAAATCAAAGTTGAATGCTCTTGGTTTGGGGGTCACTACATTTGGTAATCAAAGTGCCTATGTTATCTTTAAAACAAGGGAGCATCTGGATTGTAGTGGATGAATTTCCTCTGGAACCCTGGCGGTGAATTTGTTAAGGAACTGTGAACTCCCTCAAAGATGCTTCAGTAAGGCATATCATTTTCACGTTAAAAAGACAGGAAATAGTTTTCCATGGCCAAGTCGATTGCATTTGTTATCATTCCCCCCCCCCCCCCCAGCTTATAATCCTCATGGGAACCTTCCCGTAAGAACCATGAATTCACTGTTTAGAGGGGGAAAAGGTATCAAAAGAGCATTCAAGACTCACTCCTTTGTTCGATATAAAGGAAGTGAAACTGGGCCGATCAGATGTCATCCCCCGATTACATACCTCCTCCGGAGTGAATGCAGCCTTCAGGACATGAGTGGAAGAGAGTATCTACGGTGAAGGAAGCAAGTAGTATCGAAAGTGTACCACAATGCAAGCTCTATAGGCGCTTATAATCATTCCGCCAGACTTTCATGCACTGCGTTGTAGTAGCGAGTCTTGTTATATCTAATCAGTGCCATTCTAGAAAATTTCACCATAACCGAATTAAAGTCTGGAGAAATTTAAATTATTGGCGTATTTGCTATGACATTCAAATTCCTAATCAAACTGACCTTATGCTAAGGAGCAGTTCTCTTGTACTTCACTTTTAAAATATGGATACTTAAAATATGTGAATAAATTTTTTAAGCCCAAGACATTGCAATGCCCACTGAATGGCTATTGGTTTCGGTCGCCACTCTAGCCGGGTACTGCTACTCATAGTTATTAGTAGCGATGAAGCAAAAAACAATATGGGCTGCAAGGTGATGATCCACGCAAATGAGTTAATAACACCATTGATTGATTTACCCGGCCCAAATCGGTGGGATTTATGCACCTTACCATTATTTGCTTGTCATATTCATTACTTCAAGAAAAGACTGTTCTACACAATGACGTAGTCTTCATAACGCGGACTTAATGAGGCTAAGAGACCATTAAAACTAAGTATCAGGTATGCGCATTCATGTAAATAAAGTTATTTCGAGCCCTCTTTAATAACGACGAAGCACTGGTAAGAGTTCTTGCAACATAAAGCAATTGTGAGAATGTTCAAGAACACTAAATTGTCTCATAACTAGTAAATAAAGTGAAAATTTGAGAACAGCTTATTAAACTTGAAAAATTACTTGTCATGTCAAAAATCATCTCAAACAGTTTGCGTTATCTGTGCTTGTGGAAAACAGGAGTGTAGCTCCATTGACCAAAATCGAAGTGAGTTGATAAGACACATTTGTAGCCATGGCAATAAAATAATGGAGGCAAACTCAGGTGTCTGCGTTAAATAAAACTGCCCAACATGAACAGTTTGTTTATAATGGGAAACATATTAATCAGTATACGATGTTGCTACGATTCACATCAAATGGCAAGGACAAATGTGTTGGCTTTTGCCAGCGTAGACCAAATGAACTACTTGTACTTCTTCATGAGCCACGGGAGGGAAATAAAGGTTGTGGCTTTTTTAAATACATCTTGCAAAAATAACGAGTAAATAGCTTAGGCGACAATTAATATGCAAACATTAAATTTTTGCGTCTTGGTTGGACTCTCAAAAACTGTACTTTGTTCTTGATGTCCGACCGCAAATATAAGCTAGTAGAGGTGTTAAATAGAAGGGTCTTTCGGTTTTTACTCGTGAGGAAAAAAATGAACCAGGTCACATTTTACCATGGGCATTGATAGGTTGTAGGAAATGTTGACGAACGAACACATCAAAATAAGTTAATTTACCAGTAAACAAAGGTGTAGGAGGAACATGTTTCATGGAGGTTCATGCGATCAACTGAAACATGCGCTGAGTGCTACAATTCAGAGTACAATAGCTAACTGTGTTGCCATGCTCACTGGGTTCCATCATGGCAACAGCAAAAAGCTGCAATAGATTTGAACAGGTCGTTGATATAGCAACTAGAATTGAGCCTCACACATGCATGTTCCAATTTAAAAAGGCCAAAAATGAAATGAAAAGGGATGGTGCCTCTAACATAGTTGTTGTAAATACTAAAATTTTTCAGGATTTTCGACAGAAAGTGGGGGAAATAGGGATTCGCCTTTCTTTATATGAGACGAGGGGATGTTTCTACCTATTTTTGTTCCACAATTTTATCAATGTATTTGTTAACAGAAAAACATTCTAGATGCGTTTGCTTTTGGCAGTGAACATGAAGATCATGATCTTTGATGAGAGGTCACGAATAGTCTACCTATAACCGATAGCGTAAATCGCCTATAAATCTTATTTTTACCGCTAAAAAAAATGGGAGTTGCCTTCCTCCCTAGAATTTATGACTGGCCACTACTCTATCAATTAAGTACAATTAACGCTTCAGAAGAGATTGAGTAAATGACCCCATTGAAATTACATGAACCCGATAATCTGGCAACGTGCGATTAATTTGTACATGAAGATCATGATGCTACCACTAGTGATTAATAAATTAATGCATAATTTTATCACTAGCAAGGAGTACAAGTTTTCGTCCACTAAGACCACAACCCAACCGGCAAGTAAGGAATTCACAATATATTCGGCACTTCACTCACAGTATTTGACAGCGCTCTATGCAACGTGTTGCCATTCCAATGTCTGTATGTTTCTTTGTTAAAAGTACAGAAAATTGTACACTTAAAATAGACATACTTATTAGATGAAATCCGTCAACTCCTCAATTGACGTACAAGTCTTCAGAATTCATCAGATCAATGTTTTTTAATATAACGCTTTTTTTGTTTACCTCCCATTTTTAGAAAGGGAGCGTTGAGGTCTCCACCACCGCTCCTCCGCTGAGTGGCCTGGACTCCGAGCCGTACCTGCGGCCCCAACCGTTCTGTTCATCGACGACATATTCTGCCTGAAAATGATGTTTTCTTCCATCTTCATGGTAGTCTCTGGACGCAGAAAGTAAACCCTATCACGAAGGAAGGAGGGTGTAAGCTGTAAACGGGAGAATTTATGACAAATTCCAACAGAAGTGCTTTTAGTGGCAGCTACCAGATAGGTTGATATGGCTAGACAGCTCTGGAGTGAGAAAAGAAGTAAAACCCTAATCCTAGGGGAATGTGTAAAACCCCGCCCTTTGCTATATAACCCTGCTTTGGGGCCAATTTTCCTACGACTAACTATGGACACGCATGATGGCCAGCACATTCCCATTTCCAGTTCCCAAACAGTACGGAGTTCCAAATCCAGTAGAGGTGGCAAAAGAGATCAGTGGCATTGCGCTCAAGCACCTCTCTAGTTGCACAAATTCCGCGACTGACACGGTTGTTTCCTTACAGCCGACGCAGGAGGTTAACTAAGGAGAGCGCCACAAACGACGCTCAAAAGGCAAGAGGGACTGCGTATTGCTTTGACTGTTTGTTCAACTCCCACTTTCGGTTATACGGGCACTTTTGTCTCCGCTGTAGTACTACAGCTGGGCGGGATGACCATCGGGCCATACCAGTAGCCTTTCAACCATTCAGTAAGTCGAAAATACATATTCTACCCGAGTATTGTGTACGCTTTTGCATTTTATTTTTACTACTGAAAAAGTCATGCCTAACCTTTAACAAAATTCATTGTTGTTGCACATATAATGCCCCTAATATTAGACATAAGAATTCCTCTCAGGATCTGCCTAATTAAAAACCACTCAGTAGGTTCTTTAAAAGAGTTTTGAGCCAGAGAGTAATTCTTTAAATTCCTATGGACTTGTTGCACAATGTAAAAGACATTTCTAAGGTATGACTTCCTCTCTGTTAAAGCTGTTTTAAAGTTCCATTCTAGCATAAGTTGCAATAACAACCCTGGCATTATCGTGTACAGCATTGCACAGTAATCATGGATGAAAACGGTAAAATCGAGGAAACGCAATTATAATGTAATGATTAGAGGTCTGTGTAGGTCCCTCTACTCCCCTCTGCCTTGGTCTCACTTGCGCTTCACCCTTCTCGACAGCCTCTTTTTTCGTAGTGACTTCTTTGCTGGTTGGCTTTTGTCATCCTCCTCACTCTGTTCAGCCCCCTTTGTCTTGGTTGCACTGTTCACTTTATCCACTTCGCTTTCTTCTACTTTATTCTCAGCAGTGGCAGTCGCGCTGATTGTATCGTCGGGCACATTTGGTTTACCGGATGCCTCTTTTGATTCTGCTGGCGCTTCCGTGAGTATTTCCGTGGGTAAGGTGCTTTCTGTCTTTTTCTCCTCTTTCTCTTCTTCCCTCAGGTCTGGTGCGGCAGTTGTCACCAGCGCAACGGCATCACTTTTTGTTTCAGTACTAGCTTGCTCTTTCAGATCCATTTCCTTATTATCAACACTTTGTTTATTCGTGGTGTCTACTTCTTTTGGATTTTCTTTCTCCACCTTTGAATTCTTCTCCGCCTTCTTCTGATCTGGCTTTGAAGAGCACTTTGGGGTAAGCTTTCCCCTTCTCACATCGACACAGCCGCTGTCAGAGCAAATGTAGTGACACGCGCCACCTGCACAGCCATACCCATAGAAGCCGTTCACGGCACAATTCAAGTCTTTGCATCCACTGAAAATGATGTTGGATTTATCCATTGATGGTCTATTCACCAAGCCATCTTGTCTACAGCCGGCCTCAGAACATATGTAGGAGCAAATGCCATTTTTGCAGTGGAAGCCGTAGATTCCGTTCATACTACAGATAGGGTCGTAGCAGTCCATGAATATGTGGTACGAGTGCATGGGGTAGGCAGCAGTCGCGACCACTGCGACAACAGTGAGGAGCAACAGTTTCATGACAAATCGTTCCGAAATTAAATTTTATACGTTTTTAGGCATTTATACTAGTGATAATAAACCAAGTTCATTGACACTATCGATAAGTGATGGGGTCAAACGCAGTATTAGTGCATTGGAGTCTTACTAAATGCGGAGATTATTTTTCTTGACTTCATTAGGGCCTAGCATTCAGACTGTTTTTTCAATGATACTTATCAGCAATCGACTATGTAATGTCACTGCATGACAGAGGGAAGTAAAACAGGCGATCCACACATTTTTAGGACAGAAGCATGAAATTAACTCTGGAACTACACTTCCAAAGATGCTACTCTTTTTGGGGCAGTAGTATGGCAGTAAACAGTTTAAACACTCATATGCGCATGCAAGCATTCTCTGGCACCGTTTTTGGTAGTCTATTTAAATGTTTCTCTAATCATCCATTTGCCTATACTTAACCCCATCAACCAACAGGGTAGGTTGAAAAAAAACTAAGTAGTGACGTGAATGTTCTCATTCTTCACAATATATAATTGAGTAAAAAGTTCGCCGAATAAGCAACAGAATAAAGCGCCATAGCTGATAAGATTGATTGAGATTTAGTTCACAAATGTACACTGCAAAGGTGACAAGCAGTTGTCCGTGACAGCAATTTCGACCTTTGGCCACTACTGTTGTCAGGGCAGTAACTAGCCCATAAAAATAGAAATTTGTCATTAGATTGACTGCTTCGATTTCCCCACATGAAATCATCTAATATTACCACCCTCCGCAGACGTCCGTGTAAAGGTCTATTTTGTTGTGTAGCAAGCTTAGCATTCCTCCACCACCTCTGGCTTCAGAATATTAAAACAAGAAAATTAAGCAGGGAAGGACGTCTTTTATTTGAATAGTAAGGGGACGGTTTACAAACTATCAAAGTTCATGGATGGTAAGTGGCGGTTTTCACCGCGGTGGTCGATGACATCTACCCTACCACGATGTTGAAATATGCTTACCGCTTGATGCATAAAAAGTAGTCATTCAAACACGTATTACAGCAGCAATGTGCCTTTTATTTACTTTGCAGTCTTTTTAAAAGGTTTAAACTGCTTTTAATCAAGTATGTACCGGTCTTACTACATTTGAATAAACACATTTAATAGATCATAAGCAAGTTAGCTGTAATCAGATCGACTGAACTTAAAATGCATTTTAGCCGCATATATATTTGATGCTTTGATATTTCTAACTTAGAAAATCATCCAATCATGCTATGCGCGCCCACATCTAGGACATGTTGAAGCGTGTATTCAACTTGCATCCTTTGCCACAGTAGCTAAAATTAAAATATGCTGTGAAATTAGCTATGCTTAAGTGCTACAATTTAATTTTGCAAAATTAGCAAATTGCTTATACTCACTCAAGGTCGTGCGATTCTTTGAACTGTAGTAGTGCTACACATTGGCCAATGATTTTGATATGGGCGTCGTGGAATTAACATTTATAAACAAAGATGGAGTGGACGCGAAAATCTTGATCGCTTCATCTGACTCAAGTGGGTACGCTTTTTACCCTTGGAAGTCTGCGGAATTGCTTTCACAGTCAATATACTCCGGCCATATCGACGTTTCGGGGCGGCGGGTCCTGGAGGTATTGTGAGTAACTTGCTTGATCCAGTAGCTTGGTGCTGGTACTGGCTTATGTGGAATATCTGCGCTTAAAAATGGAGCCAGTAGTGTAGTATTTACGGACCGGGACGATTCAGTGATAGAGGAAAATATAAGAAAAAATTGTGCCTTGAATAATATACCGGACTGTGATTTTGTATCCTGCGACTGGAATGATGTTCCCATTTTAGCTTTGGAAAGGTCTGTTGACTTGATTATCGCCTCAGATTGTTTATTTGAAAGCAGTGGTACATTGCCTTAGTTATTTTTCACTATTGATTAGTTTTTAAACCTTTTACGGAGACTCTATCTCTTCTACTGCACAAAAATTCAAATGCGCTGGCTTACATAGCTTATGAAAATCGTGGGTGAGTCTTACTGTTATGTTTGTAAGCCTGTCCATTTAGTTCAAACGCTGACCTGATGAGCATTTTCGAAAAAGCCGGATTAAGCCTTTCCCTTCAGTCATCCAGTATTTTTGATTCAGTGACATTTTTTCTGTTGAAAGCATCCGTTTTCCATCCGTGAAACAGTGGTGTTATCCGCTTTGAGGTGTTTGGATCTTCTATCTCGTATCGACCATCAAACATTAAGTCCCACTGACTTAACCAGTCTTTACTCTTCCTGATAGATGTAGTGCATTTTTAAGTTACTTTGTCAGGGTCTCTTTATTTTTACCTAATTATTTTCAATAAAGGGGTTCGTTTAGCTTTTGGAGGGTGCTGTTGCGGCCTTTCGTTACCAAAAATGCACATCAGATTACCTTGTGGTTACCCATGTGCATTTTTAGTTCCCATATTATTGTACCGTATTTTCTACTCGAGCAAATCTCGCTATGGACCGGTTTTGCGTACCTGAGTTTGCTCACCAGCACTGTTTTTTTGACCTGCTTACAAGACTGGAACCATGCCAACTTCTACTAATGTTGTGTAAGTAGAAAGTATGGAATAAACACTTGAAGACTACAAATGCCTACTTTCATCTCCGATTTACCTACAGTATGGGAGCTGGTTGGAACGGTGTTTCGCCTTTGAATACTAGTGTACTAGCAATACTTCTTCGCTTAAGCCGTTGGTTCGTTTGATACAATATTTGAGGATTTACTCTGTTACTCTAAACCTACTGACGCAGCCAAAAAGCGCTTTTCGGTTCATGTCATTATCACTTTGCTTCGTTATTCGAGGAGGGCTCAGTAGCACTGCCTTTCTGAATCACGCCTGTGGGCTAAAAAATGGTCTTTGTTTGCAAATTCACTTCTTCCGCTACACTGAACTCCTACTCTGCCTTCCCCTATATGGGCGCAGACATAGGTTATCAGATTTGACTACAAACATCGGGTCCTACTTCATCCAGAAAGCAAGGTAAATAGGTGACTGTGAGTGTGTTTCATAGCACGTATGCATCAAATCACACCTCGTGTGTGAATGTGCGAGTGGATGGATTTAATGTGAGCCACTTGGTGTCGTGTTCTTGAAGGTGCCGGCGCGCGCGTGCACACTAAATCACGAGAGGCAAAAGTGAGCGAGGCCTTTCTGCGACACCATATGCAAATGCGCAAATTTTCATGCGAAGACCGAGCTATTGACGATATGATCACGTGAATGCGCCTCATATTCAATCACTTACTCACGCATGCTCCCTCCAACTTCTTGGATAAGCCGAACTGTAGTGTTGAGTTTTGTCGCCTGCAGTTTTTAACGAATTACCAGTCTTATAGTCGTTTATCTGCAGTTGTAGTGTTTTCGTAAATCATCGTAAAAGTGGATTCACCCTCTATCCTACTGAAAAACAAACCTCAACCGTACTTTCATCATTATCTTGTAACCGGGTTGTGGAGGCACACTGTTCCATCAGACCAAATGCAGTGGTTACTCCGGTCCTCTTTGTACACGTCAAGCGTCGACTAATCAGTCGTCCACAGGAAGCACCCCATGAATCTATAACGTAAACCTACACGTGCATATAAACTGTGCATATCGTAGCACAAGACACTTTCTCCACCCTAGTGGCATTGCTTAGTTAGCACATGGCCACCGGACCCATAATAATGTGGTCAACCCATCTCGCTCGGGCCAAGACTGTGCCTACCCCACCCCTTCACTCATCGACCAGCGGGCTTATTGCTGCCTTTCCTGTTCTTCCAGTACTCCAAATTTTAAGCTTGAGGCAGAGCCTAAGTTCTCCTCAGAGTCCGAGAGCAGCCTTGTGTGTGCAGGGGGACCCGGATACCGTCTAGGAACCCGAGCAGTTAAACCCGATTAAAGCGGATATCAGTCTACCGCAGTGGTATGAGTGCTTGTGGCTACTGTCTACATCTCTGTCACGTACCCTTTGACAAAAGGCGAAGGGGTAAGAATAAAATTTATTCTTGTTTAAAGCAAGTAATACCAGAAACGGGCTCCTTCCGGCAGTAATTTAGTCATATCGGTATGAGCTGCCAACACCAACACCTGGAAAATAGAAAAAAAGAAGAGAACATGTTAGTTTATGAAAGTGGGATTGCTTACGAGAACCAGCATGCTGTGACACAGACAACGTGTTCAGTGATGACAAGATTAACCTAAGCCACACCATATTTTTTCCCCAAAAACAAATGCGAACGACACTTAGGATGGATGTCTCACTTAAACATTTGAACTGTTCTATCGAAGTCCTGCAAAGGGATGGGATGAAGTGGTTATGTAGCAATGTGCTCTGTGCCGGTAACCAAGGTAACGATTATTATTTTCACTATGAATCTTGTGGGTGTTAAAAGACTATCAGCGTTTAGTCACTGTTATGCAATTAGGTCAGACGGCTCATGTCCTACTGCTCCTACTCCATGCCTCCGTAAAATTTTATTTCACAGTTGCAGGGAAAATGACCTTCTGTCAGGCGATCGCATTACGTCAGAGCGACTCCGGTGGCAATGCAACAATGCGCTTTCCCTTTTCACGCCCCCACTCTACTCTTCAGCCAAGATCAACCTTGAGGGCACTCCAGCAGCAAAACAATGGCATTCCCTTGACTCAGTGAGAGCATGAGCACTCAGAGGTGGCAACTCATGACTAGTGGTGCAAGCATCATCACGCTCCGGTTCTCTCAGCTTAGTTAAGTTCAATTAAGGTTTTTGAAAACAAAAAAAGAGCACGGCTTGAAAATTAGTGGATTTAACCCGTATGCTGTAGAATTGAAGTATAGTGGGAGCCAAGAATCGTTTCAAAGACAAACCTGGTAAAGATTGTCATCTATTCGTTTAATAACTCGGCATGTGAATTAGGCATTGTGACACAACCGTGCACTGGACGTGATCCTTGAAAAAAATAACTTTGACAACGATTGATGGGAGTTTTTAAAAAAGGCACTCACCCTTTGGTCCGAATAGAGCCTGGTAGCAGGGCTTGTTGCAGTAGGGCTTTCCATCGTGCTGTATTAACAAGAATATTGAAGGCTGCTTACTAAGGAAATGAGGTCTCGAGAAGCACTACCACATCGCCAGGAGAGTTGCTGCCTGGTAATAGGAAGGAGTGGGCACTGTGCCTGTGAAGAGCCAGTCTAATTAACTCTCGGAGTTACGCGTTTAAAGGTCATTGGTGACGTACGATGGTCAAAAGGACAACAGTTGGCGTTCTTATGACATTCAGAAGTGAGCGAAGGTTGCTGTACGGTGTCAAATGCAATGAAGTGGGACTGACTAGGCTCCGTGAGCCACTTTGGTGTGCCGGTTGGGTATAAGCACTTGAGAAAAAAACGCTTCAACAACCTGGACTAAAGGGCTTTGGATGGTGGCAGGTAATTAAGAGCAATTAAGCCGAATGTCGCCTCGACAGAGGCCCGGCTCGACCTTCCCATTAGAGCCACAGTGTAGGTCCAGCCTTCAGTCAAGATTTCAATCGTCGTAGCAGTCGAGCTGTTGGACCACTAAACGAATTCTCATCAAATGCGCAAACAAGACTTGAGAATGTGCTTGCGTCTAGGTGAGTTAGCTGCGAGACCAATTGTCTCTACGAGAAGGCGGCAAGTATGTCGAGCAAGTACTTTTACGCTTTTGAATTTATTTTTTAACTTCGTTTAGCAGTCTTATCGTGACTCTAGGTTCGCAAAAATACATTTCAGCCACCTAAATGTTGAATCTCTTAAGAAGATGGGTGAAATGAGTCTATTTCTTGACTTGGATGCTATAAATCTGCAATAGTTGGGTTTCATTATGTACCTAAGGCCATATTTGCATTGGAAAAAAGCAGCTACTACATATACTGTTACAACTGAGGAAGCTCACCTCAGCATGCTGACCAGGAGAGAGAGTCTTATCACACTTGGCACACCTTAGGCAGGGTCGATGCCAGTCCTTGCCCAGAGAGGTTACACGCTCAGCTATAAAGGTGAGAAGAATGTGGGATTAGCGTGAGCAAGGTGCGTCCTACCGAAATAGACCTCCTTTGCGCAGTTGGGACACTTGGGCATGTCTGTTGTTGAGAGAGAGAGAGAGAAAGGAGCGCGAAATGGGCGTAACCACGGTCCGAAGCGCGTGTGTGTGAGATACTAGCTGTACCAGCACGTAAATAATCGGCACTTGAGTAATAGCCACCCCATTGGTTAGACGCCAACCAATAGGCGGTGAGTAAGGGCTGCCGTGTTTGCTAACTGGCGCCAGCCAATAAACGATGACCTTGATCGTTCACTTTTAGGGCTTGTACCGAGATGGCACCGTCCTGATGCCTGAGTATATTTATTTATTAGTTGAGCCGGATCTCGGCTTTTATCCGCTCTTACCGCCTTTTTCTGTCTTCTAAAATGTGATTGCTTCGCGCTCCTACAGAAATTTTGTCATGACACGGCTTGTTTTTCAACATTTGTGGACCTTGTGAAGTGGTAACCCCCAACCCTCCATTTAAACATAACAATAGCATGCTTGGTGAAAAGATTAAACTCTACACGAGACTAACTGGAACTTACGTAGCCGTATTTTCCAATCTGGCGGCCATCCCCTACCACTTAAATTTTCTCACTATCTTCATCATTAGCCGTATACGATAACCATTAGGCCGTCTTTCTGTGAAAAGGTTAAATATTATGGAAATGGGGAGCTGAATAGAAATAGGGGATTTCATAAATGTATAGATTTGGCCCACTTCGTCCGTGTTAGTTATTTTCTATTGCACTTAATTGTGATAGGTAGGAATAGGACTAGGGAGCCTTGTTTGTGGCCATCCCCAAATGCCTTAGGAGTTATTAAGGTACGATACCTGGCAAAGAGTAGATTCACTGAGTCTAGTCCCATCTCCAATTACGATTTTTTCCGATCCGTCGTCTCAACCACGCTAACAAGGACCACATCACAGTCGAAAAGACGGTATGGTTTATACAAAGAAGATGAATGTTTGCTTTCTTAGTGATTGTAGCGGTAATAAAGTGTGTTTAGCTAAGCAAAATCATATTTGGTTGCAATAGCTCATCAATTTGAGGTACGCCTCGAAAGGTTTCGGTCCTCATAGGTGGTACAGTGGTGGTACCAAGACGCAGGGTTCCATAATTTACAGTTACTGGATCCGAGATACTGGTTTATACCGTCCTCAATAATAGGCACTTCATTCATGTCAACTATACTTTGTAGGGAAGGAAAGCTGCTGCAATGTACCAATTCACTCATTAAAGAGGTGAGCTTGTGTGCCTCACACTTGATCAGTTATGAAAAGTTGCACCATAATTGTTGCAGTTGTTACTTTCAATTGTGCCACCGTTGAGAGGTTTAATGAAGTGCTTGATGACGCATGATAAAACCAGAGAATATGCCCTATTAACACTTTCGCCACCAGTGCTGCAGGCGTGGAAACTCCCCAAATTCCCAACCTTAACCCTTGTGGTAGGTGCGCATTGATAGTCCATATAACCATGGTTGAGCCAAATCCTGTTACAAGATGAGATGAGAATTTTCTTGGTCTACAGATAATTACACAAGTTTTGGTTTAATGGAGTACATGTTGGTGTGGCATAAGTGGAATTGACCGCCCAGGTCGTGGTAATGGACGCGCTAATACCATTAGCATTTTATAAAATATAAAATATTGAGGATAAGAACGACTCCTCCATGAACCACTTATTAGAAATGATGGTTTGAACCTTATGCTCCAAAAAGTCAGCCATTGCCTGCCCTGACCAAATCGGCATCTCCTTTCTTTTGGCATGAATTCGGTGAATTCCCTGCCGAGGTCTCCGAGGGAAGTCGTTCAACATTGGTCAGATCTTTTTTGCCGTCCTTATCTTCTTTTCCGTTTCAATCGGTTTTAGCTCACCCAAACTTTCCCGAAGACGAGAGAAAGCATAATACTTGATCAGAGTACATAGATTCGACTTAAGGAAGGGTCTGAGAGCTACTGGCACGACCCAGAGGGCAGATAGCTTGGCAGAGAAACAATGGTGGGGGATTTAAACAAATAAACGAAGTATTACATAGCCCCTCTCCTCTTTTGAGCGTCATCCCCGGCGATCCACCCTGCAATCGCGACGTAATCGCTGCTGTTTGTAAAAGCACGCATACATCAACCGCGCCCAAGAAAGTATCCGATTGCAGCGTCACCGATCCCTCTTGGGAATTCTGCTGAATTTGGAGGAACACTGACCTAAAAACAGAGACATGTAACAAAGGATGGAGTTTGATATAGCTCCTTGAAGATTAAGTTTTGAATCTATCCTTCCTTGCCATATTGTTCTCACTTCAGAGCTATCCAGCCATATCCATCGGGATTCTATCCAGCTAGTAGAAAAGTGGAGGAGGTGCCACGTGTTCACCTCAATGACATTTTATGCTGGCGCTGTAGACAACTACGTAATGAAATCCTTTAGGTAGTTTACCGCTATTGCTGCTTCAGTTGTTAACAGGATTCCTTCAGAACTCGAGACTGGGTTGTTTGCCACAGTCAGACGTCACTTTCAGCCCTTCTATTAGGGGTTGTCACATAATCTTCCATCCACAGTATATGTACTTCTTTTGAGCCGCTAGGGTCTATCACCCAACAGGAGGGATCAGGATAGTTGTCCTTTGAGACGGGGTCGGCTTTCAGCTGGCAGCATTGTAGCTCCCCAAGACTTCCCAAAAGACGCGAGAAGATATAATACTCAGGTTGGGGCTACTTGCAGGGTAGGCTGCCCGACAAAGGTGCAATGGTTGAGCCCGTAAGAGTAAAAAACAATTTTTATTTCTTTTTATTAAATGTGTTAGATGTGGGTAATGCGAACTCAGGTGGGAAAACAGGAGCGTCTTATATATGTGACGCTGGTAGCGAATGTGTTAAGGAGGTTTGAACATTCCTTTTAACCCTTTACCTAATCGGTCAGCTTTCTCCATTGAGTTGTGACTTGTAAATTATTGGCTAGTCATTTTGGGGACTTTATTAGCATTGGTTCACTGACGTTAATTTCACCCCAACAAATCTCTTGTGGGGAAGAATTCGTCCCCAAAGCTAAGAGTGATGGACAGTTTTCAAGCTTTTATGCTAATCTTATTAGTGGATTGCAGCTTAAAACGTCATTTCTTATTGCAACTTCAGGTATGACTATTACTGGTGGTAAATGAAATGCAAGCGACCAAAGTGTATGGTAAGCTTTCTCGGTTTACTTTAGTATGCGTTGTCAAGGCAGCGAAAAAAAAACCTGATGCTTTAATCTATAAAAGCAATTTCTTCTCGCAGATCACGAATTAACCCCTTAGAAGTCAAACCGTGCGCCGCCAAAGTTGGATATATGTCAACTTTCGATATGTTTTCCAAAAAACATGTGTATTAGTCACAAAGGCGACCTCTGCCTATCTGGCTGTAAAACACGCGTTACCCTTCAGTATTTCATCGTCAAGGCGGAAGGATGTAATGCTCACCAGTTTTTCCTCATGCTCCACCGTATTAAGCCATGGAGTAAGCAGTTTTACTATCAAAGCGAATTTCACACCATCGGTAGGACGACAGGCAGTGAAGTAAGGGTTTGAGAGGGAAGTACAATGATCTTATGGAAAACTTCATTGCTTTTTTCCATTATACGACTCTTCATCTATTCTTTAAGTTGGCGAGTGGTAAGCCATCGTTCGTGCCTCAGCCTACATAAGCTCAAGGTAAATTACACCATTTGACAACCAAATGACAGATTTATGAGGCGATGCCCTTTTCGGTGCCTCCTTATCCAACTTGTACTGAAATCACTAATCCTGCTGCAGGGCCATGAGAAGGTATTTTAATTGGTTTATTATTTTTATAATTTCTGGTTGCTTGTTTAATCCTCGGTTTTGGTAATGGGCCCACTTTGAGGCTCCGCCAGTATGGCCTCCCGAGCCATGCAAGTAGCTCCCAAGCCCTTCTGTACTTCCACAGTTTTTATTCTGCTTTAAGTAGTTATGACCTCTTTCGTCTTCAGGGAAGTCTCGAGGTGATACAGTGTATATTATATAGTGATCATTTTAAATGTTTATTGCTAGGTCGCATCCTTCCTCCACCAGGCTTTACTTTGCCTCATCACCATTCACCTGTGTTAAGAACTCAAAAGTTTATTTGAATCTTTTTTTGAAAGAGTATTGCCAAAGGGTGTCTTTTCAAATTTCCATGACATCATTTCGCGACGACTGAATTAGCAAAATCTTATTTAACTGGCATTCCAAACCGCCTATGGGAGTGGAATTATTGCCAAGAAAAACACAAGCTACAACATCACCATGGCTTTTTCGACTTTTCCTAATACAACCTGAAAGTTTCTCACTCCCTTTAACACGCTAGCCGCTAACGTCACTCATTTGTGACTGATCGACATTCCTACTTGATCCCGAAGTCGCGAATATTCAGCTTGTGTTGTCTACTAGTTCACGATAACTGATTGCACCCAATCGCGTTGAAAACACGTCGGTTCAGGATAAAGAATAAAATAGATTTAAAATATTTTTAGCCAAGTGACAACAAAACTATTTTGGATGAGTATAATGCTATAAATCTGCTCTACAAAAAAACTAATGGTGGTTGGTTTAGTGCTACATTAGAAAACCATCTAGACTGTAGTTGATGATTTTCTTCTGCGACTGTGATAGAAACTATAACAACATCACTTTGTAGAGATTCATCTCAACAACCCTTAGTGACCAACCAACGTTTGATCAAAAACATCTGAGCTATTCAGTGGCCAGCGTACTTCCTTCTGGGTATACCGCTGCCTCAGCTTACTTGTTGGGTAAATAACTCAAGTGATGGTCATGCACCGTCTTGTACGGCCTAAGGACTTCCCTGAAGGCAAAAAAAGACAATACTAGAGCAGGATGCGCGGTTTTGACATAGAGCAGAGCTAAAAGGCTACTGGTGGGGCCGGGGGGGCGGCAGACTGCTTAGAGGAACCCTCAAACGACCCGTTGATAAAAGCAACAGTTAAACAAACAATTAATGCACTACACTGTTTGCTATTTGTTGTCTAACAAGTAACCTAGAAGTGGTTTTAAATCTACTTTATGCCGAGTGGACTTAAGGCATGCGCAAGACTTGGCGCTATGCGCCTTAATTGATGTATGTATCAGTTGAACTGAATTAAATTTCGGGAACAGGAAAAATTCGGCGACATCCGGTTTGACTGAGACTACATTTTTCCTGACGTCAGACAATAATTGCATATCGCATGGATCTGGAGATGGCTAACTTGGCCTGGAATAGTCGGTCTTCTACCTGATCATGGCAATTCACTCTCCCAAATTCATCTACATTAGGAGCTGATACAGGCAGCCTTCACATCCTTCGAGCAGATGGAGGGAGTATAACAGGTCTGAATACGCATTTAAGGATGAATTAATTTACAACGACATGAAGTTAGAGCTACGCAAAACTGGTGATAGAATTACCGGCGCAACGTGGGCCATCGATAGATTTGCTCACTAACTACCGATCTTGCCTGTCATCAACACTCGGCTTCATTTAGCTGTAGTTAGACCCTTTCCAAATTGTGCTGTAATGCTTTGCTGCTTCGTTTAGTTCTTCGTTTTACTTACGGGGGCACCTGTGGCTCCCATCCTCTACGTTGGCTATACATATTCAGTCTAAAATTATGACTTCTTTCGTCTTCGTGAGTTGCCGGTGGTGCTATAGTGCTTCTGGGCAAATTGTTTTACTTTCCTTCTTCGTCTTTTTCTATTTTTATTTATTTTGTTTAACTGCATGCATAAATACATCTGATATCTGATATGCATCATTACACAGATGTTAAAAAAAAAATTGGCTAATTTCGGCAAATTTTTCAACACACCACTATTTTTCAAGGATTTATGGTTTGGCCATCGTGTAAGAAGTGGAACTGGAAAACAGAATTTGTTTCTTAAAGCATTAACGTACTTTCTTTAACATTTCCTTTCATAGATTATGCGTTTCTTAAGTAAAAGCGCTTTTTGACACCACGGGTAAGCACTACACGACTCACCCATTTCTTCAAATTACGGCGGACAGCCAGTCTACCCTCTGCCAAATAGTCTACTTACTAACTTTAAGTAAAACTTGCAAAACAGGAAATATGCAAAATTTTCGGTTATACAAGTGATTTATGACTGGAGATTTTTGAGTAAAATGTGCATTCAAATCGCATAGTTTTATATTTTTAGGAAAGTTTTTGAACTTTTTAGCCACTTTGCGACCAAGCTTGCTCAGCAATGTGCCAGTATCTTTTGCACGGTATTTGCGGTTTCATCGAGCTCTGCCATCACTTTCACATGCATTTCCAGTACCTGCTGTGCTATATGCCACAACTACTACGTTCTAAGTCTCGTGTTTCCTTTACTGTAAGGGTTTATATATACATTTGAGCCTGACTTCCATTACACGCACTCGATTATTCGTGAGGCCTTTATGGAATAGACTTGGTTAGGCAGTAGTGAATTTAAACAAACATTATTTAGTATCCACTACATTTTAACAGCTTTATTGTCTCAGCTTTTAAGTATGTTATTTTATACTTTTGGGTATTTCGCCGTTGGAGGCTAAGAGGCTCGTCGTGAGGAAGACAAAGAAAAGATCTCCCCTGATAGATTGGGAAGGGATGCATTCTTGATTGGCATCATGCATTGTCATTGAATTGTCGTGGTCGGACTACTATTGCGTGGAGAGACTTCTCTCGCTTTTGAAGTCTTTAAAGAGTCATACTACATGGAATGAGATGTATCTTTAACAGTTTGCAGGAATGAGTATACAAAATTTCTTTATATGTGCTAACCGGGTTTCGTTCAAATTAAGATGACTGCACAAATGTTGGACTGTATTTCTTTGAAGTCTGTCTCTACCTGAAAGAAGCCTTTCTTGCAATGGAGCCGTTGATGATGCCGCCAAAGTAGCAGGCTAGCCCTTGCCTACGTATTTGCATTTAAAGATGTTCACTTTCGAAGGCATAGTGGGGTGTGTGATGGGGAAATGCAACCCCCTTTCCTTTATATTGTTAATTTAAGCGATGTTCCAGCTGTTTACCGAAGACCGTTAGCAAGCTCACCTCGATAAAACGAGTTAGCAGTTAGGTCCTAGTGCTGATTGCATGATCACCAGTAATTGTGGTGAGTGGACCATCAAACACAGGAAGAAATGCGTGCCTTTGAGATGGGGTTTACGGTATACCCACATCGTGTGAACATAGCCAGTGTTGTATTCGTTCGCTTACCGGATCTTGGACTACAAAGTCCATTGCTCATCACGAGCTAATCAGTGAATGCCCAATCTAGAATGTATGGCGCACTTTCAATAAGTGGAGGTGGGAAGACCAAACAGGTGAGTGGGTAGTCGTTGAAGCTAACTGCCATGCGTTAATGTACTTGGCGCCCACTCACTAGATCACCGCGGTTTGCTTTATCAGTATGGAAGTAAACCAACTGTTGCCTACTTTTTGATCCCAACCGAATGTCCCTACTAAAAGTGACGTATCTTTCATAATCACTGACAAGTGACTTTAGTGCAAGTATGTTCTTGGCAATGCCTTGCGCTACTCCCAAATCCACCTTCTCCAGGTGCTATACAACAAACCTGAAGAGAATCCTAGGTACCCCCGTAGTCCAGTACAAATTTGTAAGACAGTAAAGCCCAATTTACATCAGATTTAACCGGATTTGTTAGTCAAGATTCACAATAAACTTATGCAGGGAGCCAAGTAAAGAACACCAATACAGTATCATGTCTTATAAGGCATTTGGGCAATCGCATCCACCCAGTTAACCAAGTCATTGCACATTTATAGACCTCTAGGCTCTGCATTAATTTTAGTCTGTGAAATACTTATTAAAACTCCCTTACACGGGGTTTGCTTTTTTGCGTTTTTATCCTTATCTGTCTTATCTTTTGGGGAACTTTTGGATTGTTTGCGGAGTCATACTAGTGAAGCTGTTGGCATCCACGGATCGGCATACACGGGACAAGTCGCCCATAGTCCTTTCATGCCCTTACTGAATTCCAGTTATTAAAGTTATTTCTCTCCCCTCAGTAAGGAATAATTAAAGCTAATATGGACTGAAAATTTGTAAAATCCTACCAAGGGCCATTGTATCCGCGGAAATCGTCGAATAAGCATTTAACATGATCTGCTCCCATAGGGGGTGGCCTAACTTGGCATAGTTTATTGGTCATTTGGAAACCCAAACATCAAGATGCAAATATGGTAACCCTCAATTCTTTGCCTGTGATTTTTGAGATGAATTTACGCCCCACCTCCACATTGGGACCCCGAGGCTACCGGGCTGCCACTTATGCAGCGCCCGGAGAAAATGCGCTCTTTCCCAAAGTAACAGCCACGCAGCCGGGTTTAAAAGCTGGTTTATTGTTCGGTTTTTCTGTAGGGTTTGCCTTTCATTACTGTTATTTTAGAGTCATAAGTTTCGTTAGGGTCGTGCCATAAATTTTTTTGGCTTTTCTGTATTTAAAATCCTAGACGATGGACAGTGTATTGGATTTTAACTTATTGCTTTCCATTGCATTGAACAGCGGTTAGAAAGAAGTCTCACCGTTTTTCATGAGTTTTCCAGATGTATGACAGAATGACTGAAGTAAGCCATTTGACAGTAAGTTATTGCATTCACTTAAGCAGACGGAGAAATACAATGCTACCCTTTCCAATCATTATTAAAAAGATTTGCGAGAATTACAGGAAGATGAAAAGAGTAAAAATGTTGGAACTAAGTTGTCAGCAGAAGAAATCCCAACTCACCCACTTCACGAGGTTCGAAATTGCCCTACTTATCAAAAATCAGTAGTATTATGGGTCGCTTTGTTGAAAACAGCTGCACAGAATTTTCGTCATATTATTTGCTAAAAAATGATTTTATTTTGTCAAAGAAGATATTTCGCTAACTATGAGGGAATCAATTCATTAAATGGCTCCATTCACTGTAAAGTTAGAGTTTTAACTTAATGCCCCAATTGCAGAAATTACTTCCCTGTTTACCCCTAATCACATCTTTTCAAACAATACTTCCGCTTTCTCGTTGATTGGGTGAGTATGTACTGGAAACCTCACAAAATCTTCCCAGCATGGATTTAGAGTATAGGTCATAATAAGTTTTTGAGTTGCGCCTTGATAAACGGCGGGGCTGTTTAGATTTATATGTCAGCCTTTTCTTCCACTCCCTGATTCTTCCAGATTGTATTCAAATTTTAATAACAACCAATGATGAAATTTTAGACTGGGTCCATGCATGGAAAGTTACCCGTCCCTCTGGCATTCGATTTGCCTCAGGTCACGGCAGCACGTGTCAGTCGAGTACTTTTACCGCATCTTAACCTCACCTCAGCCTTGATTGGTGGGGACAGGTGGGCATGTGCGCGTTGGGTTGGTGCCCGGACAGCTTCCACGCAGTCGGTCGGCATGCAATACTACGACTGGAACGAGCCGGTGGAGTGGATCGGTGTCGTAGTGCTCGATGCACAGGGTCAGGTGTTGAGCTTGGCAGGTGATGTGGAACGCTCGCGGTTCATGATTGAGGAGTATGTGACCGCCTACCAATTTGCCGTCTTTCACCTCTCTCGCGAGCGCTACCTTCATTCGCATCCCAACCTGCGCCAGCAGCTCTATCCCTTCGGTTCACCTATTCAACTCTCCAGCCGTGGGCCCTTTGTTATTGTCAGAGTGCAGTACTTTTTCTACGCTATCGCTGTACTCGAGCATGTGATCTACATCAACAAGTGGAGAGTTCTGCCTATAGTTTAGGACGGTTTTCCCCGCTCCCTTAGGCAACTTCGCCTTCTTTCCCAACATTTGAATACGCGTTTCTTACGGCTTTATTTATTTACATATTTTTAGTAATGCCGCCAAGATTTTCTTTAGGAAGATAAATACACCATGGCAAAAACAAAGTAACAATTTGTCAGTACACTCCGGCTATAATTTATAGAGTTCAAGAAGGAATTATTTTAAACATTACTCTATACTTTGCAGACTCGGACCGAAATCTCTCTTCAGCTTAACATTCAAAACGAAAAAGACCATTGAGGAAATAGGCTCTTATGTATACTGACACACCGAGATTTGGATCCGATCATTAGGCAAAATATTGGTGTAAGCTGGTGTACTAAAACACTTTGAGTAGAACCACTTCAGCTAAACGTATTGGGTACCGTGAAAATCTACTTCTCCCCGTAGTTGTAATACTTTAATTGTTTGTTTAACTCTCGGTTTTGGTGGCGGGCCAAATAGGGGCTCCGTGATTAAACCTGCACTAGAAGGACTGGCCTCAGGGCCATACTAGTCACCACTTTTAGCCCTTCTGCGTGTCAACAACACATATTCTGCCTGAGTATTACGGCTTCTTCAGTTCCAGGGAAGTCTCGGGACTCTATAGTAAAATCAGTTTTAACAAATGATTTCTTTTTGCCGTTATCAGCCTACATTTGGGTTAAAATAAACTACGAAAAGAGTCTTACAGGGTTGCTAAATTTTGCAAGTGGAAAAAATATATGTTTAAGCATCGATGGGTGCGTATTTAATAAATAAGTAAATTAATACCGATGATCATAAATTATTCAATTGAACCTATTAGCTTTAAAATGCTGCTAGTGTTCATGATTAAGTCGCGTTAACACCGCACCTTATAATTTGCCACTGATGCGTTTGTTGTTAAGAGGTGTTTAGAATCTCGTTATTTTGTACTTCCTGAGTTCCAAAACAACCATCAGTCTATAATGCGTTAGAATAAAACAAAAATAATGCCTGGGCATAGTTGTATAATAAGCAGACATTGCATCATTTTGTGTCAATTAAACACTTATTATGGATTTTCCTTTTATGTAAGCACGCGGCAAAATTTTGGAGCTATATCCCTTACCTTAACTTCACGTAATCAAAGTTTCAAATTTTAAGTATTACGTCACGAAGCCAAAAATTTTAATTAATGCAAAACGTAGGAAGTATCGATATGTTCTGCACTTGTTTGTCTGTTTGTGCACCTAAAGGTTGGTCTGTTTTAGTTCGCGAAATCTCGAAGCGCCTGTGCGGACTGGCGGGTGGTTTTCCTTCGCGTCTGTTGGTTGGCCTGTGTGGGATCTGGCCGATAATGGTAGTCTCCATTCGACAGACTCCCATTACCTGTAACGGTCACACGCGACCAGTCGTCGACCTACAGTTTGCTGGTGGGACCGATTGTGGACCCTTGCTTATAACTGCCTCAAAAGGTACCACTTCATTGCGCTAATATAGCCAAAATAATAATTTGCTGTGATCCTCGATTCCTTCCGTCACTTTCTAGATGGCAAGGCTATGTTAAGAACGGGTGATACAGGTGATTGGATAGGCACTTTCAATGGGCACAAAGGAGCCGTATGGTGCTGCGCTTTGAACGCAGAAGGCACTCGTGCTGCGACGGGAGCGGCTGATTTTTCGGCCAAATTTTGGAATGTTGATAATGGTCTGGAGCTGTTGTCTATATCCCAAAGCCACATTGTTCGTGCCGTTGATCTTTCGAAAACTGATGGTGGGGGGCGACTCTTAACCGCGAACAACAAGCAGGAGGTCTTCATCTACGATCTGCACGTTCCTAAAACGCGTAACGTATTGTGATTTTTTTGCTTGCATCGTATATTGGTTTTAATCTGTACGTCTTGGATTTTCTAGCCATCTGCTCCTTCGCTGGTCATAAAAAGATTATTAGAAGATGTCTATGGATGGACAGTGATAAGCGTGTATTAACCATCACTGACAATAAAGATATTGGGTTAGTTATTCAAATATCTTATTTCCTTTTCTTTTAAAGTCCTCCTCTTAAATAACTGTGATCCCGAGTCATTTTCCAAAAGATTTGGACGCTCTCTCTATATGTCTTTTGTGTACATACTATCTTGGAAATTGCTTTATTCCTGCCACGTATTTCCGCTAAGATTATGGGACGTAGTGAATGGGTCAGAAACTGCCGAACCTATCTGGAAGGTTACCTTGGACGACTGCCCAATGGATGCACAGGTTTGGTCGTGCGGCGACACTTCTGTTAAGCTTATTGTGGCTTCGGGAAAGAATGTGCTTGCCTATGAATTCGACTTCCGTCATTCCACCTTTGATACTTCGGAAACACCCTGCCTCACCTGCACATTGCCTGCTCCAGTCTACAGTGCCACTTTGAGCCCTCTGGGTGATACATTTGTTTGTGGCTGCGAGGACTCTCTCATCTACCGTTTGAGTGCAAAGTCAGGCGACATCCTAGGTGAGAATTTTTATCAGAGTTAAGTGGGTTCTTATTGTGTCACTGTTTACCTATTAATACCGACTACTTTTTTAAAGGCTAATTTTCTGTTTTTTCCTGACATTGTCCTCAAATTGTATCATTTTATCAATATGTTGGTTATCGTTTAGCAACCTTCTAAGACCGATGTGACTTTTCATTGCTGGTTTCTTGTAAATTCATTAGATGCATCAGGCGCTGCTGCTCAATTTTAGGCGCCTTTAACTGGTACGAGATAGCAACAGATTCAACTTGTGTTTTTTGAATTTGGCTGCTATGCTTGTTCGGACTAAAACAAAGAAAGGCTTCATTTGTCAATGTTGATTAACTGATTCTGTCGCCTGAATTGGTTATCTTAATATGAACATACTACTACACGCTAAAAGTGTTATGAACGAATATGCTGACTAGTGGCTGGTCACTTTTTCCATTTCCATTATTTTATCGGGACCCAGCATGCTTGTGTCGAAAATAATTTTGTTATTCTCGTGTTTTTTGGAGAAGTTAAAACGGCTGTGAATGTCCCCATTTTTGACGGTAATATAATGAGAGAATAGATAATGTTATTTTAGGTCTTCTCTTTGGATTTGAGCGCAACTTTAATGTTTTAACCGTTCCCACCGTTCCCCTTTAGTGAAGTTTTATCACCATTTCTTCCGTAAGAGATAATTGGACTCCACTATAATATTATTATTGATATTAATGTGGGATAGGTCGGACTGGTTTTGCGTTTCAATAGTGTCATTCATGATTTGTATTTTTTTTCTCCCATATATTTAGAAACTTGTCGTGGGCATTTTGGGCCGGTGCACTGCGTCCGCTTTTCGCCCGATGGTCATCTATATGCCAGCGGCAGCGAAGACGGGACGGTACGGCTGTGGCAAACGGAGGCTGGCGAGGTTTACGGGCTCTGGCGCCCGGGCCGTTCCGCCCCTCCCCCCGGCTGCACGTCAACCCTTGTTCACTAGTTACTCGTATTCACTGCCTCAAATCAGTTTTGATATTATTGCTATTATACAATTTTTTACTTGTTCCTTCATTTTTTTGCATCTGGCGGGTGTTGTAGTCTATGCTGCTGGTGCAGTCCCTGTACTAGTCTATGTCGGGAAACAGGCTTATAAGACTTATTGATGAAACCTTTTCTTGGTGTGCGCGGACTATTTTCGCATAGAGTATTCAGTTCACTCTGAAGGGCATGCTTTCCCACTTCCACACTCAAGTTGTTCCATTTGTGTGTGGCTGGCTGGCTTCCACGTATGTGATGTACGCGTCTGAAATGTTAACCGTAAGGGCTGCTTTGAGGCATCTAGCACGGAATAAATGGCTAATGGGTAATCCTCTAATCACCCTTAGTTGAGTCGGTGACAGAAACCTTGCAATTCGTGCATTCCAGTTTCTGATGAAGCAGTCTGGGAGGGTGGTGGTGCCGTCAAGTCGTGAAGTGTCCCTGCAGTCATGCGTCTACAATCCTACAATTAAACGTCAACCCCACGATGGTCGTGAAGTTACCAACGCGGAGAGGGTTCAAATGTTTGTGCAGATACAAGAGGAGGTCACAACTTCGGCTGCGAATCCAATCCAAACGGAGGTCAGTAGCGCATACACCAACACAAGTCGTCGGTTCAGCCGATTACGGGCGCTTTATCAGGCAACAAGAATTTGGACTGCTCTAGGAGGTATCAATTACGTTCTTATTCACACCGCAGTGGTGCACTAATATGCTTTTTGTGAAATTGATGGCCTGCGAATTAATGCAGTGTTGAAAGAAGGGGATGGCGGTTAAAACCACCTCGATACTGGCAGATCCTACCCTTGTCATGCCTATTTCTCTCGATACGATGTGAGATGCGGACCCTCTGGCGGTGTGAATAGGGTCAAATTGGACCGGGATCGAGCCCGACTAAGGCTCGTGTCATTTGTCTAACTATCCTAATACGAGTATAAGTTTAAAGGTTCTAGTTTTCAGCTTCCACCATACTAAGGATAAAATGAAATCACGAAAAGTGCTCTCGAAGCCGTGAAATGGAAATGTGGATGAATTTTGAACCCAGAGCCTGGTCAGTGTTATCAACCTTACAAAAGTTAAGCTGCAAATAATAAAAACAGATTAAAATACCTCCCAGGAGTAGATCAGCCATTTATGTGTATCTGGAATTGACAGAAACCACAGAGACGGTGAGGTAACTCAGTGCTTAAGTTGCTTCGACACTGGTGTACAGACAAATCCCCCGTGTTTTGCACGTGTTTTAAAAGGCCTATCGACGGCTAGATTCCCTTACCTCTTTTAATGGTGATCACAAGGCTAGTGGCGAGATGTCGGGACGCATTTTTAGGCGCTCCATAGGCGGCCACGTGATCCACACCTGTCCACGCCTTTCCGGTGAGCCCGCACGACACCTCCGTCCCAAATGCGATCGGTACGGCTGTCTCATTCCCTTAGTGCCCCGGTCCTCCGGTCTACGAGCTCGTTCTATTACCAAACTCGGCTACGACTCTTGCCAGATGCCCATGATTCAGCGGCAGCGATGTCCCTCCTGCGCGTACAGGGAGGTACCTGACATGTGCTGCAAGAGGGTCTCAAAGTTCCCAAACCCCTGCCTCTATGCAGAGATGGACATACATCACAAGAGGCTCTATGGTGAGCACATCTACCGTTTCAAAGGTGCCTGTCGATTCTAATCCAGTCTGGGGAACTTTTTGCCCTTGGGATTTGGTTTCATCTCATTTGGACTGCCATGCGTCCCCATCACGGCTGCGCCTTGCCAATCAACGTGTGGGCAATATCCGTGAAATTCTAAAAATAGATTACTTATTCCAAGTAAAAGTCAGATTTTTGTATAATTTCCTTGGTTCTTGAGGGATTATGCCCACTACTTGCAGCATCGACCCCTGTCGAAGCGATTTAGTGGAACTAGTCGTAATTCTTGACTTGAATTTGGCTACTTCATGTCTCCTCTGATGGAGGTAACTCGAGAGATGAAGCGGTTTAATTGACTGCTTGTTGGTTCTCTCCACGAGGTGTTAGTAATTCATGTTCACCCATACATTTTAAAGATGCCTCTTCAAAAAGTTCTCTACGTCTCTGTGGACTGTGCAAAATCTTATAGGAATCTTGCCTAATAAATAAAAAATATGTTATTTTTATAAGGAATCGAATAAAGCGGGATCTATGCTGGGAGTGGAACTATCGTCCCATTGCTCTCCTTACAAATCCTCGGCGAAATAAGTAGGTGGTAGGGTTCAAGTAATATTCATTACTCTCCTAAACGCCTTGGCCTCACAGAGGGAACTACATTACTCCCCTTTTTCAACTTCCTTTGAACTCTGATGATCGGCTTGGAATTGACGGCGGGAGTGCATTCCATGCCCCTCCAACTGTAGTCGTTCAAAGTGTCCAAATCACTCGTCAAATTCTCCTCACCACTACTGTTCGATTTCCGTGCCGAGAGGTTTGAGCGGCAGGAGTAGGAGAGCGCATCACCTGTGGAGAGACCATCCAGTCTACTAGAGTGCTTTTGTTTGGACTTTGTGAGCCGTCTATCTACTCTTGATCTGGCCTTAGACCAGAGCCTTTCGAAATTCTCCTCACGCATGTCCAGTGTGGCGATTGTAGGATTGAAGGTATGAAGATCGTCCAGGTAGTTCTGCCTTCTGCAATTCTTGGCCAGTTCTTCCAATTCAGCTAGGAGACGTCTCTCATATTTTTCTACAATATCTTCAGGCTCTTCTGCCTCAGACTGAGTCTCTGTGGCCACTGAATTCACCTTCGATGGTGGTATGACAGCTTCACCTTGGAGTAATTTTAGGGGTTTCTTCGGCTTGCTCAGAGGGTGGACAATTCGACGGAGCCATGATGGCATTGCGTTCGACACAAGCAAGTCAGATGACCCAGGTCTGTGTGTTAATCAATCGCTAAATCTGGTTCTTTTAAAGCATTGCCGGGGTCGAATGGTATAATGGTCCCGAAAAGAAATTTTAGTGAAGCCCATTTTTCACTGTAAGCTCAGCGTTGAACAAGCCTTCGCTGAAGATTTATACATTATCCGCCTTAAAGCGCTACTCATTTAAGAATATTCAAACATTCTCTGAAATTGGGGGACTAACATGCGCGTTAATACATGATGGAGATCTCACTACTTCGAAGGCTTATTATTTTCTTCAAAGAAACAACCAGTAGATGAAGTTTTATTGGGTCATACGGCGGAATGGATAATTGAAATAGGTGAATTTTATGGAACTTAATCTCAATCTTTTGCCTTAAACGCCAGCTAAGCTTAAATTGTAGGTAGAGATCAGCATACCGTGGAGCGGAGTAACTATGCCCATGTACGACATTCAGTGGTATAAGTAAAGACCCCGGACAACTGTTTCGCATAAATTAACAGTATTGAAGAGAATAAGAGACTCAATGCATCGCTTTCTATGCATCGCCTTTACAATCAGCAACTTTTTCTTTGACCAAGAAGCAGTGCCTCTGTGTTTAAAAGGGGAAAAGTTGGTGATAAATAATGTCTTGTGGTTGCCTACTTGAAAGAAAATTAGTAAAACACCACATACAACAAAAAGACCAGAAGATTGGTCATGATAAAGTAAACACAGTACTGACTTCAGCAACATATTCACTAAAATCTCAAGCTCATTTCTTTTCACACCTCCTTTTAGAATTGCGAGGCACGGATTTGGACGTTCTGTGTAGCCTTGTTTTATGCTTCACGGGTGACGCCGCCCCGATCATCCACAGGGGAGGTCTCGCTTTAGATGCGCTGCTCGCAAAACATCCATCCATTTTAATGAGACCCTTTGGAATTCTTTCACATTCACGAGATTTAATTTTCCACAAGCGATCGAGACGTGATCCCGCTCCTGCATTGTCTACTCCACAGTTATCTCGGATCACCAACAACTCGCCGTCGGGCGTTTCAACTGTATAACTTTTCACCTCCGTCACGAATGTGTTGACCATGTCCATTTGGTTCGTGTCTGTCGAAGTGATGAACTAGGGGGAATAAGGCTTGGGTCGTGGCCTTCTGTCCTGAATTCACCACGGCCTCCTGTAAGCGTGACCTTTGAAAAGACACCATACCCCCTCTTCTGGAAGGGATCGATACTGGCACGCTTTTTGACCTGTCTATCGGTAGTTTAGAAATTTTCCGACCTCTATATTTAGCATAGTTGACCCTAGCCAGGCCTTTTTTCTCCAGGCTACACCTCTAACCGCACCATTTACACGTCCAGTGTTCAGCCCTTTATTCAATAACAATATATATTTTCCTACTTCTTACCCATTAAAGGGAACATTACCATTCACTAGATAAATTAGCGTGAAGTAGACGGGGAAAATGTTTCTTTCTAGACACCGATTGTCTTTCAGAGTTCCGCACTTGGCTTACATAAACGGGACCCTGTGTCGGTGTTCTAACCCACCTTCCTTTTCTAAAGTGATCACAATCCTGAAGCACATATCAGACGCCAAACAGGGCAAAATACTATCCAGTTTACCAAAAAAAAACATCTCGAAACAAAAACTTGCTTACTACTGCAACGTTTTTTTGCCTTATGAAGTATTTCACTTCCCAGAGGAAAGGCAAGAACGAAGAGGATAACAAAATAGCATTTTAATTAAGCAGAAACCAGCTTGTCAAGAAAGAGTATAGCAGTGATAAATGAAATCACATGACCTAAAAATCACAACGGGCTAGAAATCAATCGATTTACACATGACAAAACAAATCAAAGAACTTTGACAGCGTTCACCTTAGCAACGGCACCTATTGCGTCGAGAGTAGCAATGGCTGCAGTTAGACTGAGTGGAGCGTGTGCCGATCTGCGAGGAAGAGGCAGTGGAAGAAAGCAGCTGGGCCTCCGAATGGCAAGAAGGTCCAATGTCAGACTGGGAGTCGGAGCATGAAGACATTCTGACGGCTGCGGCGGGCAGAGCAAAGGATTCAAAGTAGCTCTCGTAGAGTTTACTATCGCATGGGGAGCAGGGATCGAAAGCACATCCATCACGTTTCACTTCGGAGATTTTGAACTCGTGCAAGGGGTTTTGCCTACACCCACAGCAGGGGCACCGTGGCCGTAGAGCTAACGGCATCTGATCGGCGTCGTAACCCAGCTTCGTCACCTGAAAACAGGGTGGTAGGCCTGTCCAACAGGGTCTCACAAGGCTCCCACTCCCACCGCACACCGGTTGTTGGCTCATGCAGCTCTCCGAACAGACACTCATGTCGTGCCCGTGTTAGTAAAAGTAGAAAGAATAGTGTTAGAAGCGCACTTCCGGATGCCTGTTGGGACAACCCAATATCCCTCGTGTGGCAATCGATCCTAATGTCCCCTGGATGCACAATCACGTGACTCCTGGGGTCAGGCTAACAGGTCACGAGGACGGCCATGCTTCCTTCTGGTTGAACCAGCAGGGCCAATATTGGCATGTGCTGGGAACGACAGCAAAATGTTGATGACTCCCTTCAAAAGTACCTTGTCCATCAGTATTGCAACAACCTTGAAAAAACTCAAAAAAAAAACAGTTTACTTTTACTGTCATACCGTCAGTATGTAGTTGGACCGTTTCAAAATGTAGTACTAATCCCCCATCCTTCCAATATGTTCATTTAAGCGAGATTTAATTTAAACTTGATAACAAATTCCCAATCCATCACAAATTAGTAAATAGAATGGGTATTAGCCTGACATCTGCATTGAATGACCCCACGCATAAATCACGTGAATAGCACGGGGCCACGTGGTTTCAGCGCTCTCCTGTTCAAAATATTTCATCGATCAATTCCATCGTATTTAGTGCTAGAAGAGGACTTAGGACGTCGTGGGATTCGCAAATCATCTGAAAAGGATGTACAACGAGAGCAACGTCCCAAACAGGTGTGTGTGCGACGCAGCCAAGGTCCCAGAACCACTGCCTCTTCCGCTACGACCTTGCTGTGACCCCTATGGACGTCTGGTGCCACTCAACGTGCCCTACAGGAGACCTATCGATGGCAATTTGACCAAACTGGGCTATGATGCGTGTTTGCTGCCGGAAATCCAACGCCAGAAATGTCCCTGTTGTGGATTTCGGCAAGCCCCCATCGAATGTTGTGCACGAGAGGATCGCACAGTCATGCCCTGTGGCTACGATCCCAAGAACAAGGAACACAAGAGGATTTATGGGAGATACTTTGACCGATTCAACGACGTGTGTCCCCAGTATTGAGGAACAGGCGTGAATCTTAATGGAGTCCTTATTTTGCTGTCTATTTGAAAGCATGGCTCTTAGGACCAGCCTCAGTTTTTAAATTCTGAATAAACTACTTTCGAAGAAAAATTGGAACGCAAGCTACGGTGGGGTGGTCATGAAAAAATCAGAAGATAGTTTACCCTGGAATTGAATTAATGTAGCAATCCCAAAATCTAGACCGGTTTTAAGAAATATCTTACGATGAATGAAGCACCACTGTTTTACACATTGCTCATGCTACAATCGATCCTACATTAATACCCAAAGTATAAATAGGAGTAGAGTGGGTTGACCTAGACACCACGAGTGTTGCATGGCATTCTGCATTAATATTTCCGCATTCTGTCAACCATTTCTAACCGACGTTAATATGCTTGCAACCAATTTGCTTATTTCAGTCTGTCGACATTACTTTTTCATGAATTGGAAAACAAATGCTAAATATAATATTGGGTATAACTCTAGTTTTCGCGCACAAACTACACACAAATCAATCAAAACTATAGGCAACGATTCAAACTTACGATGAAAAATTTCACAACTTATAGCAAGGGCTTATTTGAAAAGAGACCAGCTTTGTTGGTTCCATGGCTAAACCTCTTTAAATTACGCTATGTAATACTTTAAAGAATCAGATTCATTATATGATTAGACACTAAACAAGGGTGAAAGGGAATGGTCTGTTATACCAAACAAATGTCCGAAATGTTTTCATACTGCATCAAAAGGGCATTTTTGTGTCAAAACTTGATAAAAGTACGATTTGTTCCCAAACAACTACCACTTATCTCGTTAAGTAAGTTTGTCTTGATTCAGCCAGCCTTCTGACGCGCGTGTTTTAGTGTGGTTAACCTTTTACACCCGAGTGCTCGTCGGCCAGCCATTTAATCCACGTATGTAATGCTTACACAATCTCAAATCATTACTTGTAATGATTTCTCCTTGGACCTGCTAAAATTCTGCATTCCACTTGCAACATTTTGCAAACAGTTGGACTCTAAACCAGTTCTATATTTTGCATAGGCGCATTTTCCTTGCAAGTTAGGAGGTTGTGCCACTCCACTTTTCTTGCAGTTTGATTTGGGTCGGTCCTATTATTCTATGCTTGCGTAACATCTGCCTACTTGGTCATGCCTCGTTTGCTAATAAGCATAATATGTGAAATAACGTCACAGTTGAACGACATCACATAATTAATCTCCTCGGAAATACCACGTTTTTGAGTATTCAGCGTTTAGTAGCGTTTTAAACGGAATGCTTCAGAAAGGAAAGCAAGTTCTCAGTTCACTTTTATTATGTTTTTATCGTTGGAAATGCTAGGTAATGAATCCCAACGTGCTCAAAGAGCTCAAACCAACGGACACGGTGACTGTTATTTGGGACTCCCTCGGCTCTCAGACGGTTTCTTCAAACGAAGTAATGCATTCATTGCTCCGAAGTCTCAAATCCGCCGTACCCAACGGCATTGTTCAGTTGGAGAACCTGAGTATCTTCACTGCAAGCACTGTTGCCTCTGCAGGTTCAGTCATCCTCACTGGGTGGCCAGAGGCTTTCCCTACTGGCAAGCACGACTTTAAACTTTTTTCCGCACTGGTTGTTAAAATGCCTGTTGGTGGCAGATTGATCTCACGCGAGGCTGTTGGAGGGGACTTGGCCGCGTCTGTTGGGCGGATTCGTAAGGCCGCCTTGCTCAGCGGTCTGGTTAACATAAAATTTGTAAGCTATTGTGTTCGGCTGTTTTCCTGTTGCTCGGATGGTTGTGCTTATAGGACGTATGTTTTGTCCTATTTTTTCCATTCGAATATCTGAATCGTGAGTTTCGTATCATTATTGGTGGCTAATGAGGTAATTGATGAGGTGCCATTATCTTCCTAATGAATAATTTTGATATGCATTATACTCCTGCAGTCTCAGATTTCGTTACAATTTATACAGTTTGGCAATGATTGCATGGTTAGCTGTTTAAGAATTCATTCTAAACGTCAATGACGATTGTTTTCTGTTTTTTGATAGTATGGAGGTTTACTACATTACCTAAATTGAAATTATTTAGTCTACTGGTTACCTTCGTATTATCTATGTATGTAAGGATAGTTTTGCTGTACTTATATGGGGTGACTAAAGGTGGCTTTTATGGGCTTAGTTCGTTTGATGGACTGAACTGATGTTTACTTAAAATAGTAATCAAATAAAAGTATTACTAATGGTTATATACGTCCTGAGGTCCCCCTAAGAAATGCTTGTCAGATATGGTTTTATGTGAGAGCACAATCATGGCAAAAACAAGCACCCCTTTCCGATAATTTTAACGTCGAAATGTACATACTTCTTCGCTCACTTCCCTTCACACAGATCGAGTGCGAGAGCGGGTGTGTGTGCTTGAGCGCCTCGACCCCCTCCACCTACCGGACGGGCGCGAGTGCTAAACTGCCTTGGGCGACGGATACCGTCTCAGACGACGTATGGAGTGCTGTGGAGGCGGAGGAAGGCGGCAATCTGATCGACACGGAGAAGCTGCTCATTGAAAGCGACTTACAGAAGCCCGTCACCGCCCCCTGCGGTGAACCCTCAGAGGGCGGGGTGCGGAAAAAGCGCGCATGCAAAAATTGCACCTGCGGACTGGCTGAACTTGAGGCCGTGGAAGCTGCTGCGGAGGCTGAGAAGGCTAACACAGCTGGGGCTAAATCCGCCTGTGGCAATGTGAGTTAGCTTGCTTTGTTTTTACTAGGTATTTTGTATTCGGATTCGATTAGACATCAATTGTTGGTAAGAGCTGTTGAGCTTTATCCTTGGCTTACATGTATTAGAAATGGAAATTAATAGGCATTTTACTATTTATATTGCAAAAATTTGTTTCTATCTAAACTTTCCTTGAGTGTTCTCCAATAGCGTCGGACTCGATTCCTACTCCGGACCTACGTAGCTTTAGTATGAATAAGCTAAGGTAGTCGATTTACGCTTAGCATGGAGTAAGCATGCTGGTGTTAATTGGGAACTCTGCGAACCTTTACTGCAGTCAGCATTTTCGATATTGTCTTAGGAAAACCATAAATTTTGTCAGCATAGCCTACGACAATGTAAACTGTATGCGTATATTCTTAGAATTTCACTATGCTATCAAACGTTACACTGAAGTGTCTATTAGCTTTAAAGACGCTTGTCTTGATTGTCTAACACTCGTCAAACCAAAGGTAGGAGTCTGTTCAAGTTGTTTTAATTTTGAAATTACTTTACTCGAGACGACGATAAGGGAACCGTACATAGCCACGCTTCGAAACTCTCTTTTATCCTGCTCTTTTAGTGCTACCTCGGAGATGCATTTCGCTGTTCCTCCTGCCCCTATAGAGGGCTGCCACCCTTCAAGCCGGGCGAGCAGGTCGTCATCCCGGACGACATGCTTGCTGCGGATATCTGAGATAGCGATCGTAGGCGCGTTAGTCAAATCATGCCCCCGTAGCCTGTCTCCAGCCTATACTGCGGTTCGCTCATTCCATTGTCTTCGACCGCTTTCACACGTCTGTCATTGGTTTGCAAGTAAAATGTGATGAAGACACAACTTCTCGTTGGATTCCAACCCTAGATACAGACCAAATCGGTCCCAATGATTCAGCGGTTTTTGAGAGCCTATCATTACAGCTGAGCTGCAGCATGTTGCTGTTTTAGCTGAGGATGCCGTCACGCAAAATTTCAGTCTTGCATTTTGACCCTTTCGATCTAGCCTTGTTAACATAGGCTAATTTAAGGCTGATGCCCTACCTTCAAGGGTAACTTGGGTGCTTCCTTTTCAAAGCGGGATATAGCTCCTCAGTACAGAAGAGTCTACGCAGATTCCAAAGACGTATTTTCTAGTAGTAAAAAGGTGCACAAAAGTAAATCTCGGTCCGATTCGATGCAGAGGGGAATGATATGTCAAAGAGGAGGGTGGGTGGATCAGTATTCACTCATTGTGGAGGTGGGAGCAGGAGGGAGGTGATGAGCCGTGGTGTGGCGTCGGTCGCGGGGCTGCGGAGGTGGTGGTATCGCCGATTTACGTGGTCGTTGGGGGGTGGCGAGCGGCGGAGCACTCTCCTCGTCCCCCGCTGCAGTGAGACGACGAGGTGGCGCAGTGGAGAGACCCTCTAGTGTCGCCAAACTGCCCATCGAGCTTGACGGTCGCGGGAGACTACCAAGACCACTTCCGCTTCCGAGGCTGCCATCGACAGCACTACCACGAGTCACTGCGTCCAGACTGTAGCGTGTGTAGAAACCGTTGAAATCCAGTCTGAAATAATATGCGCACACACGCACGTGTGTATGGGTAAACAAGAGTTGGCACATTGCCTGCAGTGATTCTTATGTTTCCCTCAACATACTACAATCAGCTGAGGAAGCTTTACACTTTGGGCAGCTAAGTCTCTGCACTGCAAAGTTCCCAATAGATTTGCTTATCTTCAAAAGGACATGAAATCCGTCTTACGGGTGAGTAGTCTTTCCTCCACTCATCGACTATCGTGATGACGTGCACCACGACTTTCTTGTCACTAAACAATTAGAAAGTGGTTTATCAAAAATGTCCTGATGTTGGCGAGGAAACTTGTCGAAGTTATGTCTCGCTAAGGCTCACTGTAAAAAAAAATTCAAGGTTAGGCAAGGGCGAGGTTCCTTCAGTATTTTTTTTTGCCTTGTGAAACTCGTTTCAAGTCAGCAAATTGTAGTGAGACAAAAAATGAATCAAATCTTTAGAGCTCATGGCTACCCAGTCGGAAGCGTTAATTAGTCGACCTGCAGCGGATATGACCCCACCGAGTCGCCTAAATGCCTCAATCACCGTCCCAGTTACTGGATTACTACACGATATGGCATGCACACGTGAATCAAAATGGGTGCACACCTATGAAATAGCTAGATTAAGTGAGATAATTCTAACCACGTGATTGTAAAATTCATCAAAGTAGCAGCAGATAGTAGCATTTGCCCTTCGGTTGAAAGAGCTCGACCTTGAACTTGGAAATATCAAGTATCTATTCATGCACTTCCAATGCTTCGAGTCCTGTTAGGGACGCCGAGTATTTATGGCTGCATCAACATTTGCGTTGGCATGGTCGTTTTCATTGGTGTAGCATCATACAGTAAATCTTTGACAAACTTATGGGTCTGAACAAAGCGATCACTGAGAGTGCCACCACTCCCAGCGGGTGGGCACAGAGGTGACAGTTGGCTCACCTGGCAGCAAGACTGAGCAATTTGTCCCTTTCACGATCCACCGGTCGACGAATTTTGACAAGCAAATCGACAATGAGGCTGTTGAACTTGAGGCCAAAGTCTTCCACCGCAATGGCGAAACGCTCGTTCGAGCCAATGCTCCCCAGATCCGAGGCTGCAACCTAAAAGGTGGAAGTGGTAGAGACTAAGACATGGGGCATTGGCACACAAAGAGTGACGATGGCAAGCTATGCGTCTTCTTAAGCGAGGAAAAAGTGCAGTGCAAGAGGACTTGCCACGTTGTGGTGTTAAATTATGATGTAGAGACGGACTTAGGCGACTTGGAGCATACCATATTTATCAGAGATATATCCTTTGTTTAAGGACACAACCGGACCTTCAAGATAAGGGTTGGCTGGTATATTACCAGAATTTAAGCTCATCTGCCACTTGGTTATAGCTTAAGTGAAAAACATTGGGAGCAGCTTTCTACATAACTCAGAAATGGGAAGAAAAACACCAAAAGAAGAAACTACACCTCCTACGCTTTATCAAGTCGCTACATAAAAAGATTTGTATTACAACCAAAAATAAAACTGATATCTATTACTTGATTTTAGCTTAATCAAACGTTTTGGTAATTGTGAAATAGTAGAAATAGCGCATCTTGTAAACACCAACAAAAGTAAAAATATAAGACAAAGCATACTGCCGTTTATATACACCGATTGGACCAAGATGTCATTCACTGCAGTGTGAACCATGTCTTTCACAGAGAAGAATAAAAAAAATAAAACAATAGCGATAAATGATTGCACTCTTTAGAGTTAGCATCCGGGTGAAGCAGTGCCACCATAAATGGGAATGATTTATATCAAACTCATCAAAGTGGGGAACTCAGAAGGTGAGGGGATACGCAAGAAGAGCGCTTACCCGCCTGCGCATATCAAGAGAGGAGCCAGCAAGAGAGGAGGAGGTGGTGGTATCTCCGGCTTTGAAGAGACTGCCCCCATCGCTGCTGGCCATGGAGCCGCAACGCCATCGGTCACCGCGGGGCAGCGCAGGTGCGGAGGTGAGTGCAAGGTTGGTGAAAGAAGGCGAGGCGGAAACGGCGCCCGCTACACCGGTGTCGGTAGTAACCCCGCGTCGGTGGTGCATCGAGGCAGCGGTGCTCATCGGTACGCTGTCCAGAGTGTCATCCAGACTCGCGTCAGCCAGGCGATTGAGGCAGTTGGCGAACTGGATGCATACGGCGTTCAACTTGCCCACCAGTGCCAGTAAATCCGGTGATGTGAGTAGACAGTCGTCCATACAGATCTCCAGGCATCGCTCGTGCGCCTTCAACACCTCGTCCAAGTTGTCCGCCTAAAGACGATGAGAGAATACAGCTCTACCGATTTCGTGAATTTGACTGAAAAAAAAAAACTCACGCCCTCAATGTGGTTGAGAACCATGCTTTGTATGGTCTAAGTTCACTGTTTAATAAATCAAGAACAATGGACGTAAGTTATGCAGTCGGAAAAGATACCCATCCTTAGTTAATGCAATGACACTTCCTCCCACAACGCGCTCACATCAGATTTGCCATGCTAACTTCCTGAGGCCAAGGAAACTCATAAAGGCATTTAAAACAATCCACATTTGGGGAATGTGGAGATCGTACAAATTCACCTTGTTGAGGAATTGGAAGAAGCTGTGCCAATTGGGTTCAAGCACCTCGAAGGTCATGTAATACTGGAGATTCTGGATGTAAGTGAGCATCCGCTGGCCGAGAATGAAGGCGTTATTGAAAGCAAGGGCACCCGCAGCCGTCGCCCGACGAACCGCCTTCCGCATAGCCCAGGACCTGCGGAGGGCAAATCAGCAGTGGTGTCAAAAGCTGCACTTTCATAGAAGAATAAGCTTGACAAAACAGGTACCGAATGATGTTTTAGGATGGAGACGAGGAAACCAGATGCGAATTCCGGGTTTCACACTCTTTTCGTTTGAATTTCCATCAGAAAAAAATAACTAGATTTGAAACTTAGTCTTATTTCAAAATGGGAGGCATTGAGGCATTGATTTTATGCTAAGTACAGCAATTGGTATGACTGCGGATAGGTATCAAAGGGTTAACAATGGATTCTATTCCCCACGACATCTTTTCTTACATGGAATTTTATTTCATATTTTTATGGAAACTGGAAAGACTGAACTGCTGATTTGATAGAAAATAAGGACTTGCATATTGAAGAAAGCTCAAAGTGACCAGCTTTATATGCATGCTCGACAGATTTGGTTTTAAAATTGCTTTAGTTGCATGCATTGAATCAGTTTGTAAGAGTTTCTAGTAGAGAGGGATCCAAGTGCCACAGAAACCAGCCAGGACAGGCGGCACGTACGTGGAAAGATGACGCTCCACGTGACGGCAGTAGAAGAGGTGTCGAAAGAGCATCTGGTAACGATCGATGACGGGACGATTTATGACCAGGGCTGTCGGCCACTCCACCTTGTAGTCCAACGAGAGGGCCTCCAACGCGCTTGGATCCATGTCAATTATGGTGTCAACTACAACAAAAATACAATCCAACACACGCCACACATGAGCTTACATTGGTCCCATAAGCAGGATTTCGAAAAGGCAAGCTTCAAGATTACTGTCACAGCTACTGTGTAAAGAGATAAGATTGATGGTCCCCAATGGTTGAGCGTGGAGACGACGTGGGACGCAGGTAGGTGACCAGAACATACACATTATGTGTAACAAATACATGCACGCTTCGGCCTGGCAGCAACAATTTGCCTAGAGTTACGAAATCACGGCGACTACCATGTGGCAGGGGGAGTATTTCATGGGTAAGAAATCTTACTAAAAAGGCGTTCGAAATGCATGTCTCAACAAGCTGCATAAGCTGTAATTCAACGTATTTAAGTCCAAACAATCTCAGTCATGCTACGAATAAAGGCATCGAAAGACGAGCTTTTATAACAGTTCCACAAAAGAGGATATCACTTTCAACCTGAGAATACTTAAGCACAACGGTTCGTGGAAACTTAGTCAACTTACCATTGCTACCATCGGCAGCGACATGAAGTGTCAGCATTTGTGTGATCAAGTCACAATTTGTGCTCACCACCCTAAAAGTGAAGGGAAGAATTTTAGCTGCAAAAATGCAGCGGGGAAGTTCAACACCCAAGATGCTCGAAAAATGTATCAAATGACGGTTCTAAAGAATGTCCCACCTCAAAATAGCAAAAACAAGCGAATCTTGAAACTGCAACAGGCGTCGCAATAGTTTATCTGGGTTGTAAGAGTTGGATGGAAATCAAGTAAATTTACCAAATACATGAAAATATTGCCTTCTCTCTTCACCAAGGCATTTAGTGGACATGGGACATTCGATTAGGGGTCACATACTTGAGGTTGTCTTTGTAGGGGTCACAGGCGGCTGAGCTGGTCTGCAGCACCCACTCAAGGAGAGAATTGAGCCCGCTGATTGAAACTTCTGCAGTTCAAAAAAATAGTGAAATTAGTCACCGCCAGCATTTAAACCGCCTGTGGATAAAAGAACACTCACGGGATATCGGTTTCTTCAGTTCAGCGGCAGCAGTGTCCATAAAATGAACAATGAAATCACCTTGGTCCAGTAGAAAATAACGTTTGATAGATCTAAAAATAGAATTAGTTACTTATTTGAAATAATGCTTTGGGATTATCGCTGTTTAATGCGCCGTTCGTATTATCAATAGCCATTACAGTTTCGAAAATGATTAAGTAAATTGAGTAAAGGCTGTAGGACAGATTAAATTATACGAGTAACAGAATACTTGAGTGAATAAAAGGCATATTTGAACAAACGGTCAAACCTACTAGCCAATAGTACCGAGTCCTATCAGTGAAACAGCTTAGCAAAAAGAATTTCCTCTTCTCATGGTGTATTCTCGCGTGTGTGCACGCGTTTCAGTGCATCAGGAAAAGTAAGATTTCGGCTATGCGTAAAGGAAAGCGGTCTCCCGACCTAGGCTACCTAATAATTTCTTAAAAAGGAGGGGGCAAATATACATTTAACAAAACTGCCAAAATGAACACAAGTCTACCACAGTATGTACAAATTGAGGCAATGTTAATGATGCGTCCCTGAACACTTTTCGTTCCCCCACATAGGAGATAAAAAATGACGCAGTCCATTCAATTTCTGCTTCCTCAAAACTTAAGTAAATTTTTCACACAGAGAAATGTGTGTGACGAAGGAGATATTAGGCAAGTACCCGATAATCTCATAAAAAGGAAAAGTGACACTCACTTGAGAATGCCTTTGAGATCTTTTTGCTTGAGGATGAAATCCAACAGAGTGCGGCTAGCAAATGCATGGGCTCTGTCAATTTTTGTAAGAAAATCATTTTCCGTTTCACTGAAGACCAGGTCCTCCGGTTCAGCCAACTGTAGCGAACTGTCTGCATGCAACAGAACAAGTAGTAAATTAAAAGCGAAGTGTGTACGCCTGAACAACCGGAGAAATTCATTGAATCGGATGATAAAATAGCCGTGAAACGATGTTAAAAAAGGAAGATAAAGAAATTACCTATATGTGTAAGTTTGCGAGGAGTATGAACGACAAGCTACTATAACAAGTGCCCTAAATGACAAAGAAACTAAATCAATTGATTCCAAGTAGGAATTAGTACTTTTTCAAAAGCATTGAAGTGAGACAACTAACCGCACTGCTGCACCACGTTGAGATACTTCCCGGTAGCCAAAACTTTCTCCGCACGCGATTCCAAAAAACCCGGCAATTGAGTGGATAAAATGGAGTAGCTGCGTTCCCAATAGTAGGCTGAGTTGATGTAATCCCGAGCCGCATCGTTCTCCTGGCTCGGTAGTGGCAGGGCTGAGGACTTTACGATGAAGAACTCACCCCTCTCGGCATCGTCAGGTCGGAGGAAACCGCGATAAAGCCAGAAGCTTAAAGAGTCGAAGAAGGGTCGGCAAGCGGAGCGCAGAAGGTAGAGCAGGCAGTCGTGAACACGACTTATCACCGAGACCTGACCGCGGAGACCCTCGTAGAGGAGGGATAGCGTGGCACCGCCCACACAACCACCAGTGTTGATGTTCGTCGCCAATTGGGCAAGCTGACTGAAGAGATGACTAGTCTCCTAGACACACGCATAATAAAAGCGACAAAGATAACTTCAATGATACCCGGGTATAAAAAAGAAACATGTGGAAGTTGGAAATTGAAATTACCTTTAAAAGTAGGAGAAGACGTGAAATACCCAATTGATTGGCACGGTACTGAGCCTCAAGTTGACAGAGGAGCTTCCAGTACTCTTGCAAAAACTGCTCCATCGCCTCGCACAACGCCTGATTCACGCGGCCGTATTCGTAGCGCGACTTTTCTAAAACCAATACATATTGGAGTCTAAAACACCACATTGGGACAGACGCGTGTCTAATATATGGCATCTCACTCATAAAAGGGTTGCTGTTTTGCCCTACACTTCAGCAATAATAATTCAAAGAGTAAGAGAATTCGATCAAAATCTGTTTGATAAAATTCTACCAACTGTATATGCCTTAATTGGTATGAAAAGAAAACGTCAATGTAATGCATAACTTAAATGGAATAATCAGCCAACTGACGAAGTAGATAATGGAATTCGAATTTGTGTAATATAAAACACAAAAGAGGTTAACCATCGCAGGTTGATCGGAATACTTCGACAATGCTCACCCTCAATAAACCGGACAATGAGTGAATATTGCGAAATCATGGGAACAACTTTGTTCACCGTGTCCACAAGAGACGGATCTGCAAGAGAGCAGCTCATTTTAGTTCCTAAGTAAATGAAAAAAAAAAGACCTATAAACTATTCTTACGCATTTTTTCATCAATCGCGAAGTTCCGAACCGCGTGAGGATCTTTTATCTTGAGGGCTTTAACGTAAACCCCGTCACTGCCCTATGAAACGGCTTATTAAAAATTGGTTTAAAAAGAATAAAATAGAGAAATATGACATACCTGCAAACAAGCTAAGAGATCCTGCACAATGAGCTTCTCTTGAACATTTAACGGTAACGTTTCAAGTGGAAGAATCGAAGGTGTCTGAAAAGAATACGAACACAGTAAATATTCGTAGAAAACCAATAACTGTGGTTTGCTTCTTTAAAAACAACTCAAAAATATTACCATTTCCACAAAAGACCCCATTATTTGGGAAGTAAATAAGCAACTGCATCGTGGTCGTACCTTTGACGTGAAAAGATTTTCCGGAAGAAAATCTGATGATAGGTAGAACACTTCGTACATCCACTGTGGAAATTGACGCAAAGCCTTACGATACTCTGAGCCACTCTCTTTAGGCTTCAGTGTCGACTTGGTCACCTCAGTCCTATCGGCAGTAGCATAAGTGGCGTAGTAGTGAGGAAGCTGCTGGGGATCTCTGACGGACCCAAGATTTTCATGAAATTGTTGGAGATTCTCATCCGTTTCAAGGCCGGTAAAATCTCCAGGACGCAGAGGACCCAAAATCGCATTAGTATTGCTGTTTTGAATACGCATTTGCAGTTGATCAAAAGACTATCGAAATTCAAAAGAGTAAAACAGCCTTGGTGATTGAACATTTAAAAATAGATGAACAGATAAGAGAGGGAGAACCGACCTCGTAATCAGAACCGTCAGAGATATCGTTACATTCTTTGTCTGAATTATGGAGCAATCTCAGTAGCTCAGGGTCGCATTTAATTTTTCCAAGAAGATAAACAAGAGGATCCAATTCTCGAATACTAACAATTAGGAATATTTTATAACGAGGTACTTCTTCAGTTTAAGTTCATTATACTTCGCTAGAAATGCCTTTCCACCAGGATTGCCGTCAAGAAGTACTTTCTTCGCTTGTTCAACATTCTTCTAAAGCAGCATTTACATAATTTATAAGAAAAACCTGTGAGCTCGAACGAGGTGTAATCGTTTTTATTAGTTGGTCGGCATAAGTATTGACTATGGCTCGATCAACGGGCTGACCACTAAAAGACTTGGTTTCATGGTTAACACATACTAGATAGCCTGTAAGAGCTCATTTGTATCATGTAAAATTGCACTCTTTACAGCGTCCATTCAAAGAACAAAATACAATACAGCCAAACGAAGACGAAGTCAGCGCCACATCCCCGTTTGTTTATTCGCCTCTACCTCAATCATTAATAATTTAGGCGCTGTTCACTTCAAATAATTGCTGTGATAAGTCTATTTTAATAACTTTGCAAACTTAGCATTTGGTTTTGAAAAATTTCTTAGAACTGATGGCCTAGAGAAAAAATAGTCAAAATGAACAGTAATGATTTGCGCAATTCTTACGGGCATCAAAAAATGTTAAAGTGCTATGCCCATGATTTGCCAAATTATACATGCCTTATTAAAAATAGACGCCAGTCTAATCCTGTTTTAGCCGTGTCATTTATTCCCCTACTACTGGTACTTTTACCAACCATAAGCGTTATTATTACTAATTAACGCCTTTCACATCCCACCAGCATGCCCTACAATATTCATCTTAAATAACTCGTTTCTACTACTGCAACTAAAAGAGCCCTATGACGTGATTATTTGGGAAAGGGTAGCGGGCTACGCTTGGTGGTAAAGCAAAACTCGGTTCTGATTCTATAATAGCTTTTTTAGGTGAAAGGTGCAGTGCGACAGTAGTTTATTTCCCGGTATTGGTGCGACCCTACTTTTGTACTTAAAATTAGCCCCCTTTACCCCGCTGGGCGGGCTGGCCTTTCGGGCCATGCCAATAGCCCAGACACCTTCTCTGCGCTGAATATATATTCTGCCCAAGTATTTTGTCTTCTTTCGTCTACAGAAAGTTTTAAAACCCTACAAAAAGCTAGTCAATCATCTGTTAGAGAAAATCACAATACTTACAAGACGTACTTACCTCCAATGCTTCAACATTAGCTAAACCATAGTTAGCTTATTTTGGTAAAAAATAAATACGTTGGCAGCGCTTGATTTTTGCAGTTTGGCATTTTTAATTTTTAAATGGCAAATTCCTTATCCTATAATTTTTTGAGCTAGAAGGAACAATGATGATTTGTTTAAACTCGTCCCGTGTTTTACGGCGCCGTCTTAAGCTTCTCCCATGCTTACCCTTTGTGTTCTTAATCTCTCTTAAGATGGCTCTGCAGTAATTTTGTTGAGCATTGTTTTTTCGCACTCACCACTCACAGTGCTCACGCTGGAGCAGTGGCCATTATTGCTCGCATTACTCCCCAGAACTTCGTTCTTACCGATGGGCCTTGTACAGGCGTTCCCCGCCGTTAATATTATGCGTCTATTCCTACAAGTTTGTTAGGGAAATTTTGTAAGCTGTGGTGCTCTCGCTCTCAAGTACATCCAGTGTGTTCGAAAGATTGGCAAGCTCCGAAATAGGTTGGTGTGGCCCCGAGTTTGAGAAAGGCGTACCTGCGCAGGACTCAATGACCCCCGAACCTTCCAAGTCATGGTCGCAGATAAAACGGTGTGTTCCCTTTTCTTTTGGAATGGTGCACTATTATGATGCTATGAAGAGCCGTCTGCTTCCTGTTGATCTTTCTCGAACTGATACCTCTTAACTAACTTTGTCTTTTCCAACGCAGCGAAACAGGATCATCGATGGTCATCATATGCCTACGTCTACCCTTCAAATCATCAAGAACATGCGACCGAAGAGAACCAAGTTATTCCTGGAACCAATAAAGTGCTCTTTCAAGCCTAGTCCTTATGAGTTTATTGGGGTGAATACTCTGGAATGTCTGCTTTCAGATCGTTTTTACGACTACTGTCAATAAACATTCCAAGATTGGGCCTCCACGGGCGTGCGCCTGTGAAGCTACAATCACACCTCTCGTGCCCGGGGGCGTTGCGCTGTTTATCTAGCGGGGGTGTCCCTTTTCTATCGTTCGGGTTCGATACAAACTAGGCTCCCACGGCTCAGAGCTGTTCTTGGCAGTGCTTGGTGTCCCCCCGGGTGAGACGATTTACCGTTTTTGAAATCGTTTATTTCGGCCACCCGTGACGTGTACAGAGGTTGGGGTCTCTACGTCAGGGCGTTGTATCCGTCCGATTTCTGAGACATCCAGCTTTCTATCTCCTCCACCGTTCGTGGAACGTCGGAGAGCACCTCGCAGCCGTCGTCCGTAATCAGGACGTCCTCCTCAATCCTAACCTAGGGGGTGAAACCATGTCATCGTTTTACCGAAGGAGGGCTTACGTACCCCACCGAAATCGGCGAACCGATCGATTGCTCTAGGCACCAGAAATTGGCTGAGCTCTGGTGAAGACTGGGCCTGTTTAATGAGACGCCTGATGAAGTAACAGCCAGGCTCAACGGTCAGCACCATGTTGGGTTGGATGTGTCGTGCAGTCCGTAGGTTCTTGAGACCCGGTTCTGTCGGTCTTGGGGGTGCACCCTTTCAAATCAAATAGCAGTAAACCAAAGAGGCTTATCGCTGTGAGGACAAAGAAGGCGCCTACCGATTTGGTTGTTGGCTCCGTCGCTGCAAGCTAGCCAACTACCCTGTGTACCAGACTACCAAGTAATCACACCCACCTTGTTATATCCTCCGACATCGTGAACATCACAACCCATGAGGTGGCCCAGACCGTGCGGCATGAAGGTAGCACCGAGACGAACGGACATCATTGCCTCCACGCTGCCCTGCAACAAGCCGCCCGCCTTCAAGTGTTCCAGTATTGTCCACTCGGCCAGTTTGTGCATCTCTACCCAAATCACTCCAGGTCGAAGGTGACTTATGACTGCCCTTTAGGATGATAGACGAAATGTTCGATATATCGTTTAGGCATGATAGTAACGCCGTTTCAGACTAACCGGACAGCAGCTAGGACAGCCTCATAAATGAGTCGCTGGTCAGACGTAAACTTTCCGTTGACAGGAAAGGAGCAGGTGATGTCAGAGCAGTAGCAGTAATACTCTCCGCCCATGTCGAACAGACACATGTCCCCGTCACGGATCTGATGGTCGTTCGGGGCACCAGCGTGACCATAGTGAAGGACGGCGCAGTCACAACCTCTGCCAAAAGGAATCAAGAGCTTGGGGCACGTCTCATGGAAGTGGATAAAAGCACGATGGATAAGTCTACTACCTGTTCCAATCTAGCGCATGGGCGTATATTCAAACACTGACAGATTCTCACAATTAAATAAACTTCTGATTGTATGGCCCCTAAATACTCGTGGTTTGGCCTATTGGAGCAAGAAGAGATCGTCATTGAGTGGTAGACATTTCAATGAGGTATCTTCGCCAGCCTAAGTTCCGGTGTCTTGGATGTTGACACAGGAAGCAAGTAAGTTTACGCGCTACCTGTGCTTGATCCACTTATTTCGTCGCGAAAAGAGGAGTCACCTACGTGGCGGCGATGCAAGTGTAGGCAACGTGGCGCATGCCACCGTAGAAATAGCAGTAGTGCTGGAAGATGCTCTCCGCTTGAAATTGATACATACCAGGTTTCACCTTCCGCATAAGGTGACGATGTGCTGCCGAGCTCATCGACACTGCGTAGCGAATCACCTCCAGCTCCAGTGGACTCTTGGTCAGGCGACTACAGTAAAGCAATTACTTAAGAAATGCGGGTAGGTGTATGCTCGACCTGTGAGTAATAAACAAAGCTCAGTCGACAAATTTAACGTTATTTCAATTGTAAGTTATGCAGACAAAGGGAAGGTACATTTTGAATTTGAGGTAGAACGAGTGGCTGCAAAAACAACGAAGTAACGTGTGCTATCACCGATGCGGTTTTGCCAATTGCTATATAGAGTAGCTGCAAAATAAGGAGGAGGCAGTCGAAGTTAGTAGGGAGCCACATGACTGAAATGAGCACGTCTGAGTGGAAAAAAAACAATCAGAGGAATACTCCATTACTAAAAAAATGAATTTCGGAGGAGAATTCGATACCACGTTCAAACCAAGGCAACGTTGGCACCTTTTTATCAGGGTGAAGCGAAAGGGTTTGATGGATTATTGAAAAAAAATTCAACACCACAAATCCATTAGATTATAAGGCAGTCCAAAGGCGCAGACATTACGAGGTAAATAGTATGGAAAAAATATTTAGTGTAACCTTCGCAAATGTGACTAAGTTGTAATTCCCTGTGCTTAAAAGGGTTAACAGTGCAACACATTTGCGTATCGTTAAGTGGTTTTTTATCGTAATGTTTACGATGGACCAACCGCCGATGGGGGGACACACTCTCAACAAGTCCGTAAAGAGAGGTAAACATTAAATCAGGGCATACATCACTGTAGTAAACAAAAGTTATGTTTTTCACAGTGGGAGAGGTGAACAAAATAAAAAACGAACAGGTTTTCTAATAGGCAACTTCAAGCAGCAGTGCGCAAACTTGAGGCACTCAAGTACTGCTAATTGTCAAGAGTTAAAAAAAGGATTAAGGAGAAAAGGGTTCTGAGTATGATGAAACAGCAAGGAAAATTTAAATCTATTCCAAGTTATGTGACTTACCATTCGGCCATCTCATGATGGAGAATGCTATTTTCAACTTTGAACCTAAAGTGTAACAAACACAAGCCCCATTAGGACAACGCAGTTGTTTTATGACTAAAAATATGGTTTTATGGTTCATATTGTTTGCATTTAAGTTTGCATTTTTGACAACTCTCCACGTAAAAGGTGACGCCGACTAAAAAAGAGATACAAAGCACCAATCAACTTGGAACCCTCCGTTAGATGAAAATATTCGAGATACAATTCAGCAATGGAAGAAATGAAATAAATGAGATAATAACACACTTTTCAATCCCATCAAACAACGCCTCCACAGTGTACTGGCCGCTGTCCGTATTAAGTCCGTGCTATGCAAAAAAATTTAAATGGTTGAATAACCCCACTCAATAAGGCAAACATGTGAAGGCACTTTGGAAAAAGTGTTTAAAAACAAAGAATAGTAAAATGCTATTTGTAGGTTTAAAGTTATAAACTTACCAAAGTCAAAAGCAGACTCGGCTTTTTTTTACAGAAGTATCTCTCAATCTAAAATACGAAAGTACAAGAAGTATGAAAGGACGGAGTATCTTTCCTACAAACCATAACGAAGGCTTTAAGATTGCCCATATTACTAAATAATTGAATACGACTGGGGCACATACTGCTACCCCCATTGATATAGAGGTGTAAGCACTTGGATGGTGACCGCAATCCATCTAGTTTTAAATTCTGTAGTAGTGACGAGGCTAAAAAATCAGTGACTTAAGTACTCACTTCATGTGCATAATACGCCTCATTCACACCATATCGCATAATTATATCGCTCAAGGATGGAACCTCCCCCATGTAGACGGCTCTAGCTTCTGAAATTTGTGGAATAAACAAGATGGCGCGTTGCGTGGCGACTTCAATAGCGCCATACCAGTTCGATGCCAGGCCTCCAAAAGTCCAGTGGAAATAAGATTCCTGCAAGATATGGGGAAGTAGGAATAATAGGATTTTTAATAAAGCACATTTATGTGCAAAGCAGATTAATACCTGCCGGAAAACGAGCTCTACATCAGAGCCTCCATGAAGCACATCAGACCCACCCTGGAGGAGGACATACACGCCGTCTAAGGCCTGTGTTGGAGCAGCGCCAGTCGACCAGAGGGTTCGAAGTCGTTCGCAAAGCCTTGAACGATTCACTCTATGGAGCTCCATCGAAACTGGTAGACCACGTTCACCAATTTTGAACACTGGCTTCATTTTAGGTAGAGAGAATTCAGCGATTTACCTACAAATGAATCCAATACGTTAAGCTTAGTTCATTGAATGTGGTCAAGAAAAACGAATAGAGAAAGCTAAATTATGTATTCATGCCAAAAATTCACAATAACAAAACCGATATAAGAAATTTTGTGCTACACATGAGTGAAACAAGAGTTGTCAGTGGGTTTCTTCTCTTCTTGAATTAGCGAAGCGAGTAGAATGTTATTGGATTCTAGACCTCTGCAATAAATATCATGAAGGACGCTAAAAGACGTGACTGAAAACAAGAATTACCTCACATCAGCTTTTGTCAAACCCAACTCTTTAAAGTCACTAAACGTTAAAAGTGACAAACAATTGCCTACAAGGCAAATACGATTCCTTAAATAAATATACCATCAATTGCATTCTGCTGGAGAACTCGTGGAAAGTTGCAGTCCAAACAATGAGGCACGTCCTCATCTAAAAACGTTTGCTCGATTCTAGCCGCACCCCCACCTATACCCTTCATAATTTGAAATGAGGGAACGCCGACCTAGATTAAACTCGGTTCACTATAAGTAACAAATAGGTCAGGTGGTGTTTTTGACTTAATTAGTCCCATGGAAAGTGTACTTGATTATAATTCAAAGTTTAGTCGGTGTTTTGCAGTCGTATAATAGCTGATAATGGCAACTGTTCGGGAACTAAAACAGCCTTACTTAGTTGCACTATAAAGATAAATTCTCCGCATATTTGTCTTCAAAATTGTTACTCAAATAACAAAATCGTCTTGTCGGCGTATCATTTATAACACATCAGCCTGCATATTACATACATTTGCCAAAGGCGTTAGCTACTCTAAATATTCATATATTCGAATATAGTATAAACCGGTAAGTTTGTGCTTATACAGCCAATATGAATTCGGTTTAATCTCTTGCCAAGGCTGCAATTTTATTTTTTCTTCTTAAAGCTAATCAAGGTTTCGTATGCTATTTTGTCAAACATTTTGAACGCGGCAGCCGGGGCCCTTTGTGAAACTGTAATAAGATATCCTAATTTAACAGAATGGTCTATTGTCCGTGTATGGGATGGCTTAAAAAGAGAATCAAAAGTCAAAATTACATGCATTACTAACTTAGAGAATGACATCCAAACAGCTTCAAATGTCTGCACGCTATCATTTTCCAAGCATAGTTTCTGACTGCCCTTGTGGCCACCCTTCTGGTCCTACCACAATGGATTTTTCTGCGGTGTGTAGCTGACAGTGAGTTCCAGTTTAAAATTCATGGTTTTTTCCTACCAATTGAAATGTATTGCTCATTTCTAATGAAAAGTGGTATAGGCATGGCGAAGGCTTCTAAATAAAGTACTCCCTGTAAGGCTGAATATATTGAGACTAATCGATGTGAGTTTGAAGTATTAAAGATTAAAGGATGCTCTTCCGAAACTATGTTCTGCATGGTTGCAGACCTTTGCAGTTGCATTTGCCTAATAGTAATATTAGAAAGAGGATAGTATGAATTCAAGTGGTGACGTTAAGAGATTTTCTTGGTGACATACAATAATGTAGAATGAGGCTCGTGGGTCTCCTTTCCCCTGTTCCTCATATTCTTAGAACATCCAGATTGGTTTAATTTTGACATATTTGTTGAGATAGTGAGTAGGGAAAACTAGTGTAATACGATAGTGGTTTATCCCTCGGTTCTGCTGAGGCGCCGCTTTTGGATCTTGAATTAGCTTCCTAGCCCGTCGCTGGGTGAGCTGGCCTTTTGGGCCATGCCAATAGCCCAGGCACCTTTTCTGCGCTGAATATATATTCTGCCCGAATATTTTGTCTTCTTTCGTCGTCAGGGAGTCTCGGGAAGCTACAACTAGTACATAGTTTAGGAGAGTAAGGATCAGTAACCGCTCTCAGGCTTGCAGGACGTCGACTCTGTCACGAGGTTCGAATTGTAACGCGATGGTCGTTTATCCCTCGGTATTGGTGGGGTGCCACTTTTGCACTTTGAATTAGCCTTCTTGCTTCTCGCTGGGTGGGCTGGCCTTCGGGCCACACCAGCAGCCGAAACACCTTCTCTGTGCTGAATATATATTTTGCCTGAGTATTTTGGCCTCTCTCATCTTCAGGGAGTCGCGGGACGCTATAGAATCGTACCCCCGCCTCCTCTCTGAAAAGAGCATTAAAACAACATGAATATTGCAATAGCTTGCCTTTGGGGTTGACAACGACTTTTACAATATGGGGACATACCGACTTGTCTCTGTGTAATGGGGCTGAACAGCCATATCTATCAACGGTAAATGGCCTTCTTCCATAGCGCCATCATCTGGTAGGCCGTCAACGGATTTATGGCTGTTTTTCCCTGTGTTATGCCTGCTTTAATATCAACATGAATATGATGTCCCTTGGCATTCTAGATCAGTAATAAGGCATATTACATGATAAAAGGGCCTATTATCGGCACATAGAATGTTTGGAGAGACATAGACATGGTTGGAATGTCGCGTTGAAAGAACACAAAGTGGGCTATTTAAGAGTTAGCGGAGTTAGACTATCTGCTAATTTATCAAACAGTTTGTAAGGAAGTAAAAATTCTATTGATTACGAGTTCCCGTATTACAATTTTATTATGCCTTACGTGTGTGCTTTTTCAAACCAACTGTTCATTTCCGCCTTCTTATCAATAAAATCTGCTTAACACTTTTTCAAGTAAATGACTGGGTGCATTTAAGTCGGAGCACCTAATTAGGTTGTAAGAAAAGCCCATGGTTGTATTTTGTTTACTGAAAAGTATTGCTTTAATACCTCAATTTTTGCAGCCCTTAATCTTTGCATAGATGGCTGCTGGCGCGTCTTTGGTAGGTGTGTGGTAGTGTCGCCTTTATTTGGGCAGTATGGCTTGGTGTCATTCATATTTTAAGTGGGATCGCACTTGTCCTTTTACTCTTTGCAGATAACTTATTTGCTTTGCGAGTGGTTACGGTTTCAGATTGTTATGGTCAATTCTTAGGTTGTAGGTTGTAGGAACTGCGCATTTTGTATTCTCGTGCAGTTTTAGCAAATAAAGCTGAGTAAAGTCGCCATTTGGGTTTACTCTCAGGGATTTCCACTCTTGTATCACTGCCTTTTACTCTATTGCTGCCTTTCATATTGAAGATGGCCGAGGTCATCTTATTCCGAAGAAAATATGGTTTTGCATTATTCGAATGCTTTCGATGCAATTCCTGCTTTATACTTCCCTCCTTATTTTCACCTGCACTGAGGCCCTCTGGTACCAAAAATCTGTCCTAACATTTTTTACCGGTGAAAAGATTTCCTTTTGACAAGTGGATGTCTGTGTCCTTCCCATGCATCTCTGTAGGTGATTAATACTGAGTGACCTATTTATCCACGCGATGAGATAAAGGCGAATTCGAGGAATTTGACAGCAATGCTGTTATTTGCGTGCTGGCGAATTCCAGTGCGATATTGCTATTTCTCTGATGGAACCGATTTAGCTTATTATGGAGGTAATTAGTTCCATGTTTCTCACGCATGCCTTGTTACCCTTTTTAGGTGTCTCCTGCAAATCCGGTGAGTCCCTTGATTAGAAGTAAAAGGTCTGAACGAGGGAGATTTGGGTTGGTTGACCTTTGTCGACCCAGCTCCTTTTGTGCATGAATTTGGTCTAGGCTGAGGATTTCCTGAAGCATAATTTCCACTTATTTCACTGGCTTTAGAATGAATCCCTCGAACATGGTTTCTAGTTGGGTGGATCTTGGGCCGTGTCCCTTCTTCCCCACTAACACCGTGAACACGTCATGCATCCATCCAGGTGCACACTTCGTCGGTTCCCAAATATCACGATGTAAAAAACATGCCGTTGATGTCAGTTTTCTGGTAGGCGCTTCAGTTATTAAACTGATTGGTTTTAGACCGTGGATCTGGCGGCAAAAACTCTTTGCGGATTTTTAAAGGTCGACAAGGCCAACAATGACTCAGAGACCTTCGAAAATGGAGGAGATGGGAAGGCAGTGACGTCGTTTTTCAATGGAGAAATTATAAGTCGACTGTTTCCTTTTATCACAGGAAAGTGGGGTGCCTCGGTTGAAACAGACACGAACCACTGGGTAAGGGTGTTTTCCTCTTACTATGCATTCTTCTTCGGAAGAACGAGCTCAATGTGATGGCGCGTTTTCCCAACTACTACAGAGATAACTTTGACTACTCCCAATTGGAGAACTTTGATCACGTGTACATGCGATGGAAAGAGAAGTTTATTTTACCAGATCCAAACAGAACTTCTGGTAAAAAACCGTCCACTGGCTTCTACTACATATGCCTGCAAAAGTCAACAGGAGAACTGACGGGCTACTTTCATAACAAGACCGAGAGGCGAGTCCATCGCATTTATCTCATGTGCTGTTTCTAGGTTGCAACTCCTGGAGTTGAGGTATGATCCCCAGGTGACGTCGACCGCCTTCCAGATACGCTAGATCCATCTATGGATGATCGTCACATGCCATTTATTTTCGTGCCTTAATCATTTTCTTGCTCAGTTTGATAATAAAATTTTGGCGTCCCTCATTCATTCTCTGGGGCATATTAAGTCAAGGTGTTTCCCCAATTTATCATACGTCTTTCTTTCAAAACGTGGGGTTACCAGGAGCACTTAGTTCCTCATTACCTCGTTGAAACACCATGTTCACTCGCGTCGGTTAGGCGGTTAATTTTTTCAAATACGTGTCCGACCTAATGGGATTTGTGGTGACTTGTGTTCGATTCATCCGTTGGTAGGATTTGGCATCTAGGGTGAGACATCTCTGGGCTCCTGTCGTGCTCCTGACTTCATCAGGTTTCAACTCGCGGTGGGGATGGTTGGGTGGCGCAACATGTAGGCTAGAGTGGGGTCTGCGACAGAATCCCCGCAAGCGAACGAATTGTGATTGTGAACTTGATTGGGTGGACTGGCCATCAGCACTGTGATTACTCACTGGGTGTAGAGGGGTGCGTGCGGTTGTGTGGGTTCCCGTTTTGTAATGTGGTTTTGCCAGGTGTTTGGTTGTCATTGGTTGACGGGGCTCGGGGTCGCAGTGCTTCCAGAATTTGAGCAAAGGGGATAATCTGCTGCTTGCTGTGAGCCCTCATAAGACGTAATTTTCTTCATAAACAAGCCTGTCAGCTACCCCTTCCGAGTGGCGAGGGCTCCGTGTCTCAAAAACTAACACTAGAGGTACCGCGGGAGAAGGTAAGAAGTCCACTTGACCGGCAGCTTAACGATTTAATGAACAAACACTAACAAATCAGTGCATCTTTATTGGCAAACAGGGTCACAGCTTACATCTTGCGTGCGCAGACGCCTTTGGTTGTTCGACGACAGCTACTTGATGTCACAGAGGAGGGCAACGGACCGTTTGATCCAATGGTCCGGATTCTTTGAACATGCCAAATCCAGCGAGGTCACATACATAAGGTCGGTTCGTTTGGGTTTGCGGTAAATCGGGCAGGTATAGGGCAGTCGTCCCACCACAGTCTTCTTGCCTTCCTGTACTGCGAATAGATGAATGACAGGCATGGGTTCGTAGAGGATCTTGGGACGAGCTTCAATTAACCTCCCTGATCTGCGCTCCCAGGCGGCACCTTCGATGAAGAGACCATAGACAAAAACCCCCTCCGGCGGAGGCTCTCGCACTTCGTCGACATTGAGTTTGGTCACGTGACTTGAAAGGACCGCGGAGTCCAGTGACCAACCCTCGTGAGAACGACTTATCTCCTGACGCATCGCTGTGAGGAAGCCCTGGGGATTGAAAAAACCTGTCATCCAGAAGTACAGCGGACGGCCCTTCTCCAGCCATGTTGAGAATTGCGTGTTCCGTTCCAAAAGCTCTGAGAACCAGAATCCGAGCGTTGAGGAGTCCCAGGATGACTATTCCAGGGAAAATATTCAGGAAAAATTCAAAATTTAAACGAGTTTAATCGAGCTGCAACCTCCGCCTATGTACCTTTATCCAGAAAGCAGGAACTCGGGCATCGTAAATGCAGTCTAGGGCGTCTCGGAGGTCCTCGTTCATCACAACGGTTCCATCAATAGCAAGGCGAAGGTCTGTCAGGGTGGCGAGAACCAGTTTTATCACTTTGTTCATCCTCTGAACCTCCTGGCGGAGGAAGATGTTTAAGGGTTTCAGGGCACCGAGGGCTTTCAATTGCTCAGCTACTTGGAAGGGTATGTAGGGTGGTGGAAGCTTCTTCAGAAGCTCCGTGCAGATCCGGTGAACGATCATCTCACGAGTCTCTACGGCCGGCTTATGAGTTCCACCAGTATCGCTATCATCCTCATCCTTTCCGTCCCCCAAATCGCCTGAATCATCCTTCGGCTGAATGGAGACGATGGTTGCGAGAATTCGACGCGTAGTCTGCGTAGAGTAATTAATGTCTGCGTTAGTATGGAGACCGAATGCTTCGGGACTGTCACGTGGGGGCAAGTCATTCTTAATGTAGTTGAGGTATTCAGCTACTGTTCCAAACAGAGGAATGGGGTAGTGCTCAACCATGGTATATTCCGGTGAGAACATTGCCTCTTGGAAGCTATTGCGAGTCAAGCACTTGAGCAATCGAAGATCGAAGTCGTCAGTCACCCTCCCACCGTACTGTATCTCCGAAATCATGTAGCAGGTGCATTTCCAGTCGATTCCCTAAAAAGTTGCGTTTCACGGACGTTAATAAGATTATGCATACCAGTTACATCTAAGCAGTAGTAGTTATGAGGCGTAATCGTTGCGAAACGCCTAAAATATCTTTGATTTCATTTTTTTTAAAAATCTCAGTCACAGATTCTGAAATGACTAAACAGACTCGTCGCACATTTGTTGAGGATACCGATGACGGCAGAAAAGTGATCCTATTTTAGTAGCAAAGAAATCTTTGTTCAAAATTTGCATTATATATGAATTTTTCGGCCCGTAATCTCGTTGAGTCCTCCACAATGGCCAATTTAAGGTGGAAACAAAGCCTAGATATACCAACGATCCTGGTAAGGCCAAGGTCACTCAAAATAAATACGTGAAAATGGTACAGACGTCTACTCGCAAGTCCCGCCTCGTGCGTCTACACATTACCAATGCTAAAGACTTCATTCCTGAGGCCTTATTTCTTGATCATTTCAGTTGAGATCTCGATGGTGCCCGCGGTCACACATATAAATGACAACATCTTTCCACAATATTCAAGTGTCTGAGGAGATGGCTACGCTTAGGGAGGCCTTAAACAGATCGCAACTTACGCTAATCCTCTGACCCTTCTTGAACTGCAAACTGTCAAGATGGTTTTGCAGAAACTGTACACTGGCATTGAAATCAGATTGGTTGAACTCATAGGGAATGCACCAACCCAGGGGTCCATACTTGCGTCTCTCTTGCACAGTGCAGTGGAGGTAGGCCAACGAGTAGAGTATGATGCGCCAATGATTGGTGACACAGATCTCTAAAAAGTCCTGCGTGATGCCAAGGTAGGTGCGCGTAAGGTTCGCTTTGATACCTTCTGGTGGCTCGTTAGTGAACTTGATGGCGATCTGGAGGAGATTGATGGGGAACATTTTGTGCTCCTCAGTGGTGATCCAGAGCCGAAACTGATCATGGACAAATGCTGGTTTGGAAGGTGATGCCATAAAGGAGTCGGGTGCGACGGGTCCACTACCACCTGCTTCGTTCCCACCTCCTCCACCTCCACCACCCCCTGCCTCCCCTTGACCTCCAATATCACCACCACCAACCCCATCGGCACTCTCCTTAGCCCTGCCTCTGGGATTGACGTCACCCATACTGGTGAGCATCTCGAACAATTCCTGCACATATTCTATACAAAGATGGCAATTCTGCAACAGCACCCAATTTCCCTCAACAATCGCTGTTTTCAGTAGCCGACGCGCATAAATCTCTTGCCCCTGGCCCATTGAAACCACCCCCAGGTTTATCCGAACCTTTCGAGCCGCGTGCTCAATGAAGGGAGTGGGGTCAGCACCCATACTAAGGAGACCACATAAAGGCGTCCTTGCATCGGCTTCATTGGAAAGACTGGTAAAGGAGCAAAACATTCAGAATGTGTCTGGGAGGTGTATAATAACCACTAAAAATAGGAAAGTGCCCTACTTACTCTATGATATTGACAGGAACGTCCTCAATGTAGGCCTGACCGAGAGAGTGTACGATGTACTTCTTAGCCTGCTGAAGGGCTCGATCCGGACACCAAGAGCGGATAAGCAGAAGACGACGGAAGACGTCGAGGGTGTGCTCATAGCCGCAAGGGATGGTCTCTTCCTCCGGAGCTTCCTTGTCGAACCATAGACGCCACTGCTTCTCTGTGCTGGTCACCTGTTGAACAATGCTGCTAAACTCGGTAAGCTTGGAAAGAGCCACCAGATTCAACCATGTCAGATCGGATATCCACTTCCCTGGCTTCGCCGGACACGTCTTGAGGTCCAATGCGGATCCGCCCTGAAAGGATGCATGTGTATTTGCAATTATTCACAAGCATTAAATCCATTTTTGAGTTTATTCATGCTTAAATACAGAGTTAGCGGGCACCGCGCCCCGAATAAACGTTTCACACCTCGTGATGTGATGGTACCTGTATAAAGACCATAAATTCCTCGTGCCGAACAGCCTTCCGCTGGAGATCAATACGAAGCGCCAACATGAGCGTGGCCATTGTCTTATCCAGCTTGAACATACCTCGCACCGCAAAGGACCACACGCTGTAGGTCATATATTCAATTATGTTGATGATTCGCCGAGCGGTGACAACACATTTTTCGGAGAGCTCCATTGACTCGTCAAAGAGCTTGAGGAATCGGCCCAGACCTGTCTGATACATTGGATTCACCGCGGAGACCTCGCTAAGGAGGAAGTAGAGGAGGGAACCGCGCGCGGCTACTGGACGATATTCCTCTCGAGCAGCAGTTATTTCGGTCTCCGTCTCCTGCGCCAGTGCGATCTGCTCTGCAACCTCAATAGAGGTCGACTTGGTGGTCTGAAGTACGTCCACCAGACCCTGATCATCCACCAGGGAGCCCTCGGTGCTCGCTAATCGCATCAACAAGTTGTCCTCTAGATCAAGGATGCGTCTCTTGTTCGCCGTCATCTGAGCGATCAAATTTATTCGCATCTGTTCCAGTTCCTTGGGAAGAAAGAGCCGAGGGAGTAGCGAAAAGATAAGAGGAAAAGGAAATAAAAGTGAAGCTGGGGAAGAGTGACTTCCTCTATGTTACCTCCTTTTCTGTTTGAATGACACGAGCTAGTAGCTGATCCTCAAGACCTTTGCTTGTGACGGTGAAGTCGATTAACGACGTTCGAGCAAATATCTCAGGGCTGTAGGCTGGATTAGGCAGCTTTGTGGTGATGTAGAGAGTAAAACCCGGGCTTATCTCTACCTCCTTATCTCCCACCTTGACCTTCAAGCCGGTACCAGACTTGAGGAAATTCTTGTCAAAGATGTTATCAAGGACGGGATCTAAATCCACACCAATATTCTCTATGAGAAGTGGGCGTCCCTGTGATAGGGAGTCCTCTAAATGCGTTCTAAAGTACCGGTGTTCAAGTGTAGTCACCTAAAGCAAAAATTAGTGGGGAAATGAGCGCTCAATTGGGATACTTTGTAGGTCAAGTGAGATGCAATCTCAACTCACCAGCATGTTGTGGGCAGCCTCGTGCTTTATGATCCAGTTCTTACCCTGACTCTGTGGGTCAATCAGTAGAGGATATCTCGAGGCCTGAGTGACGATAATCGCATTTTGAACTGATAAATCGTCACTTGGAAGGCCCTCCAAGTTCCATTCAGCGATCTGAAATAAACAACCGATTCTTACTTCTGAATTTGTTAAAAAACAACTCGATTGACAGTTCCTCCAATTTCAGCCTATTAGCCAACAAGACAACGACAGTAAATACAGTCAACCATATCAAACTAGTAGGTTTATTTAGGTTGGTATTCTGGGACATATATTGGTACATAGAATCTAAGTAGATGGAAGCTGATCAAGGGTTCTTACCGTTGGACCTTCAGTCAGCATGTTGATGAGGTCAAGGTTGTGGGTGTGAGGAATCTTCATTTTCATAAGACTCTTTACCCATGAGTTGATTATTCGATTTCTAAAGTCCTGGTTGAAACACCCACAGTATGACAGAAACGCAGTGGCCATGAGAACATCCCCTACGAGACGAATGACCTGGTCCCCGAGTGTGCGGGTTTCCTCCGTCCATCGCACTTTCTCGCCTGACAGTCCATCGATTAGAGTGGTGGCTGTAGCTATGCGCTTCTGGCAAGCCTCCGCATCCTCTGCCAGCTCTTTCTTTCTCAGCATCGCCTTCTCAAAGAGAGCGCGCACAATCGACAGCTGCCTCTCCTTCTCCTCCAAAACTGCTTCCGCTTTGGCTAGGTCAATCTTGGCAGCATTCAATTTTATTTCCTGTTTGGCTAAATTGTCCTTCAGAGGGATGACTTCTTTATTAATCCAATAAAACTTTTCCATTGCTGTTGTCCAGGCACACAGACCTGCAACGTTTCCGCACACCTTTTTTGCAGTCTCCAGATTATAATCTTCGGCCATAAAGTATGGTTCCATCAAATCAACTGTCTCTTCTGTAATGTAGTCCCGGGGAAAGTTCAGAAGGTTCTGGAGGAAGTTGGTGTTCGCCATAAGTTTGAGCGAATCATTCCAAGAGGGTTTCATGCAGCCACGACGGTCGGGATCCTCTTGGAACGGAAGGAGAGGACGTTGGAATAGGAGGAGTACGCAGTCCATGATGCGCATGATAAGGTGAGGCGGCTTGGCTAGTTTCCTTACAGTGGCGATATCGCCAGGCTTTATGGTATTTAGTGCCGCCTCAGCCTCTTCCAAAGCTGGTTTGGCAGCTTCCAACTTCCCTTCCGCTACTAACTTCTCTGCTGCAATGCTACTAACAATTGTTTCGCATTTATTTTTTACAACCAGCACTTTATTTTTCACTTGCTCAGCAGCTTGAGTCTGCTGCATCACGTCCGATAGCACGACTTCTGCTTCAGCGTTAGCTATCTGAAGTTCCTTCTTCTTCTCAACCAGTTCTACACTCAACTTAGCAATCGACTCTTGGGCTTCGTCAAGTTTTTGCAGACCGGATGATAGCCTATTGATAAGAGACTGTATGTTGGCGAGTTGTTGGCCATATACCTTGCTGTAACCACTAAGGAAAGATATGTACGACTTGGGTGTCACATGGGCAGTGCGGCGGTAGCGCTCAAAGTACTGCTCGCACTTGATAGCGACGCCATCATGAACGGTGGCGACCAGATCAATGACTCTCTCTTTCACCGAGGCCGAGCTTTCAATGTTGAAATTGCCCATGTACTGCTTTGCTACCGCCAACAGAGCGTCTTTGGGCCACTTATGCAGCCAGTCGATAGTACAGCCCGAGATAAGACCAGGGAAGTAGAGCGCCCAGGTGCGGAACCGCTTGCCGATGGGTGAAAAGCAAAGACAAATGTGGAGGTTCTTACGAATGCGCTGAAGAAAGTACTCATTGAGAGTTTCAATATCCGGCGGACGACGAGGAAACTCCCTTTTCATTACAGGGATAAGGGCGTTCAGGATGTCGTCAATATCATCTCGACTAAAGAGACCTGAGACCTGTGTGAAGAGACGATATTGCAAGCGTTCAGATCTTGATGGTAATGGTGCCGATTTGGCAGTGTTTGTAGAAAACTCACCATCCCTGAAGTGAGCATATTATTCATATACTCGAGAAAAGCCTCCTCCTTCACATCTGAATCTGTGAAGACAAATGTGGCTCCCTTGCCTTCCTGACCGGCTTTACGATAAAGAGTTCTCAAATCATCCAAGAAATCATTCACGTTGTAGGATCTACCAAAAGCAACGTGTGAATTATGTATGGAAATCCCTAGTAAATTTAAGCCAATCTAAACAGTTACACGGAGTAATCATGAGACATACCTTGTAAGGACAATGCTGAAGTCGGCATAGTCGGCGATGTAAGTTGCAAGTCGCGTAACGGATCGCTTACCAGAACCACCAACACCCACCAGGAGACAGTTTCCACGGGGTGTTCGGATGACTCTCGACACCTTCACCAAGTGAATCACTGCATCTCTGAAGAAGACAATATCCAGCGGCGCTCCACGCACAGACTCGTTGCGCTCTCTCAGGAAGTTGTTGAGACGATCCACTAGAACTCCCAGCTCAAAAATCTAACGAAGAGGTAGGCAAGTGTATAACTAAATGCTGAATGAAACCAAAGTACGTCTACTTAAGGACCCTGAAACGCCACTTTAAAACGCGGCTAATAGTAGGTGTAAAAAACCTATTTAAGAGACTTAAAGATCTTGTTGTTGGTGTCTAACCTATATTAGAGAGACTCCAATGCTAACTTGTAAGTTACCCTTACAATAGATTCATTCGAAGCTTCGAAGATTACTAAGCGACTTACGGGTTCATAAACCTTTGGAGCAGAGAAATCGAAGTCTTCACCTTCCTCTCCTGTCGCCTCTGGTGGATCTCTAAAAATTTTGGGTGAATAAAGTAGGTGAGATATCATCTTTCATCAAATGATTATGCATACTTAGCTAATATAGATCCATCCCCACAACCATCCTAAAGATTCCAGTTTCTTGAATGCTAACAAGTTACGTATCTACTTCAATTTAATATATTTCCTGAAAAAAAAAACTTGTTGGGTAGTGGTTTAAGTCTTAAGAAATATGCTATTTTTTGAAAAAATACTAAATTTCATATCGAACAACCCTTAAATATTAGCAAGTACACGTAAAATTGGGAACAGAGGCCTAGATGGAGGCATGAATAGTCCCTATTAAATTTAGTCGAGTCAAATTTTTGATCACAAAGTGAAAACTCGAGCCATTTTAATGTGGAAGGGTAAGTATTACATCAAATGAGCGCAGAGATTTTGGGAAAATGTGCCAAATAGTACACCAACTAATCTGTCAGAAGTTAGTACCTTCAATAATTCTTTCTTACAAGTGATGCGAAATACTCGAGTAAGCCTATTGAATGACACATTGACAAGATATCATTTTGAGGAATTACTTTACATTACCAGTGCAAAAGTTTCCTGCATCCAGAATACAAGTACCCGCTATTGAATGCGTATTAGTGGGAGGGTCAGCCCCTACTCACTTCGGTTAAACCAACACCTTATGCTAAGCTGTGCCATTCGAAACAGCGTTGACTTTATCGTACTACTCTTTACACATTATGGAGAGCATATTAAACTCACCTCATAAAGTCAACGAAAAAGACCTCATCTTGTGCACTAGAGGCCACCTCCTCGCCCATCATATCCTCCAGGGTGCGGTTAAAGTTTCTGTCAAACCATATCAGATCTGCCGGATCAATGAAACGATCTGCGATGACTCGAGTCATCTCGTGCTTGCACAGTTTTATGAGCAGGTCTGGTGTAGTAAACACCTAAAAAGGATGGATGAGTTTCTAAATGAGTAAATAGGTAGACGTTTACCCATTAAAAGAAACAGTGAAAAGGCAAAATAATCGGCTGATGGATGGATATACTAACTGTCGTTGTAAGTACTTAACGAATACCCTAGACTTGCTTGACAGCTAAAAATTTTTCTTAATGCAATTCGCCTTGCGTAACAAAATTAGGGATACTCACTTCGCTAGTGCCATAGATAATGCCTTGCCATATTCGACTGAGATCACGCAGGTTAAATATATAGTGAAATTTGGCTGGCGTAGGGAGCATCTTGGTTTTGGTTTGTTGCCAAACCCTCCGCACAAATGGGACCAGATCTCGCACCATGTTTATCACTTCCTCAGTGAATCCACGCGCCTGACAGTAGTGGCCCAAACCAATTGTACTGAAGATCTTGTCAATGGAGTTGTTACTTGGAAGAGTGCAATTGAAACAGGCGAACTGGCGCTTCAGACGTTCTGGGATGTCGTTACGTCCACCACCAGGGTGAATCATAGCTGCGAGGAACTAAAGTTATTGAGACAGGAGATTGATAATAGCTTAAAAAAGAAACTATGATAAGAGAGCTCCACCAATCCACCTACTTGAACGTCGACAATGTTTGTGAATTCGCCTGGTTTGTCTAGGCTGTAGAAACCCCTCATTTCCATAGTTTGACGAACAATCTCGTTCGCCACTTGATCACCCCAATCGTTGATCATGGGCATGCTGATATCATCTACAAAGAGAATCATTTTCTTCCCTGCTGGCGGACCGAACGTTGTGCCTACGCGCTTCTCAACAAAACTCTCCATGGTTCTCTGAAATAAGTAGTGGTAGTGATAATCAAATACACACGAATAAATAGAACCACAAATTTTGAAAATAATGCACCTGAAAAAGTCCTGGTGTAGTGGCTGACGAGAAGTTCAAAGATTTAAAGGTGTATGCGTCAATGGGAAAACTGGCCATGTATTTTGAGAGCATGACTGTTTTCGCTGTCCCCTGCTCGCCAGTTAGAAGGACAGCCTTCTCCTGTTTGCCTACAAGTCGGATGAGGTAATCCGTTCGGATATTATCCACGTTTGGCACCAAAATACTGGAGAATTCAGGATCCTTGTCAGTTGGATAGATGTACTCATCGATACGAGATGACCAGTGAACCCATTCACCTTTCAAACAAATGAACTGATTAAGTCGACGCTTCCCCTACATTTATACTGATATAAAGTGAATAATAAGGAAGTACCATTGGGACCAACAAAGTACTCGAAAATAGTCTCAGATTTCGAGTCATCAACAGATGGAAGATCGAGTTTTACACTGAGTTCCGTTCTCCAGAACTTCTCCAGACGGGCTCGATCATCCAACTCTATCAAAGCTCCAATAGACCACATAAGAGCAAAAATGTAGATACGCTCCAAGTATTTATCCGTGTTGCCTTGCTACAAGGATAGAAAACACGCATCAATCCCCAAATACACTCAATTGATAGATCAAACATATATTCAACACACTTGGTTTTCAAGAACAAGCAACCCATCCAGGAGTGTGCAGAGCTGATGTACGAAGAAGGCTTCCAGGTACGGCATTTTTATAGCAAGGGTCTGTGAGACAAACCTATAGCTTTGTGGGAAGGAGTTTTGAAAGAGTTCGTGAAACTTTCTCCTCTCGTTGTCCGGCCTATAATTCAGTCGGGCCTGAGGAAACGAAGCACAGTCATTCAAAAAAATAAGGTAATGCATAACAGTGAGAGTAGCCAATTTAATAAGGTGACTCTACCTTCGATATCGGATCCCATTCCAGCACAGAACTTGACATGAAAACCATCCCATTGCGAGAAACAGTGGCAGGAGAAGCATTATCAATATTGTGCACCTCAAAGAGAATTTTGGTGTTAGGTGCCATGGGAATACGATCTCCATTGGCTAGAGTCAAAGTCTTGTTGTCGTCTAATACGGAATTGAGATTTTCTATCCAAATAGCGTCTACAGGTCCATCCAAGATAAGCCAAATGTGCTCGTTGGGCTTCTTCTTCAGCGTCCGACGCCAGAGGGTAGAGAAGATACCGTCAGTCCAGTCATTGGTCGAGACATCCAACCGACCGAACATTTCGGGCGCAGTGATGGCTTTGGGATTCATGCGCATCTCTCGATGCGGCTCCCAGAACTCCGTCATGGCCGCCATCAGAGTTCTAATGCAGGCCGTCTTACCAGCTCCCGAGGGTCCCAGGGCCATCATTCCGTGACGCACATTCTGCGTCTCATAGAGCTACAATTCAAGTGTTAACATTATGGGCACTCCACAAAACTCACACAAAGATACGTAAAATTCACAGGTAGATGATACCTCAGTTGCCCTCAGCAGCTGAATGAAACCCATATAGACCAAAAGTATTGAAATCTCGGCAAAGTGGTGACGTGTTAGTTCTGCCAAAATACTTTGAATCAGGTTCAGCATTTAGTGGCTCTACTTTTGGACAAATGCTCCTACGATTAGCAATTGGCATATTCAATACAGCCGTCCTAAGGTATGGACTGGTCTTGAGCAGTAGAAAGTCAACCAACACATCTCTTCCAAAGCAGTTTAAAAAAGGACAAACCCGTAAATGCAGTGCAGTTGGCGAGGTGAAATACCGACGCTGCGACCAACTTTCTCCCGCCTCTCTGAAAACTAAATAACTACTATGCCTGGCTTGTTTGCAGTTTTTAATTCATCAACTACATTACGATAGTCAATATGAAGGGGTAACTACTGAAAGCGCCAGCGAAAACGCTTAAAAGGAAAGGACTATGAAGTGCCTTCATAGCTCTTTGACTGAACCTTTACCTACAAGGGATCTTTGGTCTTTATGATTGGTACAATCGCTTTTGAGGACTGATGTTCCAATTGTGCACATGCGTTTGCAGCCCTTCTGTACTTTGATAATAAATTTTCTTTAACGTTGGAGTAACTTGCTGCGACCGTTGGTTTAAACTTCGCGCAGCATTACAGAGGAATCCAGCTCAAGGTCAGGTGTCTATTATTCTAATCATTCCACTTATATGTCGTCAAGAGTAGAGCGCCATGTCGCATCAGTCCTACTCACCCAGTTCGATCAACATACAGTGAGTTGAAATGTTTCATCGGAGGAGAAATGACTACCAGGATTGAGAAGTTACCTGAACGACTTTAAGGTTCCAGGCAGGGTGGTTGATGAGGTTGAACTGCGAGGTGGCATTTTCAATGGCTCTCTGGAGCTCAGGGTAAGTGGCCTTCTCGAGGATAGTCCCAGGGAAGAGGTCATCGATAAGGGAGTTGAAGAGCGGCTCGTCCTGGTCTACCAACTTTGAGAGATTCATATCACGCAGTCCCCTCATCACCGTGCGATCCTCACTATCCTTCGGGTTCTTGCGACGTGCTGAACCCAACGTGCGCAACACCGAGAGGATGTTCCGCAAACCAAAGTCGTAGTGCACCTTGAGGCATACGTATATTCGATAAGACTCAGCTAGTGTTATAATCGGAAAATAACTAGAAAGCACAATAATCTATAAAAACAACAGAGGTTTTTCAAGTCTTCTGAACCCAAAACTATCCAGCTTCTTTAAGTAGTATTTTCAAGAATGGGGTTTTTGACCATCCAATTTAGAATTCCGTGCCATGATATACAAATGGTAGATTCCTCAGTTTGAGGGCACATAGATTAATTAGGATTTTAAAATGTTGTGGCTAGAACTTTTTAGGACAAACATTTAATAAACTCGGTGAAATAAACAATTCCTGTGCTCTGTAATCCTTCAGCCTAATTCAGAGACTAAGAATGCTGTTACAAAAATTATGTAGCAGGAACCAAAATGAACTTTTAAATAGATTATTTAATAAGACAACATCAAAATCACAACTCTATCTAAGCAATAGATCATGAAATAATGTCGGTGAAAAGATGCCAACCTAGTACTTTCATCGGAGATCCACTGACCTGCTTGGTTAGTTGCTCCTCACAGAGTTTGTAAAGCACAAAGAACTTTCGTGCGAGAATAATGTTATCCACAAAACCACAGGCAGCTAGTTTAACACGAATAATGATTTGGCGATCAGGCACCATCATAGCTACACTGCGAAAGTTGATTTTTAAGTTTTCTGGCAGCTCTTGGCGCCCGGCATACCCTGGATTCTATCAGAGGTAAATATATGCGTTATTGGATAAAGCAGATGCTAAGAAGAGTGAAATGGAAAAGAAGAAGTGTATACCATGGTCAAGAAGATACCGAACTCGGGATCCAGAGATACCTCGTCACCATCTGTAAAGATGAAGCTACTCATACCGTCTCGTTTGGCACTGAGAACAATGGCGATCTGCTGAGCGGCTACTGACAATACAGGCAGCTCAATTCGATTGAACTCATCAAAGCAACCCCATGAGCCAGACTGAGCCAAACCCTTGTAAATACGACCCAGACCACGGAAGTCCATTTGATCAGAACAGTTGAAGACAACCACATACTTGCCCAGGCATCGCCCCATGTCCTTTGCGGAGGTGGGTAAAAAAAGAAAATAATACATCCGCATTCACGAAAGGGGCCATTGCTGGCGGTAAATGGAAGAAAAAGCGCCTCACCTTGGTGGTCTCCGTCTTACCCGTGCCTGCAGGACCTGCCGGCGCACCGCCCAGGTGCATGCTGAGGGCCTGGCTGAGAGTGATGTAGCACCGATCTGTGAGAGGAGTGATAACCAGCCGCTCAGTGCAACCGAGAAACTCGTTTTGGTAGGCAAAGTCGACGTCAGTAATCGAAACGACACAGGCGTCCACTTCTTCGTTGAAGTAGGTACGAGTCTGCTTGGTCCATTCAAAGTCGTCGGGTGATTTGATACCTTGCTTGACCTAAATTCAATCATTCGGTCATCAATCATTAGCCGAGACACCTTGCAGTCTTACTATTATTCGATTATGCAAGCGAGTCTAAAACCTCCAGCAGGTATGCAATTCCAACTAGATATTTCAGATTAGCATCGCTAGTAGTTCAATGAAGCGTTGCCGCCTTTGAACAGCCTCATGACAAATGCCTCACTGATCTGTATCCAGTAGTCTATTAAGAAGGCTATCATGAATAAATTTCATTATACTGCGTCTTTCTTACTGAATGAATGAGTCCTCAACATTGACTGAAATTAAAATCTGTGGTATCATTTGCAAATCATCCATCTGTTTATAATCATCCGACATTTTTTAATGAATACCCTCAGATGAAATTAGTGTTTTATGCATACTTCAGTTAAAAATAACACAACTTAAACTGCATACTAAATACTCATAGAATTGTTGCAGGTAGTTAGGTAATACGTAAGAATAAGTAAATATGATGTGGATCTGTCCACTTGCCAAGTCGTCGAAGATATCTCTCTGATGAACCATGATAGTGATAAGAGTCTCAAACTTGGTTCTCTGCAGCGAGTTCAGGTCCTTTGTAGTTTCGTTTATGAGGAGATTGAGGACGTCCAGAAAGTGCTTATTCGTCTTAGTCATGGCTTTCGGTTCCACCTTAGCTTCCTTGAGTGCTTCTGTAGCGTCCATGGTCCAAATAATCTGCAGACCTATTATACCTATCTGTGCCAGTTGGGCAGTGAAAAACTCAATGAGTTCACAGGAGGGATCCATGATCAGAAAACTGGCTTTTTGGATACTGAGGTGAAGTGATAGGCGACTGGTAATAAGGAGGGTATTCAACCAACTCTCCACCTGACCCTCACATTTTACCGGGGCGAACATCTGCAACGCGAGAAGAATGTCTGCAGTCAAGAACCCCGACGGTGTAAGAATGTGAATTCAGCTACAATGCGTTTTTATATCGGAAAAGAAATAAGGTAGCACTGTATAGTGTTTTACGCCACACCATTCACCGGATTTCTTGACGTTAATGAATTTGATGAATTTGATTCTACAAACTAGCGAATAAAACATCAAAAACAGTTAAATAGACGATTTGCACGCGAAAAATATTATAGAGTACTTTAAGTAGCGTCATTTTCGTAGGGGGAATAATTTGGTATACTAAAACTTCTCACATTCTTCTACCCTGAGCCCGTTACGTCAAACGCTATTTGTGTGGTTTCTGGTCTGTTATCGTAGCCATTCCACGACAAGAAGATGTTTAAATTTAGAAATACCGAACTTCATTTAAGCCTCTTAACAGACAACTACTGAAACACTTGGAAACACAAAATTATAAACTTGCCAGTTAAACAAGCTTTTCAAGTTAATTGAAGTGATTTTGATTTGCTAAGTGCTACCAGATAGAATTGTCTTGCGTTGGCCTACCCAAAACGCCACATTGTTACTTACATCTAAACGTTCGCCTTCACTTGAAAATGCTGCTAGGATATCGGGAGCCTTCTCTGAGAAGAGGACACTCTTGGTATTGTCAAAGATGGCTAGCAGGTGGGGCTGAATAGCTGTGGGATCGGAGGCCTGACCGAGGATCTCCAGCAACACTGGATCGGAGACGAAGAAAAAGCGTGGAAACTTCAGGCGCTTCTTCTCCAAATAGCCCGAGAGTGACTTCTGACAGACCTCCAGTTGATTCAGTAGGCGCGGCAGTATCTCCGTCAATGAGCCATCGCCGGCACAGCAAGCGACGACGTTGGGGTTGTCACGCGCCCGGTCCATCACCTTCACCCAAGCCTTGTCAACAGTCTGGAAGCGCTTCGCCTCCTGTGGCAGCTGCTTTGCGATATCGCCACCAACAAACACTGCTTCTAGGTACACCCAAAGGTTCTGGACTCGCATCCAATTTTCTAGCACCTCACTGGTAACGCTGAGCTTTTGCACCCACTCCTGAATAGGCTTCCTGAATGGCACGTTGTATCTGGAGGAGGAGAGAATAGGTTCTTTAGAGGTATGAATTCTTGAACGCCACTTGTTATTAATCCTCCAAAATAACCATTTCATTTCTTATTTCTTAGCTGATCCAGTGATCAGGACGTAGGAGAAAAACGGAGGACAACTTAAATGTACCAGCTAACATTCAAAGTGACCATTTTTATATTCTATGACATTAATAATTAGGACCCTTTTTAATATGGAAAACCCCATTTTGACTCATAATGGATTGCTCTCTATTACTTGCATCGAGAGACTAACAGATAAGAAAGCAAGCAAACCCTTACAAATGACTGTGCTGTGGTTTACACATGACTCACTGTGAATTCCGATGCCTTAGCCCTATGCGCACAAGCATTAATTCCTAAGCCATTTTCGTCAATAAAAAGGCTTAAAGTTGGAAAATTTGGCGGTATTTCGCACCATAAATTCTATTTAATATGCGGAGGTGTTAATGAATAATCTCTGGCATATGTTATCATCTGCTCAGGAAAAGTAGAGCAGTAAAAAACCGAATCAAGTACTATATAATACTATTAGGCTATACTATCTAATTGGACACTGTCACAAAATTTTAAAAATTTATTAATTCTATCTTTTGAGTACCATACATTGACCTACATGGAGGCTCTTTAACAACCCGATTAAAAGATTAAGCAAACCTGTTACTCATTAGCGATCCAAGAATCATGAGAGAGTCTTCAAGCATCGGAACGATTTCAGACACTCGGTCCCCCTTTAAAAGCAGTTCACCGCGCGCCTTAAAAGACGCGAGTTTCAGCTCCTGGTGGGTCCAATCCACGATAACGCCGGAGAGTTTTGCTTCAATATCCTTCTCGCGCACCGCGGAGATGCAGATGTCCTCTACATCATCCTTCGATTCCAGCAGTGGAGCGTCCAACATGGTCTTCAACATGAAGCTCTCCGACTCCACATCAAAGTTGTAATTGGTGAGAGCTGCCAATCGCTGCCAGTGACGCGGCTTCATCGCCTTGTTGGTCATCATCTCCAGCAGTGGCACCTTCTCGTTAAAGTCGTTTATGGTCTTCTCCAAGTCTGTGTAGGCTGGCCAACTTTTAAGAGCCTTCGGCAAGCGCTTGCATCTGAAGTAGGACAAAAAGTGGATTTTCCTCTGAGTGACTAACTACAGACATAATTGACTACTGTTTGTTTACTCGTTTTAATAATCCATAATAATAGGCGGATGTCGGTTTACTGCACAACAGTTCCCACATTCTCCAACTCTCTCTTACTGCTACTATATGTTTTGGCCTTTAGGAGTAGCTTAGTTGCTGAAACGCAATCAGAAAACTGACACAAACAGTTAGCTGAGAAGAGTCAAAGGAATGTGTACACTGACCTACTAAATTGGAACGGGTGCAGATTTGGGTGATGCATGAACAAAATCATCACAAAGCCTGCAAGCTGTATTGCTTAGTTATATGAATTTAACTTTAACGCACCAAGACGAGTCTTAATTACGGGACACATGGCGCTACAAAGTTAAAATGCAGTCAAAGCTACTAAAGATTTTCCTATCGTGTTGCTTTACTTAATAGAGAAAAGACGTTAAGGAAGCACTATCTTACTTCCTCTGAAATTCCTCCAGATCGGCGGCGATTTTTTCCATATTGACATCACGCCACACGATGTCATAATAGCCACTGACGGTCTTACTGACCTCATTGTAGAGCCCGTAGAGTCTCTGCAGAAGATCCAACTCCTTGCCAATCCCTCCCAAACGTGAGTAGTCAGTGATGGGCAGACCGAAGAGCTCCTCCCCTTTACGAGCTGTCAACATCTTGCGTGTTAGGTTGTCATGTCGATTTTTAAATTGAATTTGTCTATCTAGTGCAATCTGTGGTGGAAGTCCTGGCACCATTGGCCCTTTCTATGGGGAAGTAAATATTTCCATTCATGCAAATATCTTAATTAAACATGTTTTACAGTCTAAGTGGAATTCTGTCCCATAAAACAACCATTGGGCAATTTCAGTGCCAGTGAATTGCAGTATTTTAAAGCACTGACAATCGTAGAGGCGAATAGACTAGAGTAGGAGCCGAACCATGGTGAACACAAATTACTAACTAATGGAACACCCGAGGTATGGTGTTAACCACTTGACTCAATCGTCTAATAGATGCCTGTCAGGATCACTAGATAGCATTAACCACTTGATATATACAGGCACGCTTTCCTCTAAATCATAGTACTAGCACTGCGACTAGACTAAGATAACCCACCTCGTCATAGTCCGTCTCAAATTCCTCAACTAATTCTTTCAGAGCTTTAATGCTTTCCAGAAGACCGTCTCTATACCCAGCTTGGATACTGAGAAGGTGGTCAAGCTTTTGCAGCGCCTTCTCCTTGATCCGAAAGTAGGCGTATCGACACGACTCCACGCGGTCTGAGAGTTCCTTTGGGAATGGCATATTGTACTTGGAGATGAGGTTTGTCGCATCCTTAGTGAAGGAGGCAAGGGAAGTTAGCGTATTTTACCCAAAAGGGTGAGTGGGCAGCAACTTGTTCGCGGAATATATGACTCACTTCACACCGTAGAAGCGTCATGTCCTGTTTGATGTCCTTCTCTCGAATGTCAGCCAGGGTGTCCATGACGAAGGCGATGTCGTCGAGGTTTGTTATTTTCTTCGCGAGGTTTCGGTCCCACTCCTCGATCTGGTTTTGAATCTCATCCAGTGGGGAGATGAATTCACTGATGAAGGCTTGCACATAATTCTGCAAACAAAGCCTACTAAGTTATTTTTATGCAATAAGGTATAATGCAGAAAATTGAAATAATTCAAAAGGTCAACAGGATGAAACATCTGAAGTCCTGGGTAAAGTTAATCAATGGTTAGAGTATCACAATTCCCTAAAAAGTCCAAAAACGTAATACCTGCACAAGTCTTTAAATAGGTATCTATCTGGGACTCTGCAAACTAAAAGTAACTGGGATACCTTCAACAACCTAAGAAAACTCAGGCCAATAATATCTCGAAGGAAATTCGAATGTGATTTGAGGGGAGAGGTACAACTTGCCTTCTTTAGCGCATTGAGGGTGATTCTAATTTTGCGCTTGAAATCATCCAGGCCAACGTAGAGGGCACCGACAACGTAGTGGTCGGGTTCCCGCTCTATCTGTTCCTCGAAACTTTGTAAGTAAGAGAATTTCATCTGAAATTCGTGCATACAGGGTTCTGCTCCAAGAAAGGCCTCCAACTCGGCATCAACGTCACACTTGTAGATGTGACTGAACTGTTCCAAGTAGGAGGTGAGGGACTCTGTCTCGTAAATGAATCCTAGGGGTTGGTGGAAACGTTTTTACTATAAAAACCCATAATTTACCACTTCCCAACACATTCTTCTTAAAGTTGAAGGTACAAATTAGCTTGCAGACAGTAGCATGGAGCAGCATTATCTGTAAATACGACCTAAAAATTTGTTCACCTGTAATATTTTAGCCTGTCGTTAATCGTCAGCTGCTTTTGGGTAAAAAAACCGTGAAAATGTGCAGCAATAAGTAGAAAATTTGCGAAAATCACTTATTTTTACCACCAGTCAGTAATGCCTTGGCAAAATCTAGTCAAATACATTCTTGAGACAATATTTTTAATTCTAAATATGTAGCATTGAAGTCCTGTGTTTAGCTTCACTTACCGTCATTTTGGAAAACAATCTTTTTCATTTGCTGCAAGCCAGAGGAGATGAAGTTGCGTAGGCGATAGATCTCTCTATCGCCATGAACCTCCTTGTATGTGTTAAAGCGAAGGGTTATGTCAGTTTCCAACACTAAACTCAAAGAGAGTATAAATGAGTGCCTTCGTCCATGTAATGTCAATAGTAACAACGCTGCTTCAATAAACTCACTTCCTGTAATTTGTTTGGCGAATAACGTGTTTCTCGAACCCCGCATCTTTCTCTAATATAAAAGATGTTTGTTCCATTTCCATCCAATGATTTGTAATCATTTTAAATGATTAGACAAGCTATAAATTTTATATTCAATGACTTTTTTGAGATTTAAAATACCATAAATAGCTGCACAATTAGGGCTCTGCATTGACAACCATCGAAAACGTTATAATCAGATTTACTATTTTACATTGGCACTTACGAAACGTGCCCTTTTGAAGCAAAGGGGATGACGAATAAGGAAATGGCTTACCGAGTTGCTGTCGGAGTTGGTACCCCCGCCAGAGCCTGGGAGGCCCTGGGTATCGGCATTTGAGCCTCCCTCCACCTCAGCACCCCACGTCGACGCCGAGGGGCCTGGTGGTCCAGGCGGCGATAATGAGTTCTCCGTCTCCCCGGCTTCAGTGTGCGTGCTGCTGTTGGAGCTCGGCACAAACATGCTTACATGCTTCTCATCTGCCGCTGCTGAAAAACAGGTAAACATATTTCATAGGTATCAATCGTCTTCTTTATATTCGATTTAAATAAGGGGGATGGTCATTTTATGCAAATATAAATTTACTTGAGAATGTATTATATCACCTGTCATTAGTCCACAAAAACAGCCTCGTTCTGTCATGGGAAAAAAAGGATTAGCGCATCAGGCAGTTGGCCCTTCAAATGTGCATGAACAGGGTATTTGCAACAGTTAATGAAATTTGTTTAGTAAATTTTTCATCTTAAAGGTGATTTCTTTCTTTAGTATTATTACCTGAGTGTATTTAAAATCGAATGTACTGGTAAGAGAATAGCCTTGTTTTTGTGAACTGCCTTAAATACTTTTGTCTGATATACAATTTTCAAACTGACTGGATTATTTAAATGTGCTATTATAAAGTAGGTATGCAAATGAGAATAAAAACATGAAGGGGTGATTATCACCTAGATCTTATGTGTCTTTAGGATCAACTCCAGCTCTTCAAAGGGACTTAAAGGCGAATCATCAATCACCCTCAAACTGTTTGAAGGGATATTTTGAAATGTAGGAGTTCTGCGGTGAAGCCGCCAAAATTCGGTGTCCCAATAAAAATTGAGTTCATCAATGAACATCTTAGGTACAAATTCTAATCTTTTTGAAAGTGGCTTCTTTATCAACAAGTCGCTTTCTCATATTTAGTTATCTACCTGTATTCAGTGCTGAAGACTATCAAAAGAATCGCTGAATTTGTGTGTTGCCGTGAGCCTCTTCGTTACATATTTCATTCCCCAAAAATAAGATCGTTAAGAGTTGGACATTCGAAGTGTTTGGATTTTATCAAAACATTTTACAATAATATCGGTTTCAATTTGGAAAAATACTACAGACTTGACTTATATCTTTCTTTTTTACCATGGAGGCATTATTAAGGTCTAGGTGTTCAACTATGAACCTAAAACAAATTTGGTGAATTTACCCTAGCTACAAAAGGCAATTTAGACGATATTACAGCACAGTCAAGCGATAGGTGGCAAAGATGACAAAGCGCCGGCGGCAAGCATACATGAAATGAGATTTACAGGTTTGGGAGTTGCTACCCGCAGTGACGGAGGTGCCATCATGAGCTAGCTCGTTGTCAAATGGGCCCGCGGTGAGGACTTTCTCATTGATTTCACGCTTGCGTCCGTCCATGCCCCATGCCAGAACGCCTTTGCAACTGCCCTCGATGCCGCCCACAATACTGCGCAGCGCCGCCTGGATCTCCGCTGGTCGCGGCCAAATGTCCACCTGGGTGCCCACCAATCGCGCGTAGCACCGCACCAGCGGCTGTGGCCGTGTACTCTCTAGCAGTGCACAATACAATCAGGTTAGAGGCCTGAACGACTTAACAACGCCCTCTTTCCTTCTATCTCAAAACAAACCCAAGTGGTCCATGTCAGTATAAAAAATTATTGACAGCGCTTCCAAGATCTATCATTGAATTTGAATCTTCTACCTGCTTTGACTTTCATTCCCGCGGGAATGTCCTTGAGAATCCCAGCAGCCTCCTTGACCGCAAGACGGCTCCAAATGGAGTCTAGGGCAGTGCGCACCGACTGACAAACGGCCTCGGTAGCACGGGTGCCAAGGTTCATCATCATGTCGTCCGCTGCAAGGGCCACTTGCACCGCGGTTTTTAGGGAGGCGTGCACCTCTGGTGGCAGTTTAAGATCCTCCTTCGTCTGCGTCGCAGTTTGCGACTCTACTCCCCCGTTATTGCCCTTCGTCACCACTGCGGCTTTGCCAGATGTAGCTGCCTCTGAGTTCGCTGCTTTTGTTCGATTCGGACCTCCTATAAAAAACAATCAATTTGGCTTTTGCACACGCATGCCATGTCTGCTCCTCGTATTCTAGTAGATTTTGAATGGAATTTTGAAGGTTTTTATCTTATGTTATTCTGTCAATCAACAAATCGTAGCGAATGATCTCACGATACTCTCTAGATAAACCACGATTAATTTCTGTTGCGTTTATAATAACACAAAGAACCTTTTGGGAGTATATGACCTTTTCGAAAACTTACCTCCATTGGGCTCCTGGTTTTCCATATGTGCATAACGGATTTGGACTTCGTCGGCAATAATCTTTTCAAGGTTGTTCTCATCTACAAACTTGTCGTAGTCTTCCAGGAGAATGTTTAGCATCTCAACAGTGGCCTTGAGCACAGTGATAGTGAGAGCATTCATAGTGTCCGCAGCCGCAAGGATCTGACCCTTGGCAAGGCGTACGAGATCAAATATCTCCAAGGCTGGATCATCTGGACCTGGCAATGAGAGTATCGTCGTCTGACTTAGCTCTGACAACACGAAGTCGATTCGGTTGACGGAGATGTCGTCGATTTGCTTCAACAGCCGCTCAAATTCCGTCAGGGTGCTCAGAACATTCTGAAAGGATGCACAGCCATATCATGGTCTGTGTGTTGATTTTGCAACTTTTAATAACACACCATTAAAAAGCGTCAATTAAGACAATATTTGGCATTAATATAGTGCAAATTTAACCATATTTTGGCAAATTTTGGTCTCTAATCTCAAAGAAATACTCTGGTTTGGTGATTTGCACCATCTGTGTATTCTCAGTACTTACGTTTACGTAGTTCATAGTCGTAATGCTGTTCCAATTGTGCAGGTGCATTCCAGGTTCAAGCGCCCGGTTGACCCTCATCATGGAAGGTATGACCAAGACGTGATATTTCTCAGGAACTGAGCTAGTGATTTGAACGTATCTGCCGCACATGTACTAAAAACGTCTCACTGTCTTACTGATAACAACTTACCTTAAGTTGTTCATAGTGGTATTTGATGTATTTGGCCTTAAGAAGGGTCTCCTTAGCAAATGAAGGGATTGGACATTGAAGTTTGTCCATTACAAATATCTCACGAAGAAGACCAATAATGTCTGGGTCCAGATTTACAAATGGTCTGCCAAATGGTGCAGGCTGATGACTGTATACAATGAGTGATGCCGAGAGACCATTCAGTTTTTTGAGAATCTAAAAGATAGGGTTCAAAGTCTCTCCAATGGGCAGGATTAATTCATTCGCAGTGCTAAAATTATTCCGGTTCTACTCCAAGGCCGATGACCATGTAAAGAAGCAAATAACTGCACTTTGTATCCGATGTGCAGAATGTGTTTTAGTAAACAAATCAAAAGGGAAATGGAATCTGAGCTGGCATGGGAACTAACCATCGATCCCAAAGAAGAAGTTGTATTAAAGTCGGTGGATTTAGATTCTTTTATCAAATTGCTATTATAAGTCTCGAGATTTTTAGGTTAACTCACACATTTGGCAAGCAAAAGGAGGAAGGAGGGGTAATCTTACGAGTTTAGTCCACGTTTGATAGACGGCGATCTCATATCCGACGATCTTCCCTGTGACTTCGTTGTATGCCGAGACGAGATCTTGACCATCTGGTGAGATAAGGGCTTTGGGTGCCTTTGTGCAGATAGCATTCATGGGCTCCTCGAGTCGTCTGTAGAAGTTTCTCGCCCACGCGATTCGACCTCCGAAGGGAGGCATATTGCGCCCCAGGGGAGGTGATGCGAAGTTTGTCTGGAATTGGTCCATAATATTGTTGATCTCCTGCATCAATCTGTCACACAACTGGCGATATCGAGTACCGTGCTCCAGTCCAGGTATGTTGATAGTCTCTAGACGCTCCTGAAGCCTGACTGCATTCATTAAGCTGCTTGGTTTGGTGAAGTTAGCACTAATAGTGCTCAGCAACATATCCTATGGAAAGAGCAAAGGTGAAGGGTCGTGTTACTTTATGTTTATAAACGATAAACATTGCGGTGAGAGGTTTACATGAATTTCAGAAATTCGTTCTTTGAATTCGTCGTAATCAGCTTCGAACATTGAATTTCTGTGATCAAGGTAGTCGTAGGGCCTTGATGCGATCATCGACTTAAGGCGATCGAATTTAGCTATCATCGGTTCTTTGCCTGTCAAAAGAACGATATACCACAGTGAAATCTTTGTACAAGTTCTGGCAATTTAAAACTGGTTAAGTAAAATTTAAACTAGACTTGGATTGAATTCTTTCATCGGTACTTCCCAATCTGAGTGCTTTGAAAAATACTTCAGCATCTTCTTATTTCCACCTTTCCATCTTTCTCAATCCCTAAATTCAATAATCGGTGTTCGCTGGAACAAGTATACTTGTTGATAGTCGCGAGTTTTAGCAGACCAACCGTTGATGATTCTCACCAATAAGTAATTACATTACATATCCTTATTTGGGGCTGTGCAATAAGCTATTATCAAAATATCAGTCTCAGTCACTGCTATGCATTTTAAATAACTCCTTTTCCCTTCTCTACATTGACTGCTTTGATAGATTTTAAAATTAGGCTGAACCCTGTCCATCTCGCGTAATGCAGGTGGCATCTTCATCGAATGCTATCACTAAACTAAAAGGGGCCTTATTTTCTAGTAACGATGTCAAACTGCTACGAACCTTCAAGAACGAATTCGTGGAGAACAGAGTACTGCTTCAACGTTTTGAGTACTCGCGTCAAATAGTCGAGACGCTGGGTGAAAAGGTTCATGTTGCCAAATATCTGAACCTCGGAGAAGTTAAAGATACGCTTTTCTTTGGCGTCGATCATCCCCTGTCGTGTCACTCGGTAGGCTGTCTGGTAGGCCAGGTTCACCTCAATGCAGTCGGTCATTCGGGCCACCATTTCGTCGTTGTCCTGCTCCCATATCGACTTTGTCCCATTGTACGTCAGGTAACGCTTGCATATGTAGATTATCTGGTTGGTAATCTGTTGACGATCAAAAGTAGTTATTCCCTCCAATGGCTGGCTATGCTATTGAAAGGGAAAGGCTTTGCCTACTGATTCATGCATTCATAAACCCTTTGCAAGTAGACACGACCATCTTCTCCCGTTTACAACTGTTACTTTCATTAAGCGCAGTAATAAGTAATATTAGTAAAAATAGCGTTAAAAAGTCACCTTCACTAAAAGAACGGTCATGTGGGAATAGGTATTGTAGAATGGTGAGCACTGGAAGAGCAATTTAAGCGACTTCATAAGATTTGGCATCCACGAAATGATTGTTTTCTAAAATGCAAATTCAAGTAATTTGTTATCTTTTACAATATTAGAAGTCTAAACTACATTTGAGGAGCATAACTCACGATGTCCGTTACGACAAGTGGAGCACACAATTTTTCAACAGCGCTGAGATACTTGACGTTCCCTGCAGCCTCAGCGTTGGCATACTTCACTTTCTTGTCCAACTGCACCCAAGTCTAAAATGTTAATGTAGTGTAGTTATTTTTTGAGCCGAAGGGAAGGGCAGAACCAAATCTAATTTCAGGGTAAAACCCACGGGTATGATGGTCGACTTGGCTTGCTCGAGTACGGAAATGACATTTTTGATATCGGGTCGAGATAATTCTTGCACCAGGGAGTTCATCCGTGTCATCTGACATTTCCAAAATCGAAATTCGCCATCGGGTCCTGTCTGATTTATCTCCACATGAATCAACTCCACTGCCTTCGCCTCCTAAAACGAGACCCAACCCCGAATAGAAGTGCAAGAAAATCACGACCGTCAAACGGATTCGTCTATTTGTTCAAAATTTAAGCCTGTATATCTTTTTTCTGCAAGAAACTTACCTCATATATCTTTTTCATCCAAGCACTGGCATTCTCCTCCAAAAGGCTCAGTCCCTCAGGTGTCTTTGAGAGTGCGATGAGACCCTCCATATCGTTGAAGTGGACCTGTTCATGAAGCATGTAGGGCGGCAAGATGACATGCTCCTGTGAGCAGGCGATGACAGCTTAAGGAATGTAGAATCAATGGCTTAAATGACTGGCCAATGGATGGACAGACATGTTTAGACAGGTGTGCCTACTTTCAAGGCTGTTGATATAGTTGGCAAGGTAGTCGCAGTAGTCGTCGTGCTGTCGTGGCGTGAGTTGATGCATGTTGGCCGCCTGCACTTGAACTCCAGGGAGGATAAAATTTCTCAGGTAATCGAACATTGGTATCACAAATCCAGCTGCTGGATCAAGCTTGCAAGTAAATGTCTCCTAGATAAGGGAAGTGGTTTTTCATCACAGTGAATTTTATGGATTGCTTGACAGAAAGGGTTACAGGCCGATGTTTCCCCGAAATTAGTCATTCCTACTCCAATATTATCAAAGATATAAAAGTATTATTTTAGAATCTTAGTGAGAGCTAACTGATAGTGTGGCAGGACAAATATTTGGCCTAGAATCACTTCAATATGGGGCAGTATACAAGTTTAGTCCTTTTTGGAATTTGACAAATGGTTGTTCCTTAAATTAGGTGTCTGGAACTTTGAGTCGGTAAATACCGGTCAAGTGAACCCTGTGGAGAGTCTCGGCAGTCAAGAGCAAGATAATAGAGATAGATGGGCACATTGCAATTGCAAACACATTCGAGAGTCAATCGTAGTGACGAAGACTTGCCGCATTAAGGTTGCTGGTAGTCAGTGCACCGTCAAAGAAGACGCGCAAGAATACGTAAGTCTCCGTTTTTAGTGGAAGTTGGCCATTATGAAAGAAGTATCTTTTGGTCCCACGAAGATTTTTTTTCTGAATCTTGAAAGCTTCCTCTGCGGGGAAGAAGACAAAATAGTTACGAACTGAATACAATCTTCCATAGACATGCATTAATCCAGCGAGAGTTACTGGCCTTTCTCCTTGTAGCGGAGCGATTAAAGGTGTAGGTATCAAGGTGAGACCCTGCTTTAGGATTCCTACCCTCAAGATATAATCTCCTTGTCGGTTTTAAATTAACATAGTTTATCATAATTTTAAAACGCTTGAATACTATTGCCTGTCGTATGGGTAGTGCACAGGTAAACACATAGCCCCCTTACTCATTATGGGAAAATATCAACTCCCCGAAATAAATGAGGAGTTACATAAGCCAAAATTTTTATTGGGTATATCAAATTTATTTAGTCGGCTTTTCAATTTACTAATCAGGTTTTTATGATAAACTTCAGGAAGTTATGCAACTGGAAGCATTGCGGAAGAATACTAAAGGTGTTTGAAAGCATTCTGGCAAGACCGAGAAGCTTTACTTACTAGCAGTGCTGTGCACGTTAAAGTTTTGGTCGGCATAGGTGACCATGAGAACCTTGGCGCCGTTAGCCTCGAAGAAAATGTTCAAAGCCTCAAGTTGGCCGAAATCCAGAAGCCACTCGGAGGCCGTCTGTGTTTCAACGCCAAACGCCCTTTCTAGGCGCATGAGAATGTTCAAGTGACGGTCGTCAATCAGGGCGCGCCGATTCTCTCGCGCTCCCCGGATCCTCTCCTGCGAATATGTTAGTTTCAATGCATGTGTATTCCCCTTGAGTGATTATGCTGACCCCTTACCCTTGAAAATAGGTACATTGAGCTGTGCAAACTTTCTGTTCCTCTAACGAATGATTGGCTCAGAGGTAAGTGTCTCATGAGTTATTAGGGGGTACAAATTGCTTGTCTGTCATTACCTCCGAAATAATTGCAATACATCAGTAACGTGCACCTCAAGAAGGGACCGACAAAGTTAATTCAACAAACTACAGTCCAAGCTTTCGTTGTAGTAAATCATCTCTAACAGACGGTTAAGAAGGCTCTGTGCCCACGCACAAGGAATGAGTTCATGTGTGTGAAACACTTGCTTAGATTTAAAAGAGCAGATTTACTGAGGATTTAAAAGACTCGTGTGAATAAGTTGCATCACTTCTACGAGAATGGTGATAAAATCCACAGCCAATTTTTGGTATTAAAATGACCAGATGCATAACCGACCTTATACTGATAGATACTCAACAAGTGATTTTACTGCCTGTTCTGCATGAAGGTGTGCTACCACCATTGTAAAGGCGAACACCACAAAGCTGCCCTGGAATAAAGGTGAGATTATCGAGACTATAGAGGTAATACGGCATTTTTGAAAAGAAAACGGAGAAAGTCTGCCTTAATGTTTAACTTAGCCAGTCGTAGCCACAATCTTCTATGGTGAATAAATATTATGAAACCTATTCTCATAAGACTCGCCTGTTTTTGCTTTATCTCCTCATCCGTTAGCATTTGTACTGCAGATGACCCGAAATCACAGCAAGCACTCCAACCCGCGGCACTTTGAAATGCGCCCGTATTGATCCCCCGCACGAGCACGTGACCATGGCAACAATCGATTCCTCGACCCGCTTTCCTGCCAAAAGCTCCGCTCACACGCCAGCAACAGCCTCGAATTCACGCCATCTTACGCCTCGCTGCGATGGAAAACCGCCCGGCATCTAAAACTGTCCGGCTGGCGACGGCTATTCTCGAATGCCTTCCCCTCCCCTTAACTCCCCTTCGCCAAACACAGGTGGGCTTGCGGCATAAAGCGACAATAAGGAAAAGTGCTTTTCTTAGAAATAGAGCAAAACTGATTTATGTATGATATTTCGGTCACTCAGATGGAGGCGGGAGGGGAAGGGGTAGGAGGGGCAGGAGACAGGCTTCGGGAGTCAACTATTAAAATCACTCCGACGGGTGTTTCCTTTTACAGGCTGGGGTGGACAACACAGGAAGGCCTGAGGATTGTTGACCCTAAGGGAAAGAATTTGGGTAAGTAATGAGAACAAATAGCTGAATCATGTGACGAGTAACTAAATTAAACTTTTCAAGTTATCTAATGGTAAACCTGCACAGCTTTAATGTGGAATAAAGAGCAGAAAACGTTCTTAAATAAGTAAAAATGAACAACCCAAATGTGGTGAAGCACTGAAGTGAGCTTACGGTTATAGATTCGAGCAGATGTATCGCAAGACGTCGCAATTTGACACACTAAAGCTAAAATCATTGTTCTGCGTTGTACATTTCATTAATTCACTGAGAAATGCGTTGGGATAAAATGATAATACAAAATAAAATCAAAAAAAAATTGTACAATGTTCTTTAAACGCATTCTGACCATTAAACTAAAGAGTTCACCCCCTGCGGGGGTGAAAAAGAAAAAAGGGTCGGTCATGTTCGATCCCAAAATCAAACATGCGGTGAGTATGGCAAGCGGACTTACTGGTTCACCTAGCGCAGTAGTCGATGCCTCCTCGGATATTATCCGCCTCAACGTCATATCATAATCCATTATAGCCTTCAGCTACAGAAAAGAAGGTGGACATTTTCGCCATGTGAGGCATTCTTAAAACGAATAAGCGGAAAACAAATTTCGTGTCGATGATAGCTTGACATATTTACGAGTTCATTTTGAGGAATTGCTTAATAATTAACGGTGGGCACATCTTAACACAAAATTGTTCTGTAGCACAAGAATTTACGAGAAAATTCAACACGAGGATTCCGCAGCCAGACCCACCTTTTGTACCAGTGAGTCCAACACTTCAGGAGACTCGTATCTCTCGGGATTGTCAAGAAAACGAACACATCCATTCCTTTGATCGATCTTCACGAATATTGACTTTGCACCAGCCTAGAATGTGGAATTGTTAGTGAATAAAAGTAAAATTATTCCGGACACAGACCTCTGAAATGCCAGTTACAAATTTACCATTTCGAGAAGTTGCTTTTCGGCAGTTTCGGGAAGATCTAGACGTGCCCGGACTGCTAAATCCTTCACCGACAACGAAATGAATGTCTGAAAAATGAGATTTTTTTAGTATTAGAAAGGTGCGGTACATCTAATTGTATACACTGATGCTTCATCTAGGGAGAGCGGAAAATACACAAGGTAGACAGCTCCTATCAAAACAACTCCAATTTACAAGAAGACGACGGAAACACCAGTCAAGATGTTTATGTAGCGAATACGAAGTAACCGAAAAACAGTGTAAATGGACATTCAATCCCGAATTGTTGATCAGTAAATTTATTCAGACAGAAAAATGATATGGAATTTGGACATTAAGTAATGGTTAAATGTCTACACGATCCGTGAGTAATTAGAAAACGAGCATTAGCTTGAATGAGATTTACACAAAGTGAGTAAACCACGTAATGGAAGGTCTCGCCGCATAAAAGATCTTACTGAATGATCATACGATGGGTGCGGTTACAAGATTCGTGGACACGTACCTTGGTTAAGTTGTGGATCCTGTATTTGACGTGACAATCAATTAGTTGTTTGACGAGGCCGTAGTTACGATCCTATGAAAAGGGGATGACAAATCCCTTGCAGTTAAATAAGTAAGGAGCACAGAAACAACATCCAGTCCTGTTTCTTTGCAAACGTCAGAAATGCATGGGGCTAGGGCATTAGAGCAGGTAACAACAACAAAACCTGTGCTGTTCATTACCGCGCCAAAGGTTGACGAATTCTTTTCGATGACTTCGCCAAGAGCGGTTGAGTTGGATGCCGAAAAGGCTTCTTCCAACTTTTTGTACGCCTCAAGAGAATACTAAAAATGCGTCATAATAGTAATTAGGTAATGTACGCTTGATTTGCAGTGCATACGGAGATGGAAATATTAAAAAGGAGTCTGTAAACACAAATGACCACAAATTAACGCGTACTTTCCATCTGCGGAGAAGAGGGAACTCCGCTGCGTTGAACTAAATCAAAAGGAAAAAATTTGACGATGACTAATAATATGTAATACTCAATACCTTACTAGCCCAAATTCAGTTTGATAGTGGAGAAAGAAGCTTAATACACTGAAGTACATACCTCTCCTTTATGAATAAGAGAAATAATGATAAGCTTTTTTGCAGCTGCTAACAGTAATGAGGAGCAAGACGGCGTCGGTATCGAACAGGCCTAGAAGTAGTAAATATGGTCATAAAAAATGCTACCATGGTGAAGAATTTGAAACTTCGATCCCACATTTTTAAAGCTGCATATATCATACCGCCATAATAAAAATACAAAATGGCATCTTTGATGCAATATGCTTTCCTCTAGAATAAACCAGTTACGAAACAAAGACAACGCACATCATTATCTACATCGAGCAGATCTGCGTTCAAAAACGGAAGAAGGGGATTGAAGAATTTTGCAGAAAGTGCAAGCTATTGAAAAACAAGAATTAGAAGTCATATACTTGGCAAAGGTTCACGTGCAGGCAGGTCAAGTGATTTGCGGTGTCTTGTATTCGTTTAATGGCAGCAATTAAGACAGGAATCCCGGATATCGCAATAGACTGGGCTATCAGCTTCTTTGTTAGAATTCTGCCAATCGCACGTACTACATGAACGGTTGCGCACAAAAAGAAACAGAATACCTATAGGCTTAACCAGATTCAGTCGTTTTGAGTCCGAGGCCTCGAAGAATGTTCGCGCTTCTATTAAATGAGTTGGTTCGATGGATGAAGCTGCCATAAGCTTAGCCCGACTAAAGGTAAAAACAATAACTTTATTACATGACAGCCGCATAAAGACATGTCCACTGCTCAGTTTCATAGCGCGCCAAGTGCTGATCGAGGGATGACACGTTCTTCATCAAAAAATCCGAATGTTTCTCAAGTATCGCGACAATCTCGGGTCCATTATCTACAATACTTACAAAAGATTTGACAAACTAACCTCCTGCCTTCTTAATACTTGCAATTAACTGGTCCATTAATCAAATCGCCAAAAGACAGTGAGCAACCAGGCCAGACTGCATTGCATGCGGGCTGACATGAAGGAGGTGGTAAAGTTGTTTGTCGACTCAATTCGATTTGCGGATTTGAGTGAATTTCTAAGGCCTCTGTTTTAGACATTTTAGGTAGACATTGCTGTATTTACCCCTCTTTACGTCTTAGTTAATTTTTTTGCTTGCACAATGACTTACCTTAAAGAGCTACTAAAACGACACGAATTTATTTGTTGCACCGCAAAATCAAATAAATCACTGCTACTTAAGCTTTTTCTGCGCACAAATCACACCCTTTGTGTTGATTTACAAACATAGTGAAGTAGCTTTAAGGAAAGACAACTTGGCGTGGTTTTCAATGAAAAAATCATAAAATACCGCCGAACTAAAATGTTAGAAAAGCTTGTAGGTCAAGCCTTGTAAAATCTTCACACCTTTCCGTGATTAGTGAGGCGACTTCTTTGAGCTGCATCAAAAGACAGGGATATTTGTCCAATGTTACAAAAGACGTTGCTATATAGTCTAGTTATAGCATCTGAGTAAGGTATTTGTGAACTCGGTGAGAGTGCGATTCTAGCATTCGGCCTAATGAGTAGAGGCTTTTTGTGGTTTACTTTGAGGCTGCACTGCCTTCTGTGTTTGCCGGTGATTGGGTAAGTTAGAATAGAGGCCTTTTGACCCCGAACTGTCAGGGATCAAGGTGATCCGCTTCAGAACCCTTCAACCTTTAACTTCACAATGACCTAATTTTCCAGCAATACAGCTTTCGCTGCTTATGTCACAGGGTTTGGCGTCTGCACAACACATGTGCTCCCCGAAATTTCATGTAATAACCGAGACGCCTAAAAAGATTTCATTTTAAACCTTACACGTCATAAACAAATCCTCTATCTGCACGCTTTCGAATTCCCAGTTGGGAATGCGGTAGGACACAGTACCCCTATTCACCGAAAGGGTTTCCAGAAAAACTAGTTAAGAAATAAATAAGGAAAGCCTTTAATTTCGTACCAACGCTCTGGGAGTTCTGCACGATGTGAGTGGCAGTGCTCGACGCTTCCTGAGGGAAGAGATCTGTTCAACATTTATAAATCCATGCAGCTGTTGAAACGACCCTTCATCGACTCACTAGCCACGGAACAAGGAAAGTGCAACGTTTTGTGCTACCAAAAGCTTCACACTGAAACCAAGCATTTCGAGGAGATTCTTCTGTTCAACTGGCGAAGGACGGAGCCACTAAGACCAGTGATGCACCTCGGATGGGTACAGAGATCAGCTCGCAGAGTGACAGGACCCATGCGGGACTGTCACAGGCAGCACAGGAGGTCTTTCGACAAGGCACACGCTTCAAGGTGCACTTATAAAAATGAAAACGATCTTCTCAATAGAAACACTGCAGCAAAAAATTTAAAAAAGTTCAGCGAATTACTTCATTTTTTGCCATCAGTTGATCTACCTCATAATATTCGGAATCATTTTAGGTCAAACGTCGCCTCCGATTAGCATACTTTGCTCAAATCAATGCCTTGTTTTTGCACCCTATTAACCCACTAATTTGGTTTTGAAGTGGGTTATTCAAGGCGGGTCTTACTTTCAGTTGGGGGCGACAACACTGCACCCTTCGGCCTAAAGTTGGCGGATTTGTAGTGGTTATGAATTAATGCAAATGGACAAAAGCATATCATTCCACAGGATAATCGGCCGCCGAATCCTACACCGCCCCCAACCATTCACAAGTTTAGCAAAAAGTATTCTAAATACAATTTACAGTCAGTACATTAAGCACTTCCCAAATTTATTCTAAGCATTAATTTGAACTATTATACACTGAAGGATGAGGAGAATACATCGAATAACAAGCGTACAGAGAAAGGAGAAAAAAGGGTTGTTATTGAGCATAAGAATAGAAAAGCCTATTTCGCGTCCGCCTCGGTAGCTATGTGTCCGTGCACACGCAGGCGGTAGACGCACGTGTATTCCGGATGACCGTGGTTACTGGTGATCGCCAATTCAACAAATACCGTCGGCTTGCCATCGGAGCGGGCCTTCAGTAAGACAAACAACGAGGGGAAACAGACAAATACATTAAAATCGTACAGAAGTTAGAACAGTGCTATCCAAAATCCTAGCTATTGCGTAACGACTAATGGAATTTGGATTACTTTGGAGGAATTAATAAACATTCGGTGGGATCGTTTTACCATTCGATAGCAGTTAGATTTGGTAGTAAAAATGGATAAACAATAGGAGTTAATGGACACACATCAGACGGAATGTGATGAACAGTGAGTCAACTTAAGCAGCATGAGTACAAGCCAACGTCTAACATACAAGAAGAGTGAGCTTGACAAACGAAACCACTACCGAAACTTCTTGCTAAAATGGATGGAATTGACATTCTTTTGGATCAGTGTCTACGTGATATCTTGTCCTTCCACAGGAGGTTTTCCAATTGCTTTTAGAAATAAATCAAACTTACGGTGATGATAAATACTCACACGGTACATCAAATATGTCAAATGAAGGATCATGTTGATCAAAAGTGAAAACTGACACTCGACTTTCGGAAAAAGCTATTCTGACACATTAAACAGTGACTTCGTTTGCTTAAGAATAGAAGTTCTAATGAGAAAAGACTGAGAACGAAGAAGTTCGCACCTTGACAGGGAAATACTGAATGGGTTTGCCATCCGCGTTGTAGGTAAAGGAGCCGAGAACGTCACCATCCTGAGCGGAGTCCGACTCGAGGGCCTTGATGAGGAAATCCCGCGGGGCCGAGTCGATGCGCCCAGTGTGCGCCAGGGACTTGGGTATGTGCTCCAGTGAGACCCCAGTCACGTGCACCGGCATCGCTAATCGCACTATCGCCTGGCCCTCGCTGCCGTGGAAGCACCAACACTCGCCCGGGTGGTTGCTCGGCTGGAGGATCTCGCTGAAACAAACCACAGCATGGTTCGACGTCTTACCAGATGGCCAGACACAGTAACTCGCCAAATTACTTCAAAATCACTTCAGCACAGCAGTTGACTAGCAATTTCTCGAATTTTAACGATGCATATAGTTCCGTGCGGCCCGACAGAAGGTAATCGGTTTTTAAGTTTGAATAAACGTTCAACAATGGTTAGAATTTCTTCTCACTACTCGAGCTTAAAGTAAGAAGCGTTATTCATTAAAGAAACTCCAATGCACTAGGCTATGAGACTATCTGCAACAGTTTTACAAACACGCCCTCAATTTCCTCCGCCAATTTGTTCAAACCAATGGACGATGGGGACGATCTGTCGTATATGGACGTTTTTCCAAAAACTTGTTTAACCACGGAAATCCTTTCAACATCCAAAGACCAACTTAGGTTTTGGTTATGGTAATCATGTATCCAAGGTTTATATGGATGAAATCTATGGGAATTCTGTAACTAGGTAAATTCATTAAGGTTCTTTTGAAAGGAAACCACAAAACACTGCCCCAAATGAGATTTGAATGATGCTTCAAGACTGTAGTACGACTGTACGAGCACCGTTTTCACTATAAACTACATCGCATCAACCTCTCTCTTCTAGCTTTGATTAAAACACTGATGTGTGGTTAATGACAACATAAAGACCGTGTACCGAAAAGAGAGCAAAATTCGGCAAATCCTTTCAACACCTACAAATTAGTTTACACCGACTCGTATGCGCCAATTCCTTCAACAGTTCTTAAGACTAATCCCATATTCGGCATAAAGCATTCCCACTAATGCAGCTCTTCTTAACAACCCTAATCTTATTAAATTCTACCATAAGAAAAGTCGCAGCACCATCTCATATGATGGTTGCTTTACCAAACACAAAACCATTGGTCATATTTCATTGCGTATCCTGATGCATTCAGTCCCGCGCGGAGTGGTTATTTATCAAGTGAGTTGAAAGTTAGAAGGGATTCGTAACAAACCAAAACTTTTTGGAACGTACATTTAAGTGAATAGGCGCTTCAGACGCTGCAGTCTCAGTTGCCCTCTTGGTGAAGTGGTATTTCACTCACGGCATTACCTTTAATGGCCAGCTGAACTTTTTGTACATTCGTAATCGAGTAATACGTGGATTCCCAGTCGCATAACATGCTCAAGCGGGACTCAGGCACCACGGCATATGTACAATCAATGGGGAAGGGCTTACTTGGGAGATCGTGACCAGTAGGCGAGAGTGATGCCAAAGAGGGAGACGGCCGACTTGAAGCTGGTGTAGGTGCGAGTGCATCGCGTGGAGACCACAGTCCCGCCGGCCGACTCAAGAGCAAAATCCGCCTTACCCGTTCCATCTGCGGTAAATACCTCGAAAATCGAGTCTATGTGGGCCAACACCCCAGCTGGAATGTCCCCCGTCGTAGATTGCGGTGCGTCTACAGAGAACAAAATTACAGTCCATGTGGATAGCTTAAAGGAAGATCCATTTAAACTTTACTGTGAATACGTACTTGCAAAAGTCTCCTTCAGTCTTTTGTCAACAGTACTCCTAATGAGGTTAATCAACTTCGTCTGTGTCATTGGACCTGATTCGGTCGTTCGAGCCAACTCCTCCGTAATTTTCTGTAAAGGTACATAAATTTTAAATGAACCATGGGAGAACTAAGCGAACTCGTCTTTGATCGATGTATTAAAAAGGGCTACCTGTCTGAGATCAAGAGTGATTTTTTCAGAGAAAGTATTTTTCATTTCTTCAATCAATTCTTCCAGTCGCTCCTTGGAGACTGATTGTGATGCCTCAGTTTGCCGTAAGGGGGCTGATTCTAAGGTTAGTGGGAAAAAGACCAAATCACAAACTTTTCGTACCACCAGAATTCCCTCTCAAAAAGCATGCAACCAACATAGATTTTAACGAATTATACACCCTTCTAAGAAAACTTTGACAAATCTGATTTAGACCCTCTGATTTTGACTCCTTTTTCGAACGAGAGCCCACCTAGAACCCTAACAAGCCGTTTAACATAATTCATTTGTACTCTGTAGAAATCTCTCCAAAATACGATTCCGTCTGCAGATCTTCGAACGAAGTAAAGCTTTGAGGCATGTGCATTTAATGCATACGAAAATGCCAATGACTTGCCAGCGATGAGCTTTTGAAGGGCCTGCTCTAAATCCTTATTAAGACGCTCGATGGAGCCAACTCGGATAGAGATTTTCTCCACATCAGCAACCAGTCGCTCTTCTAGCGCGGCCAAGTTTTTGTGTGACTCTGCCGCAGCGGAGACGACATCACCGGCGATTTTGGCGTTCAATGCCTCCAGCGAGGCGGCCTTCTCCTTCTTGTACGCCTCAAACTCCTGCCTCAGGGTTTTGAGCTACAAACAATCCGACACTAGATACTTTTCTAGAGGGTATTAAAAGCAGTAAAAAGGCAGTTCCGAAAACAGAGACTAACCTTAGTCTCCATTTCAGATTTTTGTGTCATCACAAGTGCTCTCAACTCCCCTAGGGTCTTTTCAAATCTCTCGATCTGCTCGAATTGCTGATCACCAACTGATGTAATCGAATCGGTGACGCCTTTATTAATCATCGCTTCCAGTTGTTTCCTCAGCTCCTGTAAACGAGCGTCCAATGAGGCCGTCGACACGAATGTTGCCTGCTCGACCAGGTCATCAATGATGCGTTGTCGATGCTGATCATCACCGTCCTCTCCAGTCACCTTATCGGCAATGAGAGTGATCTGCTGTTTCAGTGAGTCAATGACTGCTTGTAGCCGGCTAACATCGGTGCTGATAACATCATATTCCTTGGTGTGGGTGTCTAAACGATCCTGATTGGCTTGCTTCAACTCTGTCACTTGTCTGAAGTAATTAAAAATGGCGATGATGGGATCTTATCCGTAAGATGGTGAAGAACGCACACAAAGACGTCGATTGACTGAGATGATGACTGAATTACTACCAAGAATAAACCTGTCTGAGTATGGTTGGTGCAGCCGACCTCAAGTCTAATTAGTACGAAAACGGCACAAAAAGTTTCTTAGCAAACAAACCTATTGAGGTCAGTCATTCTGTCGTCAATTGCTTGGAGTCGCTGCAGTAGCTTGTCAATTCCTTCCAAAGATGTAATCGGTTGATAAGAATCTGAATGCCAGAAAAATGAATAAAATACGAATCCGGACAGTTTATCGCACTCCCCAATGTTAAAAACAACCACATAAGGTACAAAGTCCAAAAAAGCAAACTAGCATACTGTTAAGGTAGACTGGACTTAGCTTTGTCACTTGGTAAATTTATACTTTGTGCCTCTTTTGCAGTGATAACTAGGCGAAAGTCTAGTCTTATGATTTTATCAACTACTACTAAAATGAGTTTTTAAGCTAAATGAACTAACCCTGAGTGGAGGGATGGTCTGGCGGCGAAGGAGCAAGAACAGAAGAGTCTAATGTGAATAGACTTTTCACCCAATCCCACCAAACAGAGGACTGACGTTTCAAAACAGCAACACTGGGTTCCCATATGCTCCACGAGAGGCAGTTCCAGCGGAGATTGTGCGGAGCATGAAACGGACCTACATCAACATTGGCGTGGGAGTCAGCAAATGCAAGGCGAATGCATTGCGCGTCCGAAGGCAGCAGACCGAAGAAGAAAGGAGTCTCGTCCAACGCCGGATTGACCTCTGCAAAAGTGTTCACGTAATCATGAGACTTTTGAGAAATCACAGAACTCCAAGAGAAGGAACGAGGAATCATTTCTGGTTGGCAAACAAATCAAATCAGTTCAAATGGCGGTGCCCGCAACATCACGCATACTAACATTGGGCTTGGCAACAGAAAGGTATCGCGTAGGTCATCAGAATAGTGTGTGTGAATGTGCGCAGACATGGAAACCGTCTTTGATTGCGGTGCAACTTAATCATCAAAAGCGGGGCAACAATTATGACTATGACTCACGACTCAGCAGACTACTAGCAAACAGTGATGCATAATTTAAAAAAGGGAAGCTGAAACGAGTGGATGGAAGGAACAAAACCCACATTTGAACCGTCAAATGGAGCTAAAGCCGTAACGCTTTCTCATTCTTCCAGCTTACCCGCCGGGCGGAAGAGAAATCCGGCCAGAGTAGCCAGTAGAAGGAGTAAGAGGAGGAAGAGGGGACAGCAATAACTTGGAGTTCTTCCACAGCACAACAAAGAGGTAATGTCCTGGGAGCGATGACCACGATAGCCAGCGCCTTTGGAGCCGTTTTGGCTGCAGAATTAAAAAGGGAAGGTTACACTAGAGCCTTAATACACAGCAAGCGATAGGTCAGCTAACTAGCCAAAGTAAAAATAATACCATATACACGTTTCACTTCACAATAAATATGAGGATTTTCTAGTTAGATATACAACTAGTGCATCCCCCCCTAAGCGACACAGACATTACTAGCCACGTTGTAGTCGAATTTTTGCATAACCTAACAAAGGCAAACACTTGATGCAACTAATTGAATTTGTTTATCGTACTTCGAAACTCTGACATGATGAGCAATAAAAACGCTCCCACAAATATCGCCAGACGGTTCACTCGCGCGTGGAAGAGAACTGGAGTCAAGGTACGGGAATAAACATAAAATTTATCGCGTTAGCCGACAATTCAACTGATGCATCTTATTCCGGTTCCCGGGCTTATTTTCAATAAAGGACTGAAAAATAGGGGCGACAGTAGCGTAAAGTCATGCGATCTGCCTGGAGGCCCCGGCACAGACCGAGAAAATTGCCTATGAAAGTAGAAAATTCAGAACTAAATTATCGACCAATTAACCGCATGACGACACTTCACCACTCACGCATAAGAGAAACCGGGCTCATCATAGGAGTTCCTCCTATACACTCGCGAGTGCTTCGTTGAGCTGCTACCGCTACCCCTGCCGCTGGTGATGGTGGTTCTGTGGTAGAGGTTGGAAAGGGCGGAGGCTGCGGTCTTTCCTGCGGCAGTGATGGCGACTGATAGGTAATGTAGAAGCACCAGCGGAATCGCAATAAGATTAAGGAGGCAAGAGGTTAGTCTGCACCTCAAAGGGGAGGTAAGGCACGAGGTGAGGTGGGAGGAGGAGCTGGTGTCAGCAGCAGTGGAGTGGCAACGTCGTTCCTCTTCAGCGCGGAGTGATGGACTGCGATAGGAGGGTTCTGCAGACAAGCCTAAAAACGTGGTGAGGGGGAAAGAGAGAAACTCACTGGTGGTTGATGGTCAGCAAATAGCCTATCTGATTATTTCAATTACAATTTACCCCCTTCAGAAATAGTTTTGACTGCACCCTGGATGAGAATAGGTTTGAATTTACTAGGGAATTCTCCATTAAGCAAACAGTTGTGGAAATCGAGTCGTAAGTCATTTGAAGCTAGTGATTACGTACTCAAAATGACTAAACTGTCTTGAAATTTGGAAGAAACAAATGGTTCCTTCACCTGTGAGGGAGTTAATATAAGCAAGGCAAATTGTGGTATTAACGGCCTCGTCATCGATGGAGAAGACAAACTATTGAAAGCACGTTCATGAGTACGGAAGTGGTGGGGGAAAATACGTACCCAGCATACTGGATAGGTGCCATGGACGGCTCGTCAATGTATTCACAGCGCCACTGTATGAACTGAAACCAAAAATACGCCATAAGCGGGGAAACAGCAATACGTGTTTACATACCCCTATTTGCACCTCAAATATCTAAGGTGTTTAAAGATAGGCCAATTTAGATGAAACATCAAAAGAGGGCACAGATCGTTACCGCTAGTGGAAAGCAAAAATAAAACCAAAAATCTCAATTTCGCCCGTACTCCAAGCATTTCAGAGGCTACCTATCAAAAGAAGAAAGACTTCATTACTTCCCTTCTCTTCTTTTCAAATGCGACTGAGAGTGGCCAAAGAATCCATCAACTACAGAGACGCTGAAAACTTCATTCAAAGGCGACCTCACCGGGTCTCTTAGTACTGAAGAATAACCATTGGGGGAAAATTAAAATCATGACCATGTAACGTAGAAATAATATGACTATGACATGAATGGGAATTTCAATAGGGAAAATGGGGTTGTGGAAACACTAGAGGAAAAAAAAGGTTAAGAAGATACTCACGGTGGCGGGTGGTCTTCCTCGAGGGGCGTGACCTCGACGTTGCGATGGTAAGCATGCTCCCCTTCCTCAACTTCGGTAACACGACGTCTGACAGCGGCCTGGCGACTGTGAGTGGCCAGTGGCGTAAAGTTGTCCTCTCCCTCCTCCTCCAGCACTGATGTAGATGGAGTCTTCGTCTCCTGTTCGATGCCATAGTTCATATTCCTTTGTAACATGCTCACACTCTAGTGGGGGGAAAGAATAACTGATCAGAGAGCAAAAAGACACCATTTCACCTCGCAGAGTGGTAAACCAACCCTCCGATTTTGCGATCGAAGCACACGATCTGTGGGTTCGACAATCGAGACCCGAGTTCTACGGCGAGTTGGGGATAATAAACTGCTCCTAAAGCAAAAGTCATATAAATGGTGAGACAGACTGCCTCATGAACGCCACTAGTGTAGTCATCATTGTCAAAGCAAGCGTTCCTTGTACCTAAAGTGCTTACCTACGTACATTGAAAAAAAAAGTATTACTGTTACATTATACAGCCGACTAAAATAAGCCATTATTTTAGAGTTCAGATAAGTGTAACACTCGTCTTGCCTATTCAGTTATGAAGCAAGAAGTCTGAGAGAAAAAGAGTAGAAAAGTCTTGGGTTCTTAGCACAGAGCTGAACTATTACAACCCTGAAAGCACATTTTGGCTTGTGGTAATCGTCAGTGAAGCATTTATCAAATGAAGATGCAGATCGTGAATACGGCACTCCAGCCCATACCTCCTCAAGTGATAATTTCTGCCCAAGGGATTTTAAACTTGAAATTAAACCGCATTAAACATCAAAGATGGTAATGAAATGAGGGCTGAAGTGGAGGAAGACACTTTGCTTCGACTTTAGTATTTTTATACCATTGAATCTGAACGTATGGAACAGCTAAGCATGATAAAGAAAATAGATACATTTCGACACAGGAATTAAACAATTGAGCGTCAGAAGTAGCTTCAAAGCCCCCCTTCCTAGTTCGTCATGGCATGAAAGCGAACATCTCTGGACAAAAAAATCAGTTGGATGCAGGTAGAGACCTTTGTGACTTTGCCACCTATGCCAAAAGAGATGTCCCTAAGATAGCAAAACCCTTTAACTCATATCTAATGTTTGAAATGACCCAGTAACTCACCCAGTGGACAGTTTCTCATCACCAGTCCTTTTGGAAAACTCCTCCGTACTGACTGTAAGAGGCTTGCGTAGACCAACGGAGACGTCCCCACGACCGTCAACAGCACTAACGGAGCCGGCGGTGGGTCGGACCACACGGTACTCGGCGGTCTCCTGGTAGTCGATGCGCCGTCGCACTAGCTGTGCATTCGGAACCGCGTACTCGCCTGCCATGACGTAGGCTGAAAAGCCCCGGGAAAAGTGAAATTAAATGAGCATTTCCGGTGTCTGTGACACACGACCGGACATGTAAAAACACGCACACGGGGACAGGTAGACAAATTGACGCTCGGTAGGGCAAAAGACAAATGAAAATCGTCTAATTCAGAAGTGATCGATGCCTCCAAGTATCCGCAGTGGGAGGGGAACTCGAGTTGAGACGGACGAATGTAAATCAGCAAGGGGTAAGGAGGCCGGAAAATTTAGTCGGAAAAATTGGTGACCACTTGAATTAACACAAGAAGCAAACGTAATTCGCGCGTAGAAGTATTGAGTCAATGTGCTATTATCATCGATCCAAAATTTAAAATCTGTTCAAAAAAGTAAATTAAGCAAACAAAAGTGCCTGAGCACGATAGCTGCATAAATGAAAGTAGAGACGCGTAGAGGGATAAAGTAGCATCTTTTTTCAAGCCCAAGCCATGGCTAGAAAAAAAAAACGCTCGTTTAGCATTGCTGAACAATGAAATGTGTGCTCCATGAAGCATAAGAGCAAAGCAACTTCGAGATTGCTCTAGGGCAGGAGTTCGCGACCTTTGTGTATATCTCGTATTTTAAATGTACCTAAATCTTTACACTTAATAATTTGGGATTAAACCAATGGGGAACTACCAGCTTCACTTAGCTGAACCTTGACACGTGGATTTCGATGTTGGCTTTTGTGGTGTAAAAAACACATAAGCAGACTTTCACCCCTGATAACTATATGCACTGATTTTGCTCAACTTTGGTATGATAATATTATTTGACCATATTGTGACAGCAATAAGTAGTGGCTTGCCAACGAGATTGTATTTTGCAGAACAAAGCAGACGATGTTATGGCTGCTGGTTATCTGAATTCTACGCATTTTTCGTGGACGGTTTCTTAAATCTTAGTTTTAAAAATAGATTAAGATGCTTTAGAAAGAAACATGAAAAGCAGACAAAAGGCACTGCTCATATGGAGCCTTTATTATTCAATCCAGTTACAGGGAAAAATTCAGACAAACATGAAGTAAAACCAAACGAGGAGAAATCTAGACAAAAACTGAGAACGTTGCTTTTCTTATCTAGAAAAACATGGCACCAAGTGATCCATCGACGTGGCTACCACCACCTACCTCCGCGTGTGGCTGAAGTAACGGGATGATCAGGTATGACGCTAGTCATGCAAACATGCACCATCACAATGTATGCATGAGTTGTATGTATGAGTTGCAGAGTCCTGTTTACTGTGTACGGTACGAGCAAGTCACAACGGGTTGCTGTCTTCCGTGTTTCGCGTTGAGGCGTGAAAACGCCTACTCGTGGAGAAGAGACCCACCCACACACAGATGGGGGTGTAGAAAACAGAAGTTTGTTCGTATGAACATAGAAAAACTTGGTACTTCACCAGACAGAAGCGGAGCAAGACGATCACTCGATCTCCTCCTGTAGCAGGGGCAGGTGAGAGATTCAGCCGATATAGTATTAAACACACCATTCACCAACTTCGGCTCATCAAAAGGTAATAAAGTTACTAAGGTAAACAAGTTAATTCACCCGCATGATGTCACTTTGGTGTTAAGACGTCACGTGCTGTTTGTCTGGGAATGACCAGGAAGATGCGGGTACGCGATTACAAAGCACGCCTGCGCTGGCGGCACGCAAACTTAGCACTGGAATCAGCTATTTGCATTATATTCCGCCGCTAGGAGCCGAACTGACCTTTGTGCTAAAGCGAATCGGCAATCATGGAAATCTTCGGTAACGATAGCAAAGATCGTGCAGAGCCAAAACCCTCAAAATAGATAGTAACTAGTCTTAACAAGGCCTTTTTATAGAAATCAGTTTGAGATGAAGTTACCACAATTATGATTAAGGTCGTCCGGACACCAATGACACTTGAGGTGGATGTTTGTCACGGTTACCGAAACATGAGAGCCCCCATTTCTTGTGAATTTGTTTCAGTTTATTAATATGCTTGAAAACAGATTTAAAAGAGAATGAAAAAATAAAGTGGGCTTACCATGACTTCTCGAAGTGATATTAACTCATGAATCGCTGAATATCTCGAAACCACAGCAAAGGAACAGGTACTCACGAACAATGACAACCTGCTCCAGCAATATTCACAGCAAGCATTCGATGTGTATTGCCTGTTAAATTCTCCAAACACTTTCGACCATAATAAATCAAGCCGATATACAAAGGTACCGGCAATGTATAGAAATTCGTCGCAACACAACAAATGAATGCATTTTAAATAAGCAGTTAGTGACGCGGTTCCGGGAAAAAGTCTAATAGAAATGAAACCAAGTTGCGATTGGATTTGACAATAGCCCATGAGATTATGAAAAAAACTACGGAGTAGAGCCCTCAGGAAAGTGAATTGCCTGCCGGTCAAAAAATTACAAACACCATGAATAAAACCCTTTGTCGTTTTACAACAAATGGTATGATGGGCAGAGAGCATAAGGATCTAATTAAAAATTAAAAATCACCCAAAATCGCGATTGTTATTTCCAAAATAACACCGACATGGGTAGCATCAAGGTTCTTTAAAGCTGATAGAACATGGAAAGAACGAATGACTCCTAGAGTAACCCAGCCGAATTAGGGATGGTTTAGAGTAGAAAAAGCAGGCATTTTGGAGATTTTGAGAGAAGCATAGTTCAGTTAAATATCTCGATACTAACTTACAAGGAAGGTGTTTTGGCATGGCTATGATGTTAGGCGATTCACGAGGCACACTGAGGGTCGAGACCTGATGTGATCTAAGAACAAAGCGAGCCAAAATAGTACCAATTCTTGACACAAGTCAAAAAAGCACATCTGGCAAGGCAAAAAGTGATATCAAATGAATCGGGAAATAAAGAAAACAGAACAAGTCATATATACACATGTGTCCCATAAGTAAACAAAAGGCCTACAAAGATAAATCATTTTTGTTCCCTCAAGCCTTCTTTTACAAAAATGTCTACTCCCGAACAATGACGGTGCCGAAACAGAAGAATTTAGATCATATGGACGTAACTGCAATTCCAATTTTGGTCTAGGGAAAGATACGTGGGAGACAGAATGAACAGTAGTTGGCGAATAGACCTTCAAAACGCAGTCACTCACTTCTGGGATGGTAGGGGAGCATCGAAATATTCCTCCCGAGAATAGATAAATACCGGTTTTAGGGTCTGTCCTGAAGAAGTGTGCTGCTCAATCACAACAGTTTTATTCTCACTCATCTGTTGGATAAAAGAGAAAAAAAGGCATACGCATTAGGGGGACACGCGGTGCGCTACATAGCATAGGAATCAGAAGAATCACTTTAATGGTAAAATTGGATTTCATTAAAAAAGTTGACAAATGCGTATAAATATAGGTGGAATAGAAGAATTCATTCTCTTGATATTTAATCTCTCTATGAGGTTAGCATATGCATTGGGGTGGGCCTCTTTTAGGATCTCCAATGACTTCTCCAGCGACTTCGAATCCTCGGTCAAGCACGCCGCGGCAAAATCCACCACGACACTTGCTACACACTCCGCCTCCTCCAGGCTCGGTTGTCGATCACCCACTATCTGAGCCAACTCAGTTCCCGGCAGGACAACAGCCTCAGTCCACTCACTGAGAAGTAGGAAGCTCGCACAGTTCAGCAGATAGTCTACATCAACCTGAGCGGGCAGCGCGACTCTCCATTGAGCCAAAAAACGTCCACGTTCCTTCTCGATGCTCAGATTCGCTGCGTAAATGATGCAGTAGTAGGCCAACTTAAAGGCCATAGACAGGTTATCGGGGAGAATGGCGGAAGCAGTCCAGAGAGCAACGACGTGGTCGAGCGGAGGGTCGGAGGCAGCAGCAGAACTGCGCACCACTGTGACGGCCCGCTCCGTCTGTCCCGCGGCGAGGAAGGCGAGTGCAGAATTGGGGAGTCCGGTGTGAGCTAGGCGTTCGGCGAGGAGGTCAAGACACCTCGACTGGAGGTCAAAATTTGCCTCAGGGTTGAGGCGCAGTCGGAAGAGGAGGAGGGCCTCTTTGGCGCGACCACACTGCAGGAGGAGGCGCACCGCCTCTGTGGTTTGGCCCGCGCACACCAGTAGTGTCGAGGCCCAGGTGTACTCGTTAGAGGTGCTCAACTGAATGATCTGTTCAAAAAACAGGTATTAAATTCAACCCAACTATAGACATACACTCATAAAGGTGAAGAAGGAAATCGGGACTAAAAATATCAGAAATATTCGTGCATGAAAAACCTCACCTTGTGCTTGAGAAAATCGTCAGGAGCATTATCAGCCTGTGGCACTTCGCTCTCCACAAGGCAACTAGTGTTTGTGCGTGAAGCAGAACCCTTCAACATCAGCTCCAGGGCCCACATTAGCCAAAAAGGCATGTGCTGCACCTCCACACACTTCCTTGCCACCAAGTCAGCCCTGCCCAGCCACAGAAGGAGGCTGAAGTAGGCGTCAAGTCGAGACTGTCTGTTAGGACCGCTAGAAGAGGCCGAAAAGTGTTTTAGCGCCTCAGTTTCGGTAAAACGAACTAAACGTCGCCGTCTTGAAGCCCCACCAGCGTAAAGCAAGTCAAACTCCGGTAAAATTCGTTCTTCAGGAATTAACGATGGATCCTTTATGAAGGAGACGAAATCAAGTACAACGGAGAAGCGAGATTGCATCCTAATTGGGGGTGAATTTTCCAGCACTGGCATGGAACAGTCGGTGACACTTGAAGTAGCAAAGAGACCGGGTAGAAGAGAAGGCTTTTTGCCCACAAAGGGCTCAAGTCTCTTCTGAAGCGCGGGAACTGTTAAATCAGGTTCTGGTTGAGCACCCTCTTCAACCTCATCCTGCACAATTATCTGAGGATGAGTTGGAATTTTGCCACAAGGATTTCGATGCTTGCGGCAGGGGGGCGGAGCTGTGGCTCCTTGAGCGCTGGGACGCCAACCCACGAGGTATCCATATTCTTCACCAGTAAAAACAAGATCCGGGTCGTGAGAAGACCAAGCGCAGACAAATACACGGGATAGGTGGTTGCGGTAGTTAGCAATCGCAGTAGAAGTGCCCAATCCCACTCGCCAAACCGTAGCTGTACAGTCATAAGACCCTGAGAGTAGTAAATCAGCATCACACGGGGACCACTCGAGAGATGAGATGCGGGTCCCATGTCCTTGTAAAACGGCGAAACAACTGGTAAATTGAGCACATTGTGCATACGAACCTTCATCTACTGCTTGCTCTGTAGCATCAATAATAGTAATGTAGGATTCTGATGATCCCACCGCAAGTAAGTACTTGCCAATATGGTGTGACCAAACCATAGAATTAATGCACTTTTTATGAATGTCTACACGAGAAAGAGGCACTACCGTTCCATTGTTTTGCGGAAGACCGAGGATATTAACAGCTCCGTTCACACTACCCAGACCGATCAGCCAGGAAAATTTGACATCTTTTTCGCCCTCTAGCTGTCGAAAAGCGATGTCAGCCAATTTTTTGTCGGATGGGTCGGTCAGGAGTGAAATAAATTTAGGCCCCAAATCCACGAGGGGTTTCTTCGAGGAGAGTAACAGAAAGACGGACCCATTTGCGATTGCGTAGACCAGTAATCGTTCCTCTCCACCTGTGTTCTCATTTTCTTCGTTATTTGTTTTCGGCAAAACGAACAAACAAGGACCCCAAACAACGCGGTAGACACAACCCTCCAACTGGTTGAAACTTCTTCCTCGTCTTTGGTGCTTTCTAACATCCACAATGTCCACGTGGCCCTTGCTGCTCCCAATAGCTAAGAGAAACCCGAATTGAGCATCTGGATGCCATGCCAGAGCAGATATGCCAACAGCAGCTCCCGAGGGTGGGAGGGGTGACAGACGAGTCATTGATATGAACGAGTTTGGTGCAGGAGGCTGAACATTGCCGAGAATCAGCAAGTTACCATCGGAGAGGCCAACGGCTAAAGGGCAGCAAAATCCGGGTCCTTGGCTTAAAGAGCTGATTTTCGATGAGAGGCAAACGTGATTTGCTACAGGGGTCAGAGTTTGCCAGTCATTGTGGCTATTCTTCCAGACAATTATTTGTGAATCCATGCCAAAGGATATGAAGAGGTTTGGGGAGTTGGGGATGGCAAGGAGAGAAAAGACAAGTCCGTTGTGACGCGGTTGTGAGGCGGATTCGCATAGCAGTGGTTTGTCAATGCAGTTGAAGGTGTGCAAATTACCCTTGGGATCAAATGCTAGAAATCGTGGAGCAACATGAGAAGCAATGCGTGTTGGGGCCAGAGGAATCCAGGCCTTGCCCTGTGAAGTCACTGGTTCCTGTGGATTCGAACTTCCCTTCTGGTATGTCCGAAAATGATGCGAGTACTTGCACTGGTAATCAGCAGCAGACCAAAGCTGAAGCAGAATTCGAGATGACAACTTAATGGTGCAATGGATCGAAAAACCCTGTCACTAAAAGAGTAATTAATATAGGGAGATTATAGTAATTACAAGCGGATAATGAAATTGGGGTTTTAAAAATTGCAACGTAAAATACAAAATGACCTTAACCGGTACAAAAATACCAAAATCAACATAAGACAATCATATAAACAGGTACTCTCATCGAAATCATAGGTCAAAAATACCCTAACATCGGCATCGCGTCCAGCGCTGGCAAAAAATCCGCAGTCACCTTCAATGTCATTGATTACTGTGAGACTACAGATATCAAAACGATGAGCGGATTTGCGGAAAAGGGCATCCAAAGGACTCTTATTTGCAGGGTTATTGTGATCATAGGAGTAACCGCATATGTCACCACTTTCATAGCCGATGATACCGACGAGTTTTGTGGTATCACTGGCAGGCAGCATCCAGATGCAGCTAGAGGCAATGTCTTTTTTGAACTTTTTAACCATAGGTTTCAGGGCTAAATGAGGACTCATCGGCTCCCAAACTATAACATGACCAGTGAGACTGGCAGATAAAATGTACAAATGCCCTGATACACTGCAAGCCGCACAAGTGTTCGGGATTGCGTCTTGCCCTAGTTGAATTCCTTTGTCTAACGTATACGTATTCGAAGTGGCAGACCACATTCTTATGCAACGGTCATTACCGCATGTAATAAAGTACTTCTCGGGAGGAAGATTAGAGAAGTGTACAGGAAATGAAACGGAATGAATGCTCTGCTCATGTGCCTTAAAGTGGTCGAGAAAAGTAAAATAGTACCCATCACCCGATTCGGACGTACCACAACACAATCTATAAATGCACAAAAACTCGTAGCTTATAAAAGCCACGTCACAATTCCCATCGTTAGACCATGGTGAACATGCAGCTGGTGACGCTCTGAACCAAGTCAAAGAGTGAGGAATCACAAGAGATGCAACAGATAAATCTGAACCCTCGCAGCTATCCACCATTCGTGCACACTAAACAGCGAGACCAAAACGCGTGCCTTAGCATTTTACCAATCAAGAAAGAGAGACTTAAACAAGTTTGAAGAGTTCTAACAAAGGTTATGACTTTAAAAATTCTACTACTAATACGAACCAAAGCTATGTACCACCAAACAACTTTGTTTTGATAATAGTAAATGAAATATACGGAACTTGTGGACTATTTACATATTCAAGTTGACCTCTTTGTCAACTAATCTAATTAGATTTTGCATATCTTATGCCTTTGCTGGTCTGCAGGGGCTACAAAAAACTTAAAACAGTTTGCATGATATGTTTCATAAGAACTGCGGATTGGAAGTACTGTTTTTTAATCTAGAGAATGTCTCTATGTCTCTCCTTGTGAGAATGCCTTTTTCCGATAACTCGGCCGTGGCAATTGCACTTATAGTAACTTGTAAAAGATATGCAGAGGATGAAACTGCATCCTTAGTTTTCCTTGAAGTTGTAGCAGACCATCCTCTTATGGTGGAATAGTTATCACCGAAATTCAAATGACCTGATTGGGTTTAGGCATGGCAGGAGAGCAGGCACGGCTAGCAGGTTCAATATGGTGATTTACTACCTTATTTGCAAGAAGTTCCAGTAAAATACTTTGTATTGTGGCAGATTTACGGAAGACTCCTGAGCTAAAGTATACCTTACCAAGGTTTGGCCTCGCTTATCCAAGTCATTTTACGGCAATTTTTGGCCAACTACCCATTCCGAGAACGCCAGGAGCCACTAGAATTGTGCAACAGTCTTGAGAAACATTGTACCCTTTTACCTATTTTAACAGTATTTTAATTAACTAAGCCAATTTTTATGGATATACGTGAGATTTTCACTAAAAGGCTTAAAGGTGCTGCCTTGATTGTTGTAAAGGCAAAGACAGAACATTATTTTATATCTGAACGAAATAGAATTTACCTTTGTACATGCGCTTATGGTTGACGTACAAGTGCATGAATAGGTGTAGTAATGCGGTAAAAAATGATGGTGATGTCACAAATGCAGGAAACGAAGCACCGAGGTAGATTAAGCAACTGTGATAATATTCACTCCCATACTGTATGCATTCAGCCTTGGTTATGTTTGATAATGCAAATCTCCGAAAATGAGATGCAGTCAAGCTACTTGTGAAGGGCGCTGGTACACCTGAAAATTTGGGAGGGCTTAGGCGCCTGCCTAAAAGGCGTTGACAACTCTTTCAATTTAGAGTCGAAAACACCCTTCGTTTTGTTATTTCTGAGTAGAGGATGAGTAAGTTATCAACTATCATAAGGAGGAGATTTAAAGTGACAAAGTGTGACTGATTTTGACCTTTCTCAATCAACCGGCTTTTGCAGGCGTGCTGTCTTATTAAGGATGCCTATCTGTTTTCACCTTGAAAGAAGACATTCCACAATAACGACCATTGCAATAACGTAACTACGCCCCCAAAAATAAGTGTAAACAAATGTGAACAAAGGGGTAAATAAGTTAGTTTTCGCAAATCTCAGGTCGTCTTTGCTTGCAAAATTGCCCCTATGTGCGAATTTTAACACACCACTTTCTTTTCACTCAAAAAAGGGAAGTCCAACTGCACTTGTTACTTGGATAAAAACGATATTAAAAATAGTAAAGAAATTGCTGTTCTTATTTTACCATTCTCTTTTTAGGGCCCCGACACTTCCCTGATGACGAGAGAAGACATAATACTCAGGTAGAACATGCATTGTCGACATTCGAAAGTGACTGGGACTACTGGCAAGGTCTGAAGGTCAGGCTGCCCGGAGGAGGAACAAAGGCGGAGCCCCTACATGGCCCGTAACCGAAACAGAGCGGCTAACAAACAATCAACGGATTGCAGAGCCTCTGTTCCCTTTTTAGCTTCGTCTCCGACGCTCTCCGTAGTCAACCTCACGCGTCAGTCATCGCAACTCACCTGGCGCTGTAGGATAAACACCCACAAGCCAACCACACCATTCACGGAATTTCAGTGCAACTGAGAGGATACTTGACAGCAACATCACTGATACTTGCTGGCGATTCTACTGGATCTAGAGATTTCTTGTGTTTAGGAACAGTATAGGGGAAAGGTGGACTGCGCTGGCTGTTTCGTGTGTCCGTTGCTGATCGTGGGAATACTAGTTCAAAAGCAGAGCCGTATAACAAAGGGCGGGGTTTAACATAGATCCGCGGGGTAGAGTTTTGCGTGTATTCCCCCTTGCGAATTTGTTCTCACTTTAGTGCTGCCCAGCCGTATCTATCTGGATTCCATCCAGCTGGCAGACAGGTGCAGGAGGTATCGCTTTTTCGCATATTTGATGTCTTCATACAGGTGAGGTAGGCAGCTTCGTAATCAACATATCCTGATGTTTCACGGATGGTGCCGCTTCAGGTTTAAATAGCTCTCCTGCAGATCACGAAACTGGGATGGTTGCCGAAGGTCGACGTCATTTTCAACCCTTCTGTTAGGGGTCATCACATCCTCTCCCATTGCCAGTATATGCACTGCTACCATAACGTTAAGGTTTATCAACCAGCAGAAGAATACAAGATGGTCGTCCCTTCAGATCAGGTTCGCTTTCCGCTGTCAGCATTGGGAGAGTCAAGACTTCCTGGATGCGGAGAAATACATAATACTGGGTAAGAATGTTCACTGTCAACGTGGAGAAGGCCTTAGGGCTGCTGGCATAGCCCAAAGGCAAGACTGCCTATCAAAGGTACAGTGGTGGAACCCCTGAGTGGTCTGTTAACAAAACCTAAAGCTAATCATGCAAGTAATGCATTACACTCTTCAACACTTAGTCTGAAACTCCTGTTACACTTGATGAGTACATGCAGAGCATTAATTTCCACCGATTACGATTGAAGGAGGATTATTACGTTCCCAAATTTGGGATCTTTCAATTCAGCCGTGGAATTATTAGCCACTTATTTTAGATATCGTAACGCAAACAGCTTTATATCCTAATACAATTGGAAGTTGGACGAATTTCAAGGTGGAAAGCCCGAAAAAAACCGCTAAACAAATGAAGGCGCATTATGCAAGTAGGAGTTTTTGAATGCTACATTACACGAAAACAAACTTGCACCATCGTCTGCGCCTTTTATGTTTTGCCTTGGCGGTGAAGAAAATCTAATGGGGTTTAGACTGTCAAATAAAAGTTTACTTCTTTTTCCTTTGTCATGTAGCGCCAGTATTTTGTTAGAATCGCACAATATGTGTTCTTGCAAAACAATTGCAGAAAACTTTGGACGAAGAGCGGTGAAAAGGTCAAAGGAAATAGGCACGTTATTTCGGCATTCAATGTAGATTTAAAGCTCTGGTAGTTTTCTGCTCGAAGACCACATTTCCTTGAAAAACAACATAGGGTTAAAATGAGCCAGCATGAGTATTTTCTGCCATTCTTTCGACTAACTGGCAAAATTTCATCTCAGTACTTAGAGTTTGCAAGGTCAAGCATTGTCCTACCACCCCTTTCGGGAAGTAAAATTGAGGTAGTCGGTTAATTTTACTGAAAAAGTGATGCACATCTAGTATGTGGTCACTGTAAGCCCTGAAATCTCACCAAATGCTAACCTGCCGAAAGAGTCAGGACGATGTGAAGTTTGTAGCCGGGATTAAATGATTTGCCTACAGTTGTTCCATTTCACAGAAGCACCTAAGCCACGCATGACCTAACCTTACGTTGCCTTGACATTCAAAAAGCCTGATCGGCCTACTAGCCCACAAATTTGCAAGCGTGCCTCAAAAATGTCGTGGAGATAAAAATAGACACCATGCATAAACCCATGGATTCTATTTAAGAATAGTAATTCGAGTTGTTAAAATATGACTATATCAGTTTTACCATTGAAGCAACGAACAACTTCCCGATGTACCACGCAGCAAAACACTCATGAAACGCTTTAGAGCTCCCTCTCTATCAGAATTATATCTAAAGATATTAATATAACGAGGTAGTTTACTAAAAAAGAAATACTATGAATGCTTTTTCATCACGCAGTCGTCAAACCGTTTGCATGCTTGGACAGTGAAATGTCAAAAAACAAATGCCCTCGGTCACGTTTAAGTCTTTATGACATTTAGAATTACATAGAGAACCACGCATTAATACCTGCTGGTAGGAGGGCCATAAATTTGTCGACACACGCCCCCTCAATCTTTCCTCTGCTAATCACCGTAGTGTCGTTCCATTGGGTCCTCGTGAACCGGCCATCCGATTGGTCGGCTTGTTATGTGCAATTAATTGATTGGTCAGTTGGATAAAAAAACGAGTCTTTTCACACCACTCACGAAGGCGTCATTTCGTCAGGTCCCAAACAGGTCTATATATGTTTTCTCGCAGGCGATCACTTCAAAATTTACAACCCCACCCCATGATCAACGACCCTCGTCAGGTCCTACTTCCCGTGGATGGGAGTGAGTCAAGTAAGAGGGCTATGTCGTGGTACATGGCAAACATCTTTCGTCCCTCCGACGTGATTCACCTCTACCACATCTGCGAGCCCAGCTACGCGGCCAACAATTTCTCCCTTACCACTCTGGGACAGAGCAAAACCAACGAAATCAACGCTATGCTCCAGGAGCATATTGAGCTTTCAAACACTCTGAGTCACGACTTCCTTTCCAGGTTGGAGAGCAGAGGAGTGTCCGGTGACTTCACCCTGACAGTGGGCACAAAGCCTGGGGAGATGATTGTCAGCCAAGCGAGAGATTTGAACGCCGACCTCATTGTCATGGGGAGCCGAGGAGTGAGCGCTCTTAAGAGGACGGTTTTCGGCAGTGTCAGTGACTACGTCCTGCACCATTCTTCAGTCCCCCTTACAGTGGTCCCCTCACCCAGGAGAGAAAAGGACTTCCGGCGTGCCTCCCTCAGACCGACATAAGTGGAGTAAAGGCGATTGGATACGCCTAACATCAATCCACTTTACCAATCCTCTCTTCCCTTCCCCTCGCCCTTCTCCACCCGCCTCTCCCTCGCAAAATCGCATTTCTTATGGCAAATTGATCTTAAAATTGCTTCCACCTCAGTACTTGATCCCTTACTTTGAAGACGCCAGGGATGAGGAAGACTCATGATGGATATTTTGCCCCTCAATTTTCAAGTCTTCAGCCTCGCCTTTTCTCCCTCTTACACATTCTTACTGCCAATAGACGCATGTGTACACACACATGCACCCTGTTTTCTGTGCTGTTCTGTTTGCATTTGTTTTTCTGTGACGGAAAATATTCCGAGCTGTGCTTGAAAAAAATACACAACATTGATTTTGGAGCCAATGAGGATGAGCAATTTTCTTCAGTGTAAGTTTTTTCAGCATTATCTTAATTATTAAACTAATTCTAGCTGGCAGGTCTGTTTAATTTTTCGCATAATTATAATAGAGGTCTCATTCTCATTGCAAATACCCAAAATGATTAGCAAAGAACTGCATTTCAAGCATTTGCACATGTATTACATCTAAGTCGTTTCGATAGGGTAAGCACCAAGTCCCCCGTATTGTGATGTTAACCGCTTTTAAATGAATGATTGAACTAATGTTCAAGGATTGTTCTTAAACTACAAGGATAATTCAAACATGTAACTAAATTACAGCGTTATGGAGGTGCAGGAAAAGTACCTTCGGTTCCATTAACGAAACGGATGATGTTATCAGCCCTACCATTTGCGCGTGATTCGGAAAACAGATGGTGATCTCCAAGCGTGTCTTTATGTGCATTCATAGCATTTACAATGCCTGCTTATAATTATACAACGAGAAAATGGTGATTAAATTGACTGACTAAATTGTGAACGAATTTTGCTTTACAGGAATGACTTAACATACACAATCAGAACCTCGAGTAACAAGCATACAGGGGTTTTAAAAGCCCACACCGATTAGAAGAGTCCATCAGGGCCATTAATATTTGGCCTAGAGGTGCAGGTATTCGTGCATTAAAGCAAAAGGATTCATAATATTAACTTTAGAAGCATTAAGGCACCTACATATTTCAAACATTCTCACACAAAATAAGGTGTAATGTTGTTTTTTGACTTGAGAAACGCATCAATTGTAAATGGACAGGGATTTTCCGTTGATATGAAAAATGGACTAACACATAAAGTCAGCCAACTTGGAAGATGATAAATGCTTCGGAATTATTTTCTGCTAGCTGTTTCAAGCACGCATCCTTTCTTATCCCTCCACCCTTTGCACAGAGCATAGGGCTGTGAATTTCAGGTATTCCCAAATGCAGAATTTGGGAATCCCGTGAATAATACGTAGGTCGAAAACGTTCTTTTCTTTAGCGCTTCACAAACGTTTACCCAAATGGACATTTGCGAATAAGTGATGTTAGCAAGAGTCACATTTTTTCTTGCATTCTCAGCGGTCTGGATTGTGGGGTAACACACGCACGCTTACTTGGGATCCAACAAACTGCAGCTGTTGTGTATAAAATAATATTTAACAGCATCTTTTTATTTTGCCGTCATGGCAGCTTGGAACAGAATTTCACTGTCATAATTTTTTTTTGCATTACGCTACATAATGCGGGCTTGCAGCCGCCATACCAGTAAGATTAATTTCAGCATCCAAGAATCGTACTTGCGTGAAGGTATTTAACCGCAAAATCGCATGCTACTTGATACATGGTCGGTTTTAGGCGACAGCGTGCCAAAACAAACGGAAGCACAAAGACTGTGTAGTCCAGGCACGTACAAGTTCTTTTAGGTGGTAGTCATTCAAATTAACACACCCAATGCATTCGTATGACCACTTGCATTCCCTCCTTGGATGGAGTTACCAACAAATGAGCTGTCGTGCACATTTGCTTCTATATATTTTTTCACCCTCAATAAATGACATCCAAAGGAACCAATTTGTATAAGTTTTGTGGTTCAATTCCATATTATTAAGGCAATAATTTTCGCTGCTGTTTCTGACCTTGGTATCCTACTCGCTAAATGCGAGTCACTCGGCAGTGTAGTAATTAAGAGATTTTAGTATTTTTGAGCGCTTTATAATGGTAAGGTGGCTTTGAACAATACCCTAGTTTGAGAGCCTCTAAGACGAATTTTGGTATCACATATCAACTGTGTCGTGCCGGTGGAATGAAACTACCCATCTTTTCCAGTGCCTTGTGGGAAATTTCCATCTGCGTAGGTGCCCACACAAGGTTCAATACTTTCATTGAATAAATGCACTTATTTTGGACTAGGGACATTTCGGGCATCTATTCTACTTTGGTAAACTCAACTAGTTTGTCGGGGACAGGGGTGACTACAACCACACTAACCATAAGGTGTCAAAGGCCACATTTTACGGACACGTGGCCACACCATTAAGGTTTGATGCAACGACTTAGGAATTGCAATTTAAACTGCACTAATCTTGCGCAGCTACCAGTCCGCAGTTTGAACAGTGAGATGAATCGTCCAGGTAAGTGACTCTTCAAAAATCCGAATGAGCTTACATTTAGTTGAATAGTTTACAAGGAGATGCTCGTTCTAGTCAAGCCATATCCTTTCAACATAGGTACCAATTCCCTTCAAGTTAGTTTACTCTTTTGAAATGATGGGGCTTAAGAATAGGGCCTTGCACCAAACAGGTGCTTGAAACCTCTTCAACATTTTTGTTCAACAAAATATATCAAATGCGTGCGTAGATCAGTTTCTGACTTTTTACTACTGATAGCAGGAAAATTGGGGAGAATAAAATTAAAGGGCATATGGGTTAGTCCGATGTAAGTGTGTATCCTACATCCTTGCATTTATTCGGGCTTGTCCTTCTCCTCTTACATGTTAGAATAACTTAAGAGGTTTTGTTCAAGCATCTCATCATACACACGATCCGGTTGAAATTAGAGTGTAGCCCAGTTTAATCTTACGTGCTTTAGTGTTCCATGAGACGTAGTTATCCAAAAAGGTAAGTGTATGACACATAGCGGGCAAATATAGTAGCAGCATTACATTAAAGGTAATTTGAGAGGTTTACAATTCAAAGGAGCACCCAAAATAATGTTAAACGATTGAGCTGAAAGGTGTAGAATATCAGCTGACATTAGACATTTTCATCACTGCTGTCAATCTGTAGAGAGAATGTAAAAAGCAGTTCCCAACTACCAAGCCAAGGAGCCGCTATCAGTAGATTGAAGCACTGGTATAAGGTATCGTGGCTCAAGCAAGTATTCTGTATTTACCATAAATAAGGTAAAAGGTACAAAAGCGCAGGATGAATGGTGCATAAAACTTGCTCCGCAATCTCGGCGTTTTGCATTCTGGCCAAAAGCGGGCTTAGAGATTGAGGTAGAGTTATTGCTTTCTGACGAGGAGAACCACTCGCCATTGCTGGAACGGCAGAAGCATACTTTCAAAACACATCTTTTCTGATTCTGATTTCAATTCGCTTTAAAAGCTTAAGATTTTACTGTGATCTCGCAGTATTAAAAGATAAGCGAGGAGTTGACCATCATATCGGCATAGGGGTACTGAATTGAGCTTGACCCCTTACGCATTAATTTGAACATTTCGACGTCAGTACCGCGATGTTGAGACCCACACGCTTAAGTCTGATTGTCTAAATAAGATCAAACATTATAGTGCATTCAATGGAGAAGGTATCAATAGTAGTGCCCTAGAGACGAAAGAAGACAAAACTCGGTCAGAATATGTATTGAAATGCAGCCACTGGCAGAGCCTTTAGGTGACCCGTTACTGAAAGTGAGAGTTAAACAAATAACTAACTTAAAAGAAATTACAGTTGATGCATATCTTCCTTGAAACATCGCCACTACCTTGGCAACATTTTTTGACACTAGGCGTAGCCTGGAGCGTAGGTGTAAATAACATAACATAACATAATTCATGAACAACTATGCCACATAAAATTTGGCACATGGTTAATTTTTAAGGGATTTGTTAACACGGGAATCTTTACTAGTTTGGAAATAAAAATCACTTTTCATTCGTCATTTTTCATTCTCGTCAATTAGCAAATAATATGCTCTCCTAATAGTTAGAGTCCTGCATGAAAAATGACAAAACTTATGCTGTCGCGAAGGCCTGAAGGTCCAAAATCTCATTACCCACTAAGTCTCTCTTGGTTCTTAAGGCTAGCGGGTAATCAAACGCGCGATTGGTGGCAATTAGTGTCAAGACTAGTAGAAAGTGGGCCTGACATTCACCCACCACATAATGATTTAGCAGGAGACACTGCCTGGAAATATGTTGGATTGGGTGCGACAGATGGGAGCACACACTTGCCTCCCGAGACATGGTGTACGGCCTTAGTCACTCCTACAGGCTAGACGCATAATGTAAACGACGCAGCCTTTTCTGAACTCCAGATCAGCAATTCCATGAAGTCAATTCAAGGACATTTGGCGGACATTCAGATTCAGTTCTTTAAATTTCCGTTCATTTCAAAATTCTGCTCTAGCATAGGATAAACGCCTCCACAACAACTTTCAGAAAGGGTGAATGATGGAAATGTTCTACATCAGCTCTTTGAATCTGTTTTTCATTTTCATTTATGTCGCCATTAAAATAGAAAAATGTCACCTCATCAAATATAGACTATCTGAATTCCACTGCTGCAAAAACAAAATTCGGTGCACGGATTGTAAGGGGTTGGTAGAAGAACCAACTTCCGGTGGGTGAGCTGGCCTTCCGGTAATGTCAGTAACCTTAAGCCATACTATCCGTCGACAATACATATCCTGTTTCAGTATTATGGCCTTATTCGTCTTTGGGGAAGTCTGGAAGTGCTATACTGATAGCAGCGGAAAGCAAATCCGATCCTGAAAAAACGTGTACCCTGATTTTCTTTGCTGCGTGACAAACCTCGGCGGGGCGGAAGAAGTGCATATGCTGCGGACGAGAGAATCGGTGATAATCCATAACAAAAGGGCAGTAAATGGCATCTACTTCCACAAGCTACCCCAGTTCCATGTTCTCCAGGAAAGCTATTAACACCTGAAGCGACACCACCTGTGAAACATCAGGAAATATTGGTCATGGAGCTGCCTACCTCACCTGAATGAAGACATCACATATGCGAAAAAGCGATACGTCCAGCACCTATCTACCAGTTAGATGAAAATCCAGACAGATATTGCTGGGCAGTACTGAATTGAGAACGAATTGACATGGAGGAATAGACGCGTAACCTTACCCCTATTGAACTATGCTAAACCCCATCCTGCGCTATTGGACTGTGCTTCTAGGCTAATGATCCTACGATTGGCGATAGACATGTTTGATGGTCGGAATATGTTCATGTCCTGCCAGCAAAGTTCTTATACAGGACGAAGCTCTAGCCTCAGTGAAATTGCCAAGAGGGTCAGTGACGTTGATGTCGATTGTACCCTCAGTTGCAGTGAAATTCAATGAATAGTGTGGTTAGCTCAAGGGCGTTTATTTTACAGCACCAGTTGCGTTGCAATGGCTGACGCGTGAGGCTGACTCGGGAAAGCTTAGGAGAAGAGGGAGAAGAGGGACTATGTAATACTTTAATCGTTTGGTGCTCCGCGATTGTGTCTCCACCGGATGAGCTGGCATCCAGGGCCATGTCAGTAGGCCCCAACCCCTTGTGGATTACATAGATAGCTGATAGAGGTGTAGTGTAGCATTTTACATTCCAGTACCCTGTAAAGAAACCTTTTATGCTAGCTGAAATTCCAGTTTATTAACACGGATGCCTTTAGCAAGTTACCATCCGATCCAATCATAATTCATTTGCCTTTCCACGGAAATGCCAAAGTTGCTAACGGCAACTATCTCTGACATACCGCAGCAAAATTGATGCATCATCGAATCAATCGTAGCAGTATCACCAACCAAGCAGAAGGTTGACCACTTAATGAGGCAACTTGCGCATTTCTCATCACACCCTGGCGATGACCGAATCCTTGCCCAACGCTGTACTTAGCTCGTATCAACAGGAAATATAATAGCGCCATTTGAGTGACATAGTGGCACAATCACAACAGTTCCATTCTACAGAAAGGCATGCTGCACTCCAATTTTTATTGGTATGTTCCGCAATCGCCACCTTTCCCACACCTACTTTATCTGCTCCACCCCAGTGGAGTCGCCTTTTTCTACGACTGGCTAAAAGAAGAGGTAGTCGAATAAATCACTCCAAAAGTTCGTCCAGTCAAGACAAACAGTAAAAATAATTTTCGTCCTTGCCTTATCTCCCCCTTCCATTCCCCATCTAGTGCGCGCTGGGGCTTGCAAACTAAGGTTAAAGGGTGTCAGGTCTAGGCTGGAAACTACACGTGACATCTAAAGTACAGCATTTTGCTATCCACTTTGACATTTCGGACTGTTTTCTTCCATCTATGCGTCTCAAAATGTGCCAGTCTTATTGGCATTTCTTCTTCCGTCAAGGCGTGAAATCATCCACGATAACTCATTAGTATTACCGACGTCGGCAAGTATTCATAGTTGAAACATGCGATTAACTTATGAGGTCTCCGTTGAGGTGTTTTCAAACATCGTGCGATGAGGTTTTCTGGTTGTCCACCATTTTTTCGCCCTTCCAATACCAATTTCTCAGGACCTCTACGAAAACGAGGGCTGAACTTTGGTACTACACATATATGATTATTATCGAGTAAAATGCTTAAGTTAATTCAGTTTAGAAACTGTAAAGTAGTTTGTGTATCTATCCCATATTTAACTAAATAAAGGTCCCATTCCATTTTAGCTTACGGTCACTCATCCATGCGCAGTAGGAAGATGTATGAGACACCAAACCGGATTCCTTTCAAAAGAATTCTTAGTAGCCGACAGTTAGATAAAAACCTTTCCATGGAATGAAGAGTAATAAGTCCAAGTATCACATCTTAGGTGTTGCAGGCTCCCTTTGGATCTAAAAATAGAGTTAACGTTTTCAAATCTATCTCTCTTTTCTGTATTTATTTTCTTTGTACATATTATTGGCCTCATGACACGAATTCGGTGCTTTGCAAAGGTGACGACGCGTTATCCACTGCACGTCACTTCAAAGAGATGCTTAAAAGAGGTCCACTAAACTAATTTTGTCTTTTTTTTAAAATTCAGATGCATGATCCACTTCTGTTTCTAGTAGATGTCCTCTAGAAATAGACCTATACAGACTATGATGTTGGTTCCTGGACCTTAAAGGTATACCCAACATTACAATTCCGGATGAAAATAAGAAGTTGTACATTTTTCACCGAAATTTGAATACTATTAAGGCTGGTTTTATCTGAACGAGTTTTCCACCTCCAACGAGATGGTACAACGAGCAGAATACCTTTTCGGAGTGACTGAATGTGCTATCCAAGGTGAAAGTGATAAATCCATCCGTGATATTTTGCACTTGACAACAGAATTTACGAATTCCACCAAATAAGTAACATGAACACGTGGTCCACTTTTTATTGCATACCTCTATAAATAGAATCCTTGTAGGATTGTCGTGTTGACCTGCACAAAACCCACCAACATTTGGCCTAGGTGCTATTGCAATGGCAGATAAGTCTGAAAGAAAACGCCGAGAGCCGTGCGAAAACATCGCTTTCCAAAGTGGAAACGGTCTCGGGCTTTAATCTTAAATGGTGAGAATTTTGACCGAAATCCATGGAGCTTTACAAAACTGACGATGCGTTATCCACTGAATGCTCTGCTTCCCTCAGTGAACGAACCTGCCATGAATGGCGTCCATAAGACTCAAAACTTCACGTTGCGAGAGTAAAATGAAAGTGAATACAAACTTCAGAACAAAATGAAGCAGTTGTTGAAGAAATTTTCTCCAGTTATTGGTAGTCATTTTTTTGGTATTTGTGACCTTAGTACAATTTCAATTATCTGCCCTTCAAGAAATTAAAATTTTTCTTTTAGGCGTAAAATCAAGTCACCCCATGAATGATCGAAGCTGTCCTTTAGACAAGTTGTTAAAATTTAGTGCCGGAGGTGGTTTTTTCAGCGTTTCCAATGCTGCGCTGTTCGCTTCGGTTTCACGGGTATTTAGTGCTCTGCCATCGAATCTCCGCTAAGCGGTGTGATCTCAGGGCCATGCAAGTTGCCCCCAGCCCTTCATTACGTCGGAAAAACAAGTTCTACCCACTTGCGTCTTCAGGGAAGTCTCGGAGTGCTGCATTATACAATTTGCGTTCTTTCATTTATATGCAGAGACAAGTGCCTCCACAGTATTTCACTCGTCCTTTGCTTGCTCCCTTCAGTATCAAACGCATCGTATCTTGGTGCGGTATTTAATTCGCCACGGGTGGACCAGAAAACTGCATTACTTGTTGACAGTGCAGATTATTGCGCAAATTCCTTTTCTTCTAAAAATAGTTCCTACTGGCAGCGAAACTGCTGCTTCCCAAATGGTGGTATTAATCCCTGGCAAAATTGGACTTCATAGGAATGCTATTCTCTCCATTCGAACTAATCTTTTTTGTTTACTGCATCTCTGTACTTATAACCGCGTTGATGTCATTTTTCAGCCTTTTCTTTTTATTTGTCAGGATTACTAGAATGAGTTAGGTGCTAAGACCCGAAATAATACCTTTCGGCTCTCCAAGGCTTCTCTGAAGACGAAGGAAGATATAATGCTCGAAAAGGACATGTATTGCCTGCATACAGAAGAGCTTGGATGCTACTGGCTTAATCTGGTGGCCAGGACGTCTGGCAAGGGAAAGCGGCGGAGCCCCTAAGTGGCCCGCTTAATAAACCCGAGGATTAAACTATTGAAGCATTGCAAACTATCAAATCCACACAGTCCAACTTGACTACACTACCATTGCTTTTTTATTAGTAGCTTTCATCTAGATGCGAAGATCATTGACACTGGCAAGATGTGAAGGTTATCTAACATTTTCCCCCAAATGATAATAATGCCCGATGAATGCAAACAGAGAGGTCATAAGGTAAAGAAAAGGACCAGCACCTTTTCGTAATCAATTCATTTACCCCTAAAACTTGACCTCGCTTGATCGGCTCAAGTGTTTACAATGCAAGGAAACATAGTACAGCTGGAAGAAAAAACAATTTCATGCGATTTCTAGATTAACTCTCAATGTTTAGTGTTAGCTCTGCGTAGTCTTGCAAATGATTTCGCCCCACTTTCGTATTCATAAGTTGTCTGTAAAAATGCACCAAAAGAATGGATGAAGGCGTTAGTTCTTCTACTGAACGGACCGGGAAATTAATAAATGGAGGACACTTTGATTGTTTGCAAGTACAACATTAGGTTTTCTCAGGCAAAAAATTAAAAACGGTTTTTTGTTATTTGTCACTGGACCCAATGTATGTTCGTACCTATCGCTTTGCAAAATAAAATTTTCCTCATTCAATGAGGCAATTGACATATATTTCAGGCGCTCTTCTTGTGGTGATAGTTACCAATAGAAGGGAATAAATAGCACCTAAAACAGCACCTTTACAGTGCTGCGTTGCTAAAAATACACCTTGTGTGTTCCGTTGGTTGGAAAATACGTCCTTTCAGTCCATTATACTAGTGTCGTAACTCATTATAGAATGGCAGTGTTCTTCCACCCACCTCCTTGCGCCGAATCATCGCTCATTTATCATTCCATATTTATTTATAGAATTAACCTTCGGAGGAAGCGGCCTCGTGAATGTTTACGCTTGACGTCACAGGACCCATCCCCTCCTCCTTGACCCTCTCTGCCCTCTCCTGTCCCCTACTATTGTACGTTTGCTTTCGCTTTGTAAATAATGCATTTCGAATGAATTAATCAACTTTCAACTGCAATTCGGTGCCGTGTTCTTGGTGATTTTGATACAGCTGCACAAATTTAGCACAGGCGCAGTACTTTTAAACGTGCCGTCCTTCTGTAGCGGAGGGTTCAAGTTAGTTCCTGCTAAACATAGCCCCCAGACCTACGTAAGAGATTGGCTAATATGTGTCCCTTCCTTTGAATTGATCAAATTAACTTTTGTGCGTGTGATTACCAATTACATTTTTTTAAATTCCACTCTAAGGAAGCCCTTAAGGCTACAAGACTCTTTTAGACTTACCAGGCGATCAAGGTTCTCGCTTGTTTTTCGAAATGTGGCTTTTTTAACTCACTTTGTCTATTAATTTACTATCAGTGTGTGTATTTTTTTTTACGTTAGTCATTTGTTCCACTTTCGGTTTCTGGTAAAGGGATCACTTAGGTGTTCCATTATTGTACCTTCTCCGGGTGGGCTATCCTCTAGACCACGCCGGTAGCCCCAAGCCTTTCTGTAAGTCAAAAATACACATTTTATCCGAGTATTGTCTTCTTCCGGATTGATGAAAGCCTCGGAGCCTACATTGTTGGTAACTAAAAGCAAACCCTACTTTAAAGGGCATCTATCCTGAATTCTACCGCTGGGTGATAAACCTTACTGGGACAAAAGTAGTACACTTGTTGCAGATGGGAGAATCTATGATCACCCTTAACAGAAGGGGTGGAAATGACGTCTACCTTCAGTAATTACCCAGATGCCAGCCGATAACCGTCTAGAAAAGTTCGTCACTGGGCTGTCTACGGCATCTGTGTAAAGGAGTCAATGAGGTAGGCTCGCAGTATCCCCTCTGCCTGTCTACTTGCTTGATACAACCCAAGTAGATATGGCTGGGTTTCGCTGAAGTGAGAGAAATATGACTGGGGGAACAGACGCGAAACCCTACCCCCACGAAATCTTGCTGAATACCTTTTTGTTATGTGCCTCTGCCTTTGGACTAGCGATTGGTACACGTGATAGCCAGCACATTCTTCCTTACTCTGATATGATTTTCACACCGGAGGGAACTCCATGTTCGGCAAAATTGCCGAGAGAGACCAATGACTTTGCAGTCAGGTATTCTACCACTTGCATTGAAATCCGATGACTGTCGTGACTGGCTCGTGGATGTTTTTACTACGGCAGGAGAATGACCAAGGTGAGCGTCGAGGATGAGGCTTAAATGGGTAGAGGAGCTAAATAAAACGTCGCTTGTTTGTTTAACTCCAGGTTTTGGTAAAGGAGCCACTTGGGTGCTCCACCATCGCACCTTGGCTAGGTAGGCTGGCCCCTGGACCATATTAGTAGGTCCCTAGCCGTTTGCTAAGTCGATAATACATCTTTTGCCGTAGTATTATGTCTTCTTTCACCTCCAGGGGAGCCTCGTGGCACCACGGTACCCTCTTAACCCACAATCAATCAAAAACTTAATGGCGACTGGATGACCTTAGAACCAGCAAAACTGAGAGGTGAAGTGAAGCTTCTCTTTCATTTGGCTTAACTCCATTAGCGTTTATCAACCAAGACATAGAAGTCGTCCTGGTCTCTGCCTGGTGCTCTCGAATGTCGTGTCTAAATCCCGGTGAATTAGGAAAAATATAAACCGCAATTTGCTATTTCTAAATTTATTCCAAAATTCCATCTTGAGGTGTGGCAATGACACTTTTGTTTTGCTGTCTTGACTCTGAGATCAGGAGCGGTATCCCCCAATGTAACCAGAAAGCTGTGTGATGTGCACGATGCCAACAAATATTATTCCCAACACTTTCGTGACCGGTGCCTTCCCAACTTTGGTGTCATTTTAGGTGACAATCGGTCATATTCCGCCAATCTCGTGGCTAAGCAGGCGCCCCCGATCTCCGAAGACGAGGATGTCAACACTAATCCCATATTCCACACCATAGGATGTATTTCACTAGTGAATCGTCTCCATCCTAGGCTCTCAATCCAGGGGTAGAAGAGGACAACACCAAAGTATTACCGAACAGAGGACATCAAAATCCAGTCAATAATTGAAAACCTTTTGGCGTAACAATGTAATACTATTTGCAATTATATACGTCAGGGAAGGAGAAATCATGTTTCTTCCGCCATACAAGGTCGACTAATTCATTGAAACATTGAAGCCCCTCGATTCTACATGCATCAAGCCCTTGCAAAAACCCATCCGTTTTATCCTGCCCTTTTATATCTGGAGTGCTCGTTTTTATCCTGCCAAATTTAAAGCCTTTCTCTACACTTTTGTCTTCACGCATGATTTTTTTAAAGAAAGAATTTCTCTACGCATAGCAATTTCTCTTCCATGAATAGGCGTTCAAAAATAGCGCCCTACCGTGCGCGGTGTTTTTACGTCGTTTCGAGATTGTGTCCACTAAAAGTCACGTTTTGTCTCTTTTGGTGATCACCGATTGCTATCCATTGGAAATATAACAGAAGAATTTATAATTGCTAGTAAATTCTAGAGAAATTTGCTTTATTAGCGTTGCTTTTAGATGTACGAAACAGTGTTCTGGCAAACACTTCCTCAGTTTTCGAACTTAGCCTTTCCTTATCAAGTCACCTACCGGCGGTCCCGATTTTCTTATCTGAGTTCGCATGTCACACCTATTTGACGCATCGACTAAAAAGGGAATAAGTTAGTTGGAAAAATGATATTAGAAGAACTGGTGCACCGTATTTGAACAATGCAGCAACTGGATGGCTGTGTTGGTCGATCTACTTCGGACTTCGGTTTTTCGAACGAGTAAATGTTAATCAAACAAAGGATGCGGTGGAATGGCGGTTGTACGAATAGCCACTGGCTTTCTTATTTGCGTCTGACTGGTGCAATATCTATAAGCTCCTTTTACTTGTCAAAATTAACCCGATCCCGCAAAGATGTTGGCACCGGCATGCTTTTGTTTGTCGTATAATGTGACGCCATTGTCTAGGCCCAGGTCTTCAAGTACACAGCCCAGGGATTCCTCTCTAGGGATTGCCCACTCCTTTGGAAGCATTTTTGAGTCGACTGAATAACAACGAACTTGCCGCATTTAACCTCATCTCTTTCCAGCACCCCTTTCCCCTATTCTAGACTGCGCATAGTCACTACTTCGGAGCAGAAGAAGAGGAAGGTGAGGGTCAAGGACAAAAAAGGCAACTGTTTTTTTTTTTGGTTGAGCCTATTTATAGACGTGGGATCATCAATTCCAACACCTGAGAGGCCGTGATTTGGGACACTCCGAAGGCTAAGGTGTTGGCGGCGGTGTCCCTCCGCCCCTTTGCGCACCTCGCTTCAATCAATGCCGTTCAAAGTAGCATCTTACGGGTACATTTTTCTTCCCCTAAATGGACAAAATGTGGAAATGTGCCCTTCTTGATAAATATTCTAATGAATTATCGTCGAATTAACTGACAAGTGATTTTAAATTTACTGGTAAATACATCTCGCATACGCATTTTCAAACTCCAACACACTGTAGATAATGATACGTTCATGTGCCTGCGAGGTGGCAAAATAAAAGTAATACTTGTCTAGACTTTCGCCTCAGAGGTGAAATTAGCTTTCGGTAAATGCCATCGTATTGAAGATAAACGACAATCTCGCGCTGACCTATTGAACTGATCATGGGGGCCGATTTGCCCAGGGCGCACGAGCTGTGCCCTCCATTTGACGAATTGCTGTTTTATGCGCACAGTGCAAAACAAATTGTTATAAATAGAATAGGAGATTCTGAATTTAGCTACTACTTTTTTAATTATTTCATTGCGCATCCAACTGCATTAAAGGGCCCAATCTACTGGGCACCTATTGTTACGTAGGAGTCGACTGAGGGTACTTCAATTAACAATTTTACAAAGGAGGATTAATTCTAAACTTTTCATATTTTGCTAGTTTTATTTAAAAGCAGTCAGATTTCTGTTTGCTTTTATAGTTGCATTTTTAGAGCAAATGCTTCAAATCAATGTCGAAGACCACGAGGCATCAAAAAGTTGCATAAGCCCTCCTTTGAGGAGAATGTTGGGTTACTGATTATATGGTGCCGTCTAATTTTATCACCTTTCAATGCTCCTTTTAAGGAATGCACCATCATAATTTAAGGGTGGGCTTACATGATGATTTGGCACCGATCAGATCTCCCACCGTCATGAGGGTCGGATCTTGTGAAGAACCTGTACCATAGTGGACACTGTTTTCAACATTTGCAGGCAAAAAATTCTTTCGCATTCTAAATCGGGGCTCTGCACCACTTTCTGCTGCTGTTGCTAAATCGCTGTTTCAACAGAGATTACCCCAATTACTTTTACGTAATTTTAAATGGCTTGATATTCTCTGTGACAAAAGAATATTTTTAGGGTATGTGTTGCACATCGCGTCTAATCAGACGAGACGTCTACAACAAGTTTGCCTTACGAAATCGTTAATGGCTTATGTCACTGTGTTATTTTTAAAAGGAACAAGCAAATACAATGGAGTTCATACTGCCCGAGAATGAGATGTTATGGCTTCATGGTTAGGTACACAACCTCCCTTGTCCCGGCCAGTACAATTACCATCTCGTCGGCATTGATGTCCATCCATCTCCGTGGTTAATCAGATCTTCCAGCATGACTTGAAGACCCACATTCAGGGTTGCGTTTCCAGTAAAACGATGTGGATGGATTTCTCTCACTCTTGTAGATGTTCTTTAGTTTGACCAGCGCGAATGGCATGGATTGTGGTTAAAGATGTCGCTAAAGCAAAACTGCTGACCTGAAGTGACTTGGTCTGAAACCTCATAGATTTAGCCCCGAATGTAGAACAGTGGCTCTGAAGTAATTTAATGCATACCTGACTCGAACTTGCATTTACGCGGGATTATTTTTGGTAGCATGGACTGATTATGCGTAGTCGCAGAGAGAAGGATAAATGCTGATGAAGTGGTTGGCCTAGTTTCTGCCATTTTTGGTACGTTACAAATTTGTAGAGCTAAGTAAACCCATTAGTCATTATTGTAACAGTCGAGAGAAATTTTTCATTATGGGCAATATCAGCGGCAAATGCTAACCCGTTTTGGACGAAATGTGCTTTTCTTCTTTTTCTACTCCCCAACCACCCCACACATTATTCTATCTTCGGTGGAGATGGAGACTGGGCGCCCACTTCACAAACTATGAAGTTATCTTTAACATCTTTTCATATCACAGGAACAGTATCTGCCACGAATTGATGAGAGGCTAATAGGAATGTTTGATGTAATTGCAGCTCTCCAAGACTTCTCTGAAGCCAAAGAAGACCAAATATTGGGGCAGAATATGTATTGCAGACTATAGAAGAACAGGAGAACTACTAGTATGGGCTGGAGGCTGGCCCACTCTGTGAAGGTAAAATTGCGGAGTACTTAAGTGGTTCCTTTAACGGCACCGAGAGTTAAATGAATAACTGAAGTACTACATAGCCCTTCTACCCTTTTGAAAGTCACACATGAAGTTCTCCTTGGTCAGTCTCCTGCATCAAATGTCACAACATAATTGGTGCTATAAAAATAGTCCAGTTACCAACCGGGTCAAGCATCGAATTTCCATGCAAATGGGAAGGTATTCGCCCACAAAGTCACTGAGCCCTCTTGACAACTTTGCTGGACCTAAAGTTTTGTCCCTTATGGGAACTAGATGCGGAGACAGCGAATGTGATGGCCATCACGCGTGTCTATTGCTAGTCGTAGGAACACTGGCGTAAAATCAGATTTATTTAATAAAGGATGGGGATTTAAATAGTTTTATAGGGTAAGGTTTCGGGTCCATTCCTCCTTGCCACTTTGTTCGCACTTCAGCTCTACCCAGCCATATCTATCTGGGTTCTATCAAGCCAGTAGCACTCCTGCAGATCACGGAAGTGGGGTGGTTACCGAAGACAGACATCATATTCTACTCCTCTGTTATAGATCACCACAGATTCTCTCATCCACAGCACAAGTACCTCTCCCGTCCCACCTATGTTTGGCATTTAGTAATGGAAATCAGTGTAGTTGGCCTTTAAAATCGGATTCACCTGCCGCAGTCATCAAAGTGGCGTCTTGGGACTTCCCTCAAATAGTACGAAGTCATGATGGGACGACAGAAAACGTATCACGCTGCCCAGCTGAAGTACAACGGTGGGGCCTTAAATGCTTACGTAACCAAAACGAAGAGTTCAATAAACAACCAAAATCTCACAGTATTATCCACTCATTCAAGTTTTACGCTTTCTCAAATCCTAAATCGTCAATTTAGCATATGGACTGGGGGCAGCAGTGGTCTTGATTGTGATTTCTACAACACTTTGTGGCCTCATTTAAACAAATTTCATGAGGGCGTTATTAACAATTCGTTAAACGCTGAAGTAGAAGCCTTTTGCAAAGCATGTAGCTCTATCTAGCATCTGAAAACAAAAAAGACTGATGTTTTCTGTTTATTTGGTAATTATTGCGCCGTGAACTGCATAAATGACCCTGCATCCCACCCAGGTAAGGCGTAGGCGTGTCCGCGACATTTTGATGGCCCTCCCAACGAAAAAGAAACACGCTTTCTGACCTGTGCTAAAGTTCGTAACTATCAACCAAACGTATTCCAGTTTACCGTTTATGTAAAGATAATTTTACAGTCTGGTCCAGTAAAAACATTGCTTTGTTTTGGAGGAAACTTGCACAATGATAAGACGATGGCTGTTGAGATCCTTTTCACTATACTACTTCACCAAATTAAGCAAGACTCCCAGTTACATTAACAGAGAGTGTTTGAGAAAAAATGAATTTAAAAACTGACTAGTTTTTAGTCACGCCCAATTCGCGACTGATTCAGCTATGTGTTTTAATTGCTTTCGCCTCATCAGTAGTTTTTTTAGAGAAAGCAATAAAAAAACCGTAAGTCTTGTGGCTGTAATGTTGAAGCACCACCGTCACTTGTGGCGTAGAGTTTAATCGGGCACCAGGAACGACGACTTAATAATTTGCATTTCCTTTCAAGATACTCGTGGTACCTGTGACACTAAGCCTACTCAATATAATTGTGGTCAAAGAATCGGGAAAAAAGGAGACCTGGATACAAAGTTCACTTCAGGACCTTCCTGGACTGTCAAGAACGAGTTTTGTGCCTCACAGTATCGACAACCGTTTTGTCGACTGACTATACATCCATGCATCGACGAACACACACGTGGCCGAGGTAACAGTGGAAATTATGGCAATAGTTTTGGTTACACAGCGACCGGTTAAGCCTTTCCATTCTTCTCCAATTTGGTTTACAGGCTGCCACATTGTTTGCCTTACACTACCTTCAAGACAAGACTGAGCGTCAGGGCATTTCCACTCGCAGTGCGCAAAGGACAAGCAAAAATGATGCGACTGGCAACTTTTTTCTGGTCACCCGGACACTTAGGGCTCCGCCATTGTACTCCCGCTTGGGGGTCATGGTCTTCGAGCTACGCCAGGAGCCCCTCCAGATCTTTGGTGCGTTACTAATACATTGTCTGCCCTGGCGTCTATCGACTTAAGGAAAGACTTCGGTCCCCACAAATAACAATAAATTTGGAATTAGCTGTTTGTTTTTTTATTTTGGTAATTTGATTTTTTATTCCTTTAGGAGTTAAGACAATAAACAGTGGCCTCGAGCGGGAGAGTGCGGTACTTTGTGATACGCTGATTTTTCTGTCTGAATTCTTCTTTTGGTTACCCATTTATAACAGATGCATACGCAGACGAACAACTGGAAGGTGGGTCGTCAAATTTATTGAATCTATTCGGCTTTTTCCGCGTTGTCTTCTAATCCGTGCAGCTAGTAGGGGTAACAGCCCATAGCAACTGCTTAAATCATAGATTATTTTGACCTTCGTCTAGCTACAAAACTACCGAAAATATCGCTTGTATTACACGAGGGATGCTTTTATTTTTTTCGTATTTCTTCTTTGTGGGAGTTCTGTGTCCCTCGGTGTTTGAGGTCAGGCACACCTGTTTATTCCATCCCACTTGGAAGCTCTAAGATTTTATCAAAGAAGAGGAGTAGTTTTTTCATGATTTTCAATCACTAAAAGTTCCATTTATTTATTTGTAGAATTTCTGCTTTATTTCTTTTTGAATGATGAGCTTTTCTGCTATTGTCAGTCATCGAAGGAAATAGCAAAGTTAGGAAAGAATATTTAAGAGGATAGTATTTTTCTGCTATTTAAACATATTAGCGAACAACAGTCTTGCAAATTCAACTTTGATATTTCGGTATGTCTTCCTTAAAATCCATCCATATACCATATGCATGCATGAATGTCAGTAAACACTGTCACTTATTTCAGGTACGTGTTTACCTACTTCATAATGTCCTGCGAATTCATGGTAGTTCACTTACCGGTTGCGGTTATATCTTTCCCAGAATTCCCTGGAGACGAAAGAAGCCACAATACTTAGGCATAATAAGTATTGTTGAAATTGCAGAAGGGCAGAGAACTAATGCTATGGGCCGGAGGGTAGACCTCCCAGCGGACGTACAATTGCAAAGCCCCTAAGTGGCCCATTACCAAAACCAAGGGTTAACTAAACAAACAACGCATTACATGGTCTCTCTCCTCATTGGAGCTTCGCCTTGGCGGTCTCTTTGGTCAACCTCCAATATCAACCATCAAAATGTAGGCGGTGTTTTAAGGAAACACTCACGAACCAACCGCGCCAGTCATCGAATTTCCGTTACCAGACCACAGCATTACCATTCCCTCCAGGCAATTCTACTGAATCTCGAAATTCTTTCTGTTTTGTAACAGTAGAGAGGGGGGGTGAAAAGTGCTGGCTGTCCTGTGTGTCCATCGCTAGTCGTAGAAGCAATGGGCTAATTGCAGGGTCCTGTACCAAAGAACGGGGTTTAGCATATTTCTGTGAGAGTGGATTTTCAGTTCTATTCCTCCTTTCTACTTTATTTTCGCTTCAATACTGGTCAACAATAACCATGTCTGAACCACTCAAATGGTAGGGAGGTAAGAGAGGGGGACATCGTGTTGTTACTTAATTGACACCTTCATACAGGTACACTAGGTCGCTCCGTGACGAAACTTTTCCAGATGGTTTACGGCTAGCGTAGCTTCAGGTGTTAACACCACTCCTGCAAACCACGCAACTGAGGCAGTTGCAGAATGCAGACGTCATTTTAAGCCCTTCTGGTGGAGATGTTCGCCGATTTCCTCGTCCGCAGCATATGCCCTTTTTCTGTAACGCTAAGGCTTATCACTTAACAGTAGAAATCAGGATAGTTGTCCTTTAAGATAGGATTCGCTATCCGCCACCACTTGTCTGGAGACGAAGGAAAACATAACACTCGAGCAGAGAATGCACTATCGACATACAGAAGGGCTTAAGTACTATCTGTGTGGCCCTGGTGGAACCCCTAAGTGTTCCTTTGCCAAAGCTTGAGTTAAACAAAAAGCTAAAGTATTAAGGTGATTTCCATTTCAATATGGCCTGCGAGAAGTCCTTTGCATCATGTGGTGATAAGTAACACTAAATGATGGCGTAAACAGACCGGTTGAACTTAAGACACTAAATGAATGCAAGATGTTCTCTATCGGGCGACAAATCTATTTTGCTTAATTTTGAGTCGAAGTCAAATTAATCCATTCGGTGAGGCGAGTGTTACCATCGTGTTGGAGCATCCAAACATTTAAGCTGTGATGGTTGGTTGTCAGCTGCGACTCCGATGTTGCCTCTGTGTCTTTTCAAACAATTGCCCTGTTTGTCTTGTCTTTCCCGCTCGATTAATCTGGATTGGTTCGTATCGAAGTACAAGCGTACCACATGCTCTCATTTTTGAATAGATTATTGTCTTTGCCTTACCTTCCAAGCACTTCATTTACGTTCTTTTGATAACTAATAACAATGAAGTAGTCACTACATTCCCCATGGCATTTGTGTTAATTAACTCCTTAGTCGCCTATGGCATTTACTGGCACGAGAATATAATTACGCCTTTCATTAATATAGAAAATGGTGGAAAAATGGGACCTCCTTAATTCAACACTTCAGAGATATAGTGGTACTGCTCTTTTTACTTTCTTACCCATCCTCTCTCCTCCTCCTCCTCCTCCTCTTCTTCCTTGGCAGAGGTGTGGACGCCCAAAGTGCAAGTTATTAGGATATGGGACCGTGCAGCGAGCTGAAGGAACAATTCCCTCTTCCCCGAGTACGTAAACTGATTATTGAAACTTTCGTTGCAGGGCCGATTAAAAGTACTGCATACACCCCTCTGCGTTATTTCATGGCTGGGGATGTTCCACGTTCACTTGGTAATTACACGATGGTGAAAAATTGCCTTGACTTGGTTTGATGCACTGCCCCGCAGCGCAGAAGAGGCGGTTTTGTATTCGGAAAACATAGCTGGGGTCTGTTTATGCCAGTGGTCATGAATTTGCTGTTTTGAATGACAAGGTGCACAATTTATGCCTTCCAGCTTGTATTTAACCTTTCCAATGCTATTCTACCGTTGTTGAACGCAAATGCGTTTATTTAAGTGATCCCTTTAATGTCTTCCTCCTGTGGTTTGCCTAAATGCTCGGGTAATAAAGTAGCTATCGGATTGGATCTCAGTATGGGCTCCAAGACCTTGTAATCCGTGTTCCCCTTTGCTAAACCCACCAAGTGTTTTGCATTCCCTCCAACAAGTGGGGTGCGTTGGTTCCATCGTCCATTCAAAACTCTTACCTACACTGATGCAGAGGATGGGTTGTACTATTTTGATTGTTTGTCTAATTTTTCGGTCTCAATGACGGGTCTTTTGGGGCACCTCCAATTGGCTGGCCCCCAGGCCATGCCAGTCGCGCCGAGTCCTTCTGTATGTCCTCAGCGCATATTTTGCCCAACTATTGTGTCTTCTTTTGCCTTTAAGGAAATCTCAGAATTATGGTCGGCACTTTTTCTTCATATTCAGAGCACTTAAAAAAGTCCCCATTTTACTTATAACTTCCTACTTTAGAAGTCAGGGCCATTGGCAAATAATTGCGGCACGATTTTTCAACAATGGGTACTACTATTGCTGAGGGAAGATGGCCAGATGCGATGTAGTGTTGTCTGTTTATTTTTAAGTGGAATGATTAAAATGAACCTTAGGCTTTTCATCTAATTAGCTGTGTCCATTTTTACTTTATTCTACCTCATTGAATTCTCCTCAAGATCTAGAATTCTTGCGTTTTTAGTAAATTAGAGCGGAACCGTTTAACGGTTTACTTTTCTGACCTGTTACAGTACACCGAATTCCTTTATCATACAAATGGCACTCCATTTACTGACTTTTACTTAATGTATTCTACGCAAGCCCCGAGACTTCCGTGAGGATGGAAGAAGACATAATACTCTGGCAGAATGTGCATTGTCGACGTACAGATGGACTCGGGGCGACTGGCATGGCCCGAAGGTCAATTTGCCCGGCAAAGGTACAAGGGCGGTACTCCTAAGTGGTCCGTCACCCTCACCGAGAGTTGAACAAACAATTGATATATTACGTCGGTTTTAAAAGTAGCAAGATGGTTCACACCTTCAAAAGTCGGAATTTTTTATTTCTTGGCTGTCATGACGCCGATCCTGTGTAATGAATCGCAACAAAGACCGTTCGCATTCTTTTTTTCCTTATTTTTCCATCGCGACATGCCAGCATTCTAGACATACAGACTAAATGACATGCCACCTTCTAGCCTGGGCCATGATGAGTGCAGATGAGGTGTGAGATAAAAAATGCTTATGAATGGCATGTTCGGCTTCAACTTAACTACCACCTTAGACTGTTCTGCCCCTTATTTTAAACTTCAATCAAATTAACCGGGAAAGGATAACATTTTGCATTACTTCAGTTGTTTGCTTAACTCTCGGTTAGGAGCTTTGCTAATTCACATCCGCTGGAAGGCCTCGCCTCTGGACCGTGTCATTTGTCCCCAACCCCTTCTGCACGTCAGCAATATATACTCTACTCGAGTATTATTTCTTATTTGGTAGCCAGAGAAATCTCGAAAGGCTATAATTCAAGTCTAGTTGAATGACCCGCAGATCAGAGTCGGCACACTTTAATGTTACACGAGTCTCAATGGTACATATGACTCGAAACACTCTGTAATTTCCTGTTTTTAAATATGACTTCATAAAATCTTTTCCCAGGAAGACTAATCATTAGCTGATCCTAAAGTGTTTAAAGGTCAAGGCTTGTGTCCTTTAATGGTGCATTCGTAATGGCATAATAATAGATGTGTTCCACCTTTTCCTTCCTAGTTCAAAAGCGCATTCTTCGTTTATCCTTTGATCATTTTGTGTACTTTCATGGTAGAAAACGAAGGGAAATTTCCATTTAAACTATACAGAAAGTCTCCATAGCTTTGCCGCCAGTTCATTGACAGGGTAAAGTGTAGACTTGGCACCAGACTGTTCCAAAGCAGCCATGTGAATTTTTCTAATCTATGGGAGGTAAAACTGTAGACGTTAAGAGGTTGTGGACCACGAGCAGTAGGATGTTGGTGTCAAGTGTCGGTCAATGTGCGAGTGTTTCAACGTACCCCAATGGGTTGGTGCACGTGGTCCAGGGGCCCAGTGCGGTACAAACGGCCTGTCTGCCCATCAGTTACTCGTCTAAGCAGGTCCAAATCTTCCCACGCAAAAGAGTCTGCCACTTCTGCAATGGTCCGACGAGCAAGTGAACAGATTTGTCGGACTGGGATTGTAATTTATGGGACGGAAATGGTGTTTTACATTTATTCTTTTATTTGGGATAATTTTGGTCTGCCATTGGAAGAAGAACAACAGTTTCGCTGGGAATGACGCCGTAAGTGTGTCGTTTTGACAAAAATACAGATCTAAAAAATCAAGTATTTGGAGCCTTCTACTTTATGACCAAAGAAATTTACTGTATTGCCATCAAAGATGGCTGATACTTGGCTCCCCTTCTTTTTTCATACCACAACAATAGGTGATTTAAGCAATTGGGGACTACTTCATTTTTAATCTATGATTTCTCCAAAGCACGTGGTTTGTGCGCGTTATGGGTTTCAAACGCCTATTATCACCTTTTCAGTATTGCAGAATGCATAGGAACCAGCTCCTAAATACTAAAAAAATTTAGTAAAAGACCTTAATATACATGTATGTATATTTATTATCAAGTTGACAAGTTGACTTCCGATTTAATCGCGTTACCTAAGCCGCAGTGATTGGATTTAAGGATTTTGAATGCACGATTGTAGCTTGAAGCATTGATAGTTCAAGATGCATATTTTAAATATGAAACTCATTCAAATTTTTCACACCACTTTGTTTATATTGCACGACCGAAATGAGTTCTGCACGTTTCTTTCCCACCACTGCCTTCATACCCTTAAAAAGAATAGGTGATTTGGATGGGATAATGCTTTGGTAATTTGCAGTAAATAATGGGTAGAGAGGCATCACGGTTTGGACGCGTTCAGGTTACGATTCCGCCTCGAGGGCCAATAATGTCCAATGAGGCACAATCTCTTGTTGTCTGACCATCTCTAACCTAAAATGTGCACTTAAATAATTGTGTATTACACTACCACTGCACTTGCGGAATTTTTAGTTTCAACTTTTAAGCATATTATCTGGGAGCAGTTTAGAGCCCGTACAGAGGCTAAGCTAAGACCGTCTTGTGCTACTTATTTACATCCAGTAGCGTGTCCGTTTTTATTTCAGCTATGGCCCAATCAGGACGTGGATATTAAATAAGGGAAATTTTACTCAATTTACTCCCTTTTTCCAATGTTTGCAGCTTTTCAAAGGATTCATTGCTTATTGCTCAGTGCGCTATTTTACCGTCTTTGTAAGAGCGTATCACTTACTTAAGATGCTTGTGCCTCCGATCGTTTCACCATTTCCGTGGATTTCAAAATAGCTATTTTGGGTTTAGAGTGTGCAACCTATAATCACAGTATGATGCATATTGCGGCACATACGCAGAAGAAAGATTGGTTGTTAGCATGCGGAATGATTGGGAAACCGTAGGCGCAATCATTTCATTAAGGTAGTGGTGAGATCGGTGAAGACTGGAGATCCAATATGGTCAAATGCACAAGTGAAACAATCATCGCATAGCCAAAGGGTTTCATGCTTTTTTATATGTTATTACAATAATTCCTCTGTTATGGTACTGGTTGTTTAAATCGCCTACAAAGTATCGGTACTCATTTGTCTATCATCAGTAGTCTTTATTGTTCTCTATTATTTTCCTGCTCAGTTGAATCAGATATAAGCAAAACATTTCCGCTTTGTGAACCGAATTTAACTCCGTTTTGAGGCAACCAAAGCTTCTAGTTTAATGTGCATGGCATTTGGTGTAGGTGCAGTTGCAGAATGTACCACCCGTACATGGTGTAAACCGTGTAATTCTGACGACGATTCACTCCAAGGTAGATGTTACATCACATTTAAGAGTCTTCATTCTTAAAAATGAAGCTTACATATTGTAATTAAAAATTACTTGAGATTAACGTGCGAATCACTTTCAGTAATATTTATGGTGAGTAAGGAAACGATTGGCTTGCGTCTGCATCCTTCTTGAAGAGCGATTCGCAGAGGAAGCTTCTAAGCAGGTGGGCTCCACACGACAAGCATTGGCAGATTGCAATAAATTTTAGGGACCATTACTTTTTTTCTTCACCTGTCTTCTTCTTGCACTGTGGAGGTTGGATTGTTTACTGACCGATCCACGCCTAGAAATGGCCTTTCTGCTTCTGTACTGCAATATTCTTTGAGGAAACGAACACAGCACACCGTTGTCACGTGCTGCTTTGTCCTCAGAAGGCTTCTCTCCCGGATGTGTGGTGGACTACGGACGCAAGAGATCACTAGGAATTGCTAATTTGCTCAAATCCAACGAAGTACATCTGAGGTTGATCTATTCGAAACGACTGGAAAGGATGAGGGAAAACGTCTTCCAACCAGTGAATAAATCAAAGGTAGATCCCACTCTCAAGATCCAACCGAAGACCTCATTTTGTAGCAATTTTGCCTCATGAAAAGTTTTGTGCTTCACTATGGAAGTAAAGTTTGTATCTATCTCCCCCACTCACTCACTGATTTTCTTGATGTTTCAACAGGTGCGCATCAACTTTCTTCGCCATCGGCATTAGGCGAGCACATGCAAAATAGGCTGAAAATAAGAGCCAGCTAGAGACGGAGATGAGGTGAGGGAGGTTTCGATTTTGAGCGACAAAACCACATTATAAGAGTGGGATTTACAACAAGCCTCTGTCTCAGTGGGAAAGGATTGTAGATAGTACTGATGAATATTTTAGCGGACGAAGCATTGTTAAAAATTATCCGTAGTTTTGTTTTTATTGACTAAAAGTGGTGTGAACTTATTTGCTTGCTTTATGCAAATCTGTCGGCCAATATAAATGTAGCAGATAAGTTTTGAGAAAAGTCAACGCCAACTATTCTTCAGATAGCAAGGGCCCCTCAAGTAATCCAAATTTGGTGTTTCTTCGTCCCTTTTGATTGACATAAAGGCGTATTGTATTGAAACCCGGAATCTGCTAATATTTTGCAATTTTGATGTGCAGTACATTGCCACCACGCTCTTGCATATTACTGTGTTCCACCACATCCACATCGACCTGCAGTATTCTTGAATGGATGGTTTAGTTTCGGCTCACAAGTCTTACCCCAAGCGCCAGTCAGGCCTCCACTCAACCTTGTACGTGGAGTTCATCCAGCTGGCTGTGGCTGAGGCTTGTTTATTCCAGGTAAGCAGGGTCCGGGACCTGAATGCGTGTGGATGCAGGCGCATGTGCCTGCGGGTTTGTGGGAATGGCGCTGAATTGACACATACAGTGTTATTTGTTGACGTCTGGTTTTGACGTCAACTTTTTTGCATTCGGTAGACTCCGACATTCCCCCTCGAGGCCCATTTATCAACTCCTCAAAACCCCTCTATCAATGCTATTGTAGGTCTCTTACCTGCTGGCAGTGTGGTCAGCAAACCCTCACTTGAGTCCAGTGGCGTGACTATAGCTGTATTTTGGACAGGGAAAGTGTCTAGAGCCAATGAAGACCTTTACAAATTTGAAAATGAATTAGTCATCACCGAAAGGCATCAAGAAACTTTTCATTTACTAAGTTTACCTTCCGCTGAAGCAATCAGGTGCCAAGGGAAACAATATTTGTGTAAAAATTCATCCCGTATAAGCAAGACAAAGATTGCGGTACTTGTGCTGTTCCCTTTTACAATTGTAGAAGACGCCATGATAAAGATCTATTAATAATTTACCAAAATTTTCCCTGACACCATAAATTTCTAGGACCATGAAGTTCATCCTCTCCATTGCAAAGGACCCTGTAGGCGAGAGGCCATCCACATAGCATCAAGTCATGCTATCAATGTTGCCAAGGCCTAAGTACCATGTGAGACTTCGCGGTGTCTAACTGGACTCTGATTCATAACTTATTAAATGTTCACCAGAGTAGCTAATGGCATCCACTTCTTGTTGATGCATTTGGACGACTCTCCTTGTCCACTTTACAGCGAAGTGGATCTCCTTGAAGCGAGAGAGATAGAGAGAGAGTGCTAATGCGTGAGAGGGGGAGGAGGAGAATGAGGTTGAGGAGAATCCCTTTAGCATCACTCTCTGCTCGAGTCAGGCGAAAAAAGTCTCGACTTTACTAAAGACACTCATCCGGAGCCGCGGCACTTCCCTTTACAAGAACTCTAATTGCCAGCCTATTAGAATTGCTTTATGAAAAGCGTTAAGGTCCTACTTCTGTGATTCCACAGTACGTCCTAAAAACCGTTAAAGGTGAGTGGATGACCGGTCACTTGAGTGCTAGCGTGATGCATCCAAATGGTGAAATTAAAATTCAGGTAGACCGCTCGCTTCGAGTTGGTTCTAAAATGAGCTTCTTTCTGGACTCGCGTCATCCACTCGCTTTACGCTTCGACTGACGGTTCGACGTCTGTTCCTTCTCCCCTTCCCCTTTTCTCCACTCTCGGTCCCATCCCCCTGGTGCCAGATTGTAGTCGGACTCGAGTGCATGAAGACTATATCACCTCCTCCACCACCACCAGTAGCATCAGTGAACGGTATAAACAAACGCAAGGGAGCGCACGCGTTCATCACACCAGCTTGGGGCTGTTTACAAAACCACAGAGAGAGAAGTCGAACGAACAAGCGAGTTAGCGAGAGAGCGGGCGAACGAGCGAGAGGGCGGGAGAACGAAGCTAAAAGACAGGAGAGTGGGGGGAGGGTGTTCGAGTGCGTTTGCGTGCAAGGGGGTGGAAGGTAGTTGATTTTGGTGTCCACCAATTGTGTCCCTGTCCACTTACCACCGCCACCACCGCCTCCTGACTCCATAAATCAAATGTAGGAACCACCCTGATCATTTACCCAGTGGGGCTAACGCCGAGGGAGGAGGGGTGAGAGCCATATGCGCTGGTCTGATTAAACAGCGACCTTTTATTATATCAATGTGGATAAGTGATTATGTGCTCCCCTTCTCCCCCATTGTATTGTGGTTTGCCCCGTCGACGGCATCAAGTTATTAAACGCGGCATCCCACTTATCATGCCAACTTAAATAGCCCAAATAGGGGGCCTCAAAACTTATCCTCAATCGGACTGGTTGGTCAAACTGATTCCGGTACAAAGGCCTAATTTCATCAACACTACTACCTCCATTGTGTAACGCACGTTAATGTCTGTACTAAGATGTTTTTTCGAAATCCACTCGCCTTTGTTGTTTCAAGCTCAGCTAACCTAAAAGCAAAGTCAAATTAGTGGTTTTCAAAGGAGGAGGCCTTGAAGGCTTTGTCTCAACAGCCAATCTCCTCGCGTTAGTGATAGGGCAACATGGTTAGGTCTCATGCCATTGTTTTTGATAGGCATGTGTGAGCATAAACTATTCGTTTGCGTCCCAGCAGCCTCCTTTTAGGTAGTTTTATTTCACTTTGATGAGGCCGCCAAGGCCTCACCCTACTCCCACCTGTGCCTCTTCCTAAATCGCTTCATTAACGCCGTTTGTAAACATTTGGTGATCGCCCCTTAATTTGAAGCTCTAGCTCGAATGAAGCTAGGGATCTACAACGCCAAGATTCACACTTTGTTAACCTCGTCAGTCCAGGTTTGATACACGTGGCCTGCAGCAAGCAAACCTTAATAAATTCCTTCATCGACACCATTGATCAAAGAGTTCGTCGGCTTGTAACGGCAATTGAAAATTAGCCAAGCCGTATTTCAAGTATTCATCTTATCACCCCTCTCTTAATCGGTGATACTCAAGGGGGAGCCCAATGCCACTCTTCACTGACGGGGCTGGTAAGCACTTGTTGATTCGCATACTCGATTAAAAATCCCTTCGAGAAACTACCCACCCATTTTTGCTAGGATTTGTTTTCCTGTACTTTTGTTGGCTTCACTAAAATCACCACTCCACATCGTCAAAATCAATGGATTTTGAGCCAAAACAATTTCATTCTGATAAACTCACCTGCTGATCCCATTTGTGAGGACGTGTTGACTTTGTTCAATTAAAATACTTGCTTGTGTAAACTTTCTACGAGAAAATTTTTTAACCAAATCTCAAGTTATCATACCTTAATGTTTCTCATCACTGGAACAGAAACAGCGCCCTCATAGATGAACAAACATATGGTTGGAGGACACTTACTCTTAATTGAGGTCGAGTAGGTCAATTCACATTTCAGACGCGAACAATTAAATGGCCGGGACTAATAAGGGGCTTGTCGTAACAACCATCTACAACGCCTTGGCTATTAGGCTTCAGCGAGCCAGATGCACTCCCCCTTCCCTCTACGGAGAATCAAGTTTGAGCGGGTGGTAAAGATCATTTATTCTGAGCTCAGTTGGCATAGTGATTGTTGTCAGGATTGAGTCTAAATTCACACGACCCCGGCTTCGTCCTTGTAGGCCTGGCTTAAACTGGAAGCATACTCCCCTGTTCGTCAGCGTGGCTACTATCATTAATCCGTACGAGCGAAGAAATGATGCCAACACCAAGCTAGTTACAATTTTCACGCACATATTCTCATTACCAATGCAAGGTTTGGAACTAAGGGAGCATTATCGAAATGCTTTGACTCGGTCTGGTTGGCAGATTTAACTTCACGATTGGAAATTGTTGTCTTCCGGTAAGAGAAGTACCCATCAATAAGGATTCATAGGGCTTAAAAATCTTTTTGACCATCTACACCAAAGTGAAATAAAGTGAATAATTGTAACTACCCCTTTTCTGGACTTCGCATGATACGATCAATGGAAAACACACCTCTCGTCGATTGTCCTGAGTTATGAGAGTGGTCTAATTCTTCTTGAGAGGAATGTCTTGGCGGTGGTAGATGTGGTTCTCTTGGCATAGCTCTTTTATAGCGTTTTCTTCGACGCAGAAAGCTCCCATCTTCAAACATATTTTTGGAATCGGGATCGAGGGTCCAGTAGTTACCTTTGCCTGTACCTTCCGCTCCCCTGGGCACTTTGACAAAACAATCGTTCAGGGAGAGATTGTGCCGAATGGAATTCTGCCAACTGGGATACCTTTCTCTGTAGTATGGGAAACGGGATGAAATGAAAGCGCATATTTCGCTCAGCGTTAATCTGCCCTTGGGGGAATTTGCAATGGCCATTGCAATTAGAGCGATATACGAATAAGGTGGTTTTGTCGTGTGAGCGTAAGCTCGCTCTGGTGACGGTCCTGCTGAGTGCGAAGATGGGGAGCTCTGAGATGTCCACAGCTGTGTGGAAGACAGGGGTGATGGCCGTAGAACTGGCGGCGGAGGTAAAGGTAGTGCCAATTGGGTTGGAGGCAGCTGGGGAGACAATGATGGCAGGAAGGGAGGAGGCAGTCTGTTGAATATTTCCATTAGCTGGTACTGAAAGTTAATTACATCAGCGGAACTTTGTGGGTTGCTGAAAGAAAGCACAGGGAGGTTGGCCATGGCTAACTACAATATCAACTGAGCGGTTGGCTAGATATATGAGTATGCGAACCAATCACAATTAGAGTTGTGGTTGGCCAATCACGACACGCATAGGTCTCGATGCGTACAAACCGTTGACCTATTATAATCTACTGCAGGACCCTTCTACCGCTTATTTGTAGCTCTTAATGCGCATAATCTCCTTCCGAGTCCTATTTTTGTATTGGAATTATTCGCTGTACTAACTGCCAGCACCTTCAGCTCAAAAGCAGTTGTAGCTTACCTTTTACTTAAAATTGCAGGGTTTTGTGTGAACCTACAAAGTATTTAAGGGGAGCAGTTTTGGACGGTTTGCATTTGATTGAAGATAACTCACGCTCACAACCTTGACGACAGACCTTAAAACACATGCTCCTTGACACCTCTCTTTTAGTCGAAATAGACCATAAATATTGCAACCATTCCCATGAGCAGTAGCACTAACTCCCCAGCCTTCTATTAATCTGCCTTCGTTGCCCTCCCCTTTCCTCCCATTCTCAGAGACTCCTTCTCACAAGACATCAATGGTAAAACCTCCACACACACACACACACACACACTCTTCACAACCAAGGTGTTGGGAGTTATTAGCGTCCAGGCCTCCTCACAAGTACACTGCGCTCTTCCCGCCTCTCCTAGCCGGGTTTATATAGCCATTGGAGGGATGACGCAGGGACCGAGAAGAGCTTGTCAATGCGTGACAGTCAGCGTTGTCGGGGGTATGATAATGGCTCCGGTGGTACACTTGTGTGTGTGTGTGAAAGAGCAAAAAACCTTCCTACTTTTCATAGCCTCACGCCTTCTCCCCTCTTCCTTCCATTCTCCCACCTCAAATAAGTAGACCAAAAACTCACAAACACCTCTTTTGTTTAGGTATGCGCATGTGTGGGAACTTTGAGGGTCCTGATGTTTGGTCCTCGCGCCGCGTGTATCGTGCGTTCGCGCAATAATGCGCACCAAACCGACCAGCACTTGTTTTGTGGGCGCCGGTTAGAGAGCCCAGGGGAGGGGCAATTGAAAGGCAGTGATGACTGAGAGGGTAGAATAAGACTGATGAGAGAGCAAGAGCCACATTACGCCACAAATTCATGAAAGACCGGGGGAGGAGAGCTGCTTCGTTTATTTTATTTAGTCACAGGAACGCACCACTTTTGTGTGTTTATGTGTATCCCAGTCTGGGCGGAAGATGGACGGGATTCAGTTAATGCACAAATTGCCTCCGTTCTGTCGTTATGCCCCATCGCGCCCTTAGGGGTAACTTGAGATGGCCCCACCTCATGCTTTAGGGTTGCACCAGTTAGAAGTGTCAGCACTAACTAAACAATGTGCTCCGCTTTCCCAGCTTCCCCGATGATGCCAAACTTCTTTGGATGGCGATAAATTCTAGGGTTGTGGATAGTGGACCGGATAAGGCGTCTTCTATCCCAGCTAGTACGTGTGTGCGTACAAACGATCATGTTTGAAACATTTAAGGAAAAGCAATTCAATACAAATATTAGACGCTTACTTTTATGGTTGAATGCCTTCATATGATGAAAAGGTGGCTAATTATGAGACTTAAACACATTCCCAGGCTTACTGACTAAGGCAAAATGAACTGTCGTAAAACGTGCAAAAGGTCAGGGCAATAACCACGCTATCAGCGGTCAGCGCCAATGGCAACTTCGGGTAATTGCTAGGCCTGTAAATGGTTATCCATACAACACATCCCCCTGCCCTCCTCCAATGCAGAGTTGACTTTGATCTAATCGGCGTTGCCAGTGGAACCGGAATGCTCCCTACACCTAATTGGTATTTATGGTCGTCCGGGCAGGTGACAAGACGAAGTTAAGGCGAAAAAAAGCATAAAATTACCTCTCGGTATCTGTAGCAGCGAACTGTCGCCCCCAAGGCAGGAGGAGGAAGGGAGGGGAGAGGAGTGTCCTGTTTATCACCGGAGCCGATACCAGGGTATGACAAATATATTTAGTCGTTGCTATATGCACAAACCATGTGGTTATAACACAACCCCTGTCGCAAATGAGTTGACTACGTGATCCTTTATCCCACCGCACGAAAGAAGGCTTGTAGGTTGTGGTACACTCAGTCATGCCTCTATTGGCCCCTTCGAACAGGGAGGAATAAAGAGCATCAAAGTGAAATCAAAGCAATAGCATGTTCGTCAACTACCTTCTATTGAAGGTCAAATCATTCAGCTAACCTCAGATTATCACAAATGACATCGTCAAAACTTCTTTTTCAAAAAGTCTCTGTTACACAATAAGCTCTTCTTGACATGACAACTACTACAAATTGGAAAGCAGGGAAATCATGGCCTAAAATCATTATTCGAGACGGTACAAGAATTAGTCTTATATTTTGTAAAAGTTTAAATAGAATGTGGGAACGAAAAAATCACGCCACCAAGATAAGACCATCTGTTTTCTCTCCTCTCCCCACCCCTACTGACCCTCTGATTAACCATCCGACAACTCAGCTACAAGTTGTCACGCGCATAGCAACGAGCCTACTTTGTATCATCAGGTTGCCCACTCTGACGCAAACCACTAAGAGCTCCGTCTCCCCTCTGATCCCCAAGGTGGTGATGTCGGAGGCAGGGGGGGGGGAAGGGAGGCAAGAGAGAGTGATGGGGTGATGAGACAACATACTCCCTTCATATGCACATACACACACACACACAACACTTGCGCGTTCCCCTTTGAAAGGGTGGTGGTTTAAGGAGCATTTTAGCTGGGAAAACGAAAAACCAGTTTCCACTTCTGTTCACACAACAGATTTTGGCCTGGGCATGTGTCTGAATAAGCTGTCTCGACCTTGTGGTTAAAGAAAACTGCAACAGTGCATCAAGCACATCATCTGTGAAGGTGAGACGAGGTGGTCCATGGCAATACAAGTGCACCGAAGAACGGCGAGGATTCGAATGACGTCTTACTTCTGAACAACAGCTCCTGTGTTAAGTGTAAACATACTTAAAGTGAGAGTGGCCAAATCGCATCAAAGACAAGCGTAATTACTGGGTTAGACGAGAAGTTTAACCCATGGTGTAGAATTTTTTTAAAAAAGTTGTATCAGACAGCGTCTAAGAGATTTTAAAAATCGCCATGGCAGCACGTATCTTTTGGCCACAAGATTTTCCAAACTCACTTGTTATATTAACTCATGTCGGAGTCACAGCCTAGCAACTATGTGATTGCAATGGGATTAGGTGGCTCGAAGGTGCGGGAGGTGAGCCAAGGTACAAGGAATTAAGTAAACCATCTGCAAGTCGGACGGGTGAAGCAAAAGGATTGGGGTAGAGGAGGGAAGTATCGGTAGTTGGAGTAAAGGGATGCGAGTAGGGAGCGCGGTGTACCCAGCAAATGTTTCATTCACTTGCATCTGAGGTAAAAGATTTAGCTTTTAAACGTGCCGGTTGTCAAAACACCGGCTAACGCTGCCCACAATGGTGTGGGAATTCGCGATAAGGAAAGGGTGAGTGATAGGGTGAGGGAGTGAGGTGACAAGTTAGCTATTTTTTACACAACTCCGATTAGCCCACTGTATTGGTCAGCACTCCAAACGCATACACACATACAGGCACAAATTTTACCAGTATTTTCATCTCGGAGGAGGTTTGGTCAGAAAGTAGCAAAGCAGTTCTTCTAGACAAGAAAAGTTGCTAAAACACCTTCGCTGAACCGATGTAACTCTGAGATCATGAGGGGGATACATTCGCCTGATTGAGTCGGTGTGGAAAATTCTACAAAGCTGTCGCTTTAATCCAGCCTAATGTCTGCGGAAGGAACACTTTCGCTTCTTTGGCTCGTGCCTTTTTTTTAAAGTGGTTGTTCTACCGAGACACTCAGCAATCGTATTCTCTATCGAAGGCTCAGGGGAAAATCTGCCATACACAATGATTTGCATTAATTATTCTCTTCATTACCGAAAGATTTAAGTATCCATCGACCGGGAACATCAAAAACGGATTTCCCCTTTTCAAACTTAAGAAATCTATTTGAGGCTCGCTTTGGTGCAGCCAGATCTCTCAAACCGCTGAGTGGTACGTGTTGCTAGTATATGATGTTGACATCATAACAATTCAGTTCTGAGCACAAAGCATTGTCTGGCAGCTGAGCAAGGTTTGATTAAAATTGCGCTGGAAGCATCTGGGTTGCCTGCGGACTGCTCTTCCAATTCATTTCACTTGCACACCACCAACCCCCATCACAAGCAAGCACTTACTTGCTCCAGCAACTACTCCATCTACATTATTAGAGG